TAAGACGACTAGTTGACCGATTCCGAGAACACCTCCGCGACGTGGAAAGAAATGACAAGGACGCATCCAAACCAGTCGCTAGACACTTAAATCTTCCTAATCATTCTAAACAGCATATGGCAGTTTGCGGCCTTTCCTTACATCTAGGCAGTTCGGAAAGCCGTAAAACACTAGAACAAAAATTTATCTTCCAAATCGGCACCCTTAATCCCCACGGAATCAACGAGCGCTTTTCATTCAACTAATTTATTCCTGTTTTCTCGTCACCATATTCCTACCAATGGCGTAACTCCACTTTCTGCATATAAACCCACACACAACCCACAATTCCTCCAATCGCTCTGACGAAGGGCTAACGCTTGAAACGTCAGCATTTTACCCTTTACGGTGGCTAAGTTACGTTTTCAACTCAGTTGTTAACACTAAATTACCTGCTATTCTCCTCACTTGTTTCCTTGATATTGCATTGACACTGTTAGGAGAAATTCTCTCTTGGTCACTTATGGGAGTGAAGGGTTAAATGTCTCTTGACGAATGTAACTAACTTGGTGCATCTACGACCACATCTAATTTCTATTGGAAAATATATATCAACTGATTGTCAATTTTAACTTACGTGGCACCTACAAACACGCAGAATCATGGATTTTGAGTGAAATTAGGGACGTCAAGAGATTATTCTATAATCTCTTGAGGACGTAAGGATGAAACTTTTAAGATGCTTTGAGGAGTTTCATCTCAGTCCCCTCTTTTTTCCGTTTAAATTGTTTTCATTATATCAGTTTAAACTATTATTTCGTTTGAAGAAAAAAAGTTTAATTAAGTCTTTTTTTCTTTTTAATTTCTTTCTTATTGGTACTGTGGGTCAGATATCTCACGTGGAGCCGCTTTCACCTTTGTAACCTCCCCTTTCCCCTTTGTAACCTCCCCTTTCCCTCTCTCCACAGGCTGCACCCGTGTGCCGCTTTGATATGAAAACTGAAGGCTACTTTTGCTGTACTTCTTTCCGACATATTACTTACGTGTAGAGTTACAGCTCTGTTAAGAATTATTTTTAAAATTACCATGTACGTGCTTGTCTAAGGTTGCATCTGCCACGCTTATTTTCTCAGTGTCAATATGCAATGATCTGATGAAAACCAGGCGGTCTGTGAATGGCTCTTTCTTATGATTTATCCAAGTACATGATATGCTGGACTGACGTCATATCAAAATCATTCTCTTTGTTTCGCCGTTCATTATGGAACAACATTTCACTAATGCAGTTGAGATTGTACTGCATTTGGAAAGTGAAGGCCTCATATTTAACTATATTAAACCTAGTGACTAGCAAAGGAAAGAGATAAAACCAACATATAAGGTGTGCTTGCGAACGTGTCCATAAATCTCCAGTTAAACTTGGGATTACACGCAATATTCACTTTGGCTAAGACAATATCAGTTACAATAAATGCAATGCATAAATAATTAAACATCAAAATGAAATGGCTTAAAAGACAGGATATAACTTTCTTCAGTGTGATCCGGCAAATATACAATACAAAGTTTGCTTCCCTTCTTTAAGCTCTTTACGCATATATCTCTAAGTAATGAAACCGAAAGTATTAAGTGAAACATGTAGCATTTCATGTGTGTAGAAAGAAAAATTTCAGGCCATCCTCATTCCCTGATCAAATTATTGCCCTCCATCGAAAATTTTATTTGAATTTGTCAGAGGTAAAAACTGGTGTGTAGAATCCAAGCGATCTGAACAGCGACCAGCACCACAAATGATCCCTAAATTAAACGTCGAATAATCCTAATCTGCGAATGACCCCAGAGGGGGACCGCAAATGATCCTGTTAAGTAAAATTTGGAATGATATAGACTTCAAATGTTTTGGTTTGTTTTTTAAAAGAACACTATTAATTTTAAAATGGAAAAAACTTTTTCACCATTGTTACGGCAACAGCTGCCAGACTCTATAAGGATTTGTGGATGAGGAAATAACTCGGTACCCTTTATGATCAAATTTTGCGGCTTTTAACATTTTTAGTCGCACAACCATTTCGACGAATGATGAAATCATAGTCAGCGCACACAAATACAAGGTTACTAAACGCTTCTTTCTTCTTTTTTTTCAAAAAAAAAAAAAAATAGAGTCTACTAAGGAAAGTATGGATTTATATTCAATTTGTATCGTTACAGAGCTTTCTTATTCATACATCTATAGAAGAAGACAATTGCTATCAACGAATCCACGACAGCTTTGGAAAAAATTTACAAGGCAACTCTTTGAGGAGATCATACATGGCTAGATTTGAAGTGAATTGCGTTCATTTGCAGAGCTCTACACCCTTAGCAAGCGGTCTTCCTTTTTCTTTCAATCAAGTTTGCTTATCCAGCGTTTCTTCAGGTCGAACATGAGCAAGCGAAAAGAGAGTGCTCAGCTTTTAATTGCATGATTGAGGAAACAATTTCTTTAAAACTCAAAGCATAGTTGCTATTTTACCTTGATCTACCGACGATATCGAAAGAAAGTATAGAGCGTATGTTTTGATGAATAGTACTAGCGGTATACTATTGGTAGCACGGTTTGTGCCGTTATCTACAGCACGTGTGCTGCACCCGGCCGGAGGCAGTATCCATCCCGATTAACATGACTGACAGACCGACAGTGAGCTCGTGTACAGAGCGTCATACGATTTCTGCTGTCCTGAGCGGCTTCCTTTCTGCACCGCTGCGTTTCTATCAAAGCACGTGCAATGTGGAGTCCGACTTAATTGAACACATCGTCGTCGTAAGCAACTCTGATCGGGCGAAAGTGCGCGAGCAAAGAAGTCACCAGAAATAAGAATCATATCACGCTACCAAAACTCGCAAGGGACCATGTGCAATGTATATGACACCGTCGAAGTTTTTTAAGTTCTTGAAAACTACAAATTTGCGCAGATGTTGTTTTGCCAATTCATGATGACGAGGCTCTCAAAAATGTCAAAACCCAAGTGCTCCGTCAACCTTGAAAGCGATTTTTTTAATTTCTTTTAATATAGCGTGAGTTATCCACCTTTCATTTCGTCCTGTGCAAACAATTTGTCTCGAAAGACCACATCGAAAAAATAGAAAAAAAAAACACAGAAAAAGCTGTATACATGCGGTCACTCATTTCCCTGCTGTGTTTTTTTTTAATTTTTTGATCGTGAGTAGCAGTGTATATTCTAGATTTCTCTTGGCGAAGAACCATAACCTTTTGACTCCGTGAACGAGTGTGTGGTTTCGTTTCGTTCCGGCCTTTGAACCCATTATTTTCCCACGCGTAAGTGCTCTTAATATAAATACGACGTACAGCTTAAGCTGTGTTTTGGCGAGGCTTCGAGGTTCTGCCAAGGAGGAATTGCAAACTGTCGTCTGTTATCGAAAGAAAGAAAAGATCAACGGCCATTAAGAGGCAAGACAATTAGTATATCCGTTGTATTATGCTTAAATATTTTAGCTCTATTCGTTTTAATTATGTCCGCATAAGTAGAGCTTATTGTGACATTTTTTCACCTCAGTTTCCACGAAAAGGTGGAATTTTTCCAAACAAGCGCGACGGTTGACGTAATGATGACGTCAATGACGTCTTTGGACGATGAGTCAAACAGTTTTCTGTTAGCAAACTGTAAATAAGCCCTATGGAAAAATAAATCGAGCGACGAGTTTGCTATTTTGATAACTAATCCATTTAAAGAAAGTAGTGACGAAGGATGAATATGCGTGGCTTGGCTGTTGTGAAATTTGATCAGAACGGACGAAAAACGCGAGAAAAAACTGACTTACCATATGGCACTTACGTCATAACAGAGGTTCGCAATGCATAATAGCTAATGCTGAAGGGACCAAATTTGCAATTTTGGCCGCGAGACCAATGCAGTGACTTGTAAAACAAGTAAATTAGCTAATTGTAGGCTCATTAGTTGAACTGCAACCAATCGGAGCTCGCAAGCGGCTCTAACTTCCAAACGTATCTTCACCATTAGCAAGATTTTATGCTTGTAGCCGAAATAAATTTAAGGTTCTTTTCTTCGTTTAATTTCCCGTCAGACCGAAAGCATCTGGCGATATATCTCTTGCGAGAAAAGGGTACGTCAAGACTGAGGAAATAGCAGGCTGATTGTTGTTGAGGTAGGCTTAATTTTTTTTCCTTTCAAGGATTGCGCGCATAGAGAGCTGTAGTTGTTGACTACCGGCTTGGTGAACCGGTGAGGTCGTCGACTCAGTTCAAAATTAACCGGAACTCAGGAAGAATTTACTGACGTATAACGGTTTCATCCTGCATATTTTCCCGAAAATATTGGCGGTTTGCTGTATGAGCCTGGATGAATTTTTTTGGGAGGCTTACCAAAAGCTGTGTAAGCTGAAAGCTCTTGTTTGCTTTGCACAAAGTTTATATTGACGGACTGCCAAGGTTTGTGAGACGGTTTTCTCTGTAAGACTTCAATTACCGAGTCAACAACTTCGTAGTTTTTTTTTCAGCGAGATGTAATTGTGGAGGCGAAAGCATATTTTTGGTATTTGGTGAAATATTTTCGACTGCAGTAGATAACTGAGTCTATTTTGGTAAAACATGACTTGAATAGAATATTTGATTAACACGGAAGCTCACAATTTTTTTGGCTATGGTGACCTAAAAATTATTTTTACTCTCTCTTGACTCAGCAAATGTTAATTTTTCTAACGTAGAGTTTTGTTTAAAGCTATGCCAGCGATGCCATCCAATCTATTTTTCACCATGAAATTTCTTTTCCCTGTAAATTTTCCTGTTTACTAGTTTTCTGCATGCTTCAGCAATGTTGCTAGCCGAGGCCAGCTTGCGAGTATCGAACCCCCCTGAATATTGATTTTATGCCTTATTTCCAGGGGGAGGATTATAAGCGGAAGTGAGATCACTATCAGGCCTCTCGACTGGTGTTCACATCACGTGGTCAAGGAAAATAATGGCGGACATAATGGTCGCTTCCATGAATATCATCAAATGAAAGATGTCTTGGAGAAAGTCCTACGATTTTACTCCACGAGTGGCCGAAAATGAAGTCGATTCATCTGACAGCGATTCTGACCCGGGACCCGAAACGATTAAATTGTATCATCGAAGAAAATCAACAGTGACTGCAGTTAAAGCGAGGGTAAGCGACCATTGATGTACCGTACATGTTTTCTTAGAATTAACCCACTAAATATACGCATTTGTTCCCGTTATAAGGTCAAGCCGCTACCGTGTTATCTTTACCAATACCTCGTGGTTTATTTATTTGGTCGGTTGAAACAGGTTCTCAACACCAGAATTATTAACTTCTAGTTTTTTTTCTGTTTACAAAACATGCCAGTATGGAGCCCACCATCGTCGATTGAGGGAAAACTTTGACTCATACGTTTGGTTATGCATATTTTCTTTATGGAGTTGATAGTTACTGGTACATTTTAAATTTGTTTTGTATCGTCCTGTTGTGCGATAGGGTACTTTGATTCGGGGAAAATAATTTGAAGTCATCGCTAGTGAAATTTTATAGCACGAGATCGTGCCAGTTTTTATTCCAATCGGCAAGTCTTGGCTGCATGGAGATGTCACATAGCTATCGAAGAAACATTTAACGATTTTGATTCTGTCTAAATATACATGGAATTCTACGGAAGTAAGGTTTTTTCTGTGTATCTGAATACATGTCTGTGTGACATCTTTCTTGCTTGAAAAATGACTTCAGAACCAACTTTGACTGATAGAAAAAGTTAATATAAAACTGTCACTTTTGTATCGTAGAAAAGCTTACCATGGACGTGAGGATTTTCAATCGTAACCGACTACTTGCAATTTTATCAAGCCATTTTAAGATTAAAATGAATAAGTTTTTCTCCGCCGTTGTTTTCTAGTCAAAACGTGTCGTTTAATTTCTGGATTGAGAGAATTTTTGATTAGCAAGCCGCTAACTGTCATTTACGATTGCACCTGTACGAGCCCGAGTCCTTTTTAAAAATATAGTTTAAATATGGGTCGCTCTTGTTGTGGTTTTTACGTCACGGCTGAATGAAAGTATATAGAATGGAAAAGTGTAAAGAGCTTTTCAAGATCCGTGCTTTTGTGACCAGGCCGGGAATCAGTCGGCGCTTTACAATCTCTCGTCTCGTCTCATCTTTGATGCTTGTCTGTCAAACGGTCCTCGTTTATTTGCTCTAGAATCATGAAACTGTTCATATTGCAATATTAATATTCATTCCAGGATTTGAAAAAAATCGAGATTTCTGGCCTAGTTTCGCTGATGACAATTAGTGCAGAACGTTTCAGAGTCCAAATGGCGAGCTCTGCATCGGTAAAGTTCCAAATAAAAAATTATGTCCACTCATTTTGATGCTAAATTCTTCTAATTAAAATGGAACTTTACATTTTGGTTAGTCCCGGCGTATTAATCGAACTGTACTCGAAATTTTCGATTTTTTCAGAGTTCTATAAAGGAGGGATTTTTGCAGAAACAAACAGGTTCATTTCAGGTGAGTAGAATTTTTGTGCTAAAGTTTGTGTCCAGCCTTAAAACTAATGCTAGCTAGCTTTGATAAAAAAGGGCAAATTTATTCTTGAAATTTTAAGTTGTTGTTTTTGTTTGCACATGTATATCAAAGAAAGATAATGAGAAATTTAAATATTACATCTAGAAGGTTGCTCCCAGTGTTCATTTAACTATTTTGCGAGTGTAAAATATTGATTTGCTCACAAATAAGAACAGTGAAGGTTAAAAATGCCCAGTCTTTTAATAAAACATATTATAAAACTATGCAAACATGTAAAAATTGCAGTCTCTTTCTCTAACATTTTTCTCCAGCTTTAGTTAATTATTTATATCAATTTGCCAAATTCAGATTTCAATCTCAATCCTAGGCTGTCGAGTTCAGACACACAATGAAACATTCGCCTGCTAAACAATTAAATATGTCATCATTGAGTTCTGCCCATATAACAGTGGAGTATTTTATCATTAAACGGAGAGTGGAATTAAACATGAAGCAAGTTAAACTAGAGAGGAAAAACCGTGTTGTTTTCTAAGTCAGTGAACAAACCATTGACTGAACAAACAAAGAGAGTGAAAATTTTGAAGTTAAACATTTTTTTAAGAGGCAATGCAAAATTAATCAGAAGTGAAATGAACTCATTGAGTTCAGCAGACCATTAAGCATAAGAGTTTCTCAAACTCAGAATGAATTTTTTTTTATTTTTATCAAATTTTCCTCACAAGAATGAGCTTTCAGTTCGCATAGATAATGCCTCATTAAAACATGCTTAGTGGTAAGTTAAGTAGCTTGCTATGCTCTCAAGGTGTTCACTGACAAGTACAAACAATTGCCATATGCATAATTACAAAGCTAGGAAAAATAACAGAGAGAGAGAGAGATGTATTAGCTCCTTTTTGTTGTTGTTTTCTGGGCAGCTTGCTGTGCTAGAAATTTTTCTCGCAATTTCCTGTGACCACAATTTTGTTTTTTTTTTTTGTTTGCCTGGATCCTTCTCAGGAATTTTCCGATGGTCCTTGCCTCAGATGGTTAAAAGTAATTAACAAAGTTTTTTTTCTCTCCATTTTTTTTAAGTAAATGTTTACATGTGTGTAATTTTTACTGTACATTCTTTTGTTATTTATAGTTGTTTGTGGCAAACTGTGTTATGCTAATGGACCTTGGTGGGGCTATTGCCAACTTGTTCTCAATGTTTACCATTGCCACTCCTGTAAATTGACAATGTTTTGTCTCAAGGGAGTCTTGATACCTATTTTGCAGATGTTTTTGTTTTTACCATTGTATCACTCACTATTTTGTTTTGCAACACGATTAACACTGTCATAGATTTCATACTTCAGTGGTTGTCACAGAAGATTACACCCTTTGTAATATATAACCATTCATGTCGCACCTCAGTGGAATCATCAATATTATATCCAGTCCAAATGCATTCAGAATCAGTCTTTGAGACTGTTACACAATTATGGAGTCCTTGAAGAAAAGTTTGTTAGATACAGGAAAGTAAATGTTCTCTCAATGCTGTTCAGTAATTAGTAGACTTATCACAAATTTATGTAAGTTGTAGTTTGAAACTATTTCAGTTTAAAATGAATTCAACCTAGTGAGAATTGAAACCTGGAACAAAGAAAAAAAGCAAATGAAATTAATTTCAAATAAATTTGAATTGAAATTCATTTTAAACTACAGTGTATACAGACATACAAGATTGTCGTTTAGGTTACCTTTGGAAGTGTTTCTTTTTTTTTTTTTATCAGTCTTTTAGTTTCAGCACTATTCATGTCTGTAATTCAGTTGATTGTAAATTCCTCCATTTTTCTCTTCATAAATTTGAAGAACTTCTTCCTTCCAGCCCAGGGATGGATTTAATAATTAAAAATGATTTTCTCTTTCTCCTTTTAACCTTTTAACCCCCAAGATCTCATTAGTAATTCTCCTTACTGTCTGCTATATATTTCTTGTGATGTTACTTCAGAGAATTTAGTACTGGATCAACTATTAGTCCCTTAATATATATTGTTCTTTATTCTCATCACTTGTCTGCTTGATATTGTATTGATATTGTAAGGAGAAATTCTGTCTTAGTCACTTGTGGGAGTTAAAGGTTTAACCAAGGATTATAAGTTTACAGTTGTGCTTTCATAAGATTTGAAGTAGGATACGTGACAAAAAATACTTGTCTTATAATATACTGCAACAATATCTTTTGTGAAACAAGAAATATAACTGTTGTATTGTAAATGAAGAAGTAGATGTGGGTGTTATATTGAATGGCAGTGTTCTCCAGAGAAGTGGTGTTTTCTCAGGGTCCAATACATTGTTTTTTTAAATACGTGGAATGTATCTGGCTTTCTGCATGTGACATGAAGATGTTGGGGAAATTCCCCATTCTTTAGTTACTTGCATGCAACTGTACATTGTCCTTGATGAAAAATCTGATATACTTGTCATTGTTGGTTTTTGGTAGGAATGATCTTTGTCTGCCTTTCATTCAAATTTCATGAACTTAGAAGGAAGTAGTAATTTTAGACCAATATTTTCTTTGTATGGACGTCATATCACTCGTGCATTCTTTCTTCAGAGATGGAAAAGGAGATATTTCAAACTGAGAGAGGGAAACAAGCTATACTATGCCAAATCCAGTGATGTAAGTAGAATCATTCAGTTCTGTAGAGGAGACTTTAGGGCAGCTAGGGAGTTATTATTCCATTGTATGGTGGTTTTGTTTCTCATCTTTGCAATATATCCTACGGCTTTATATGAGCATCTTAGTGACCACGTGAAGGGTGTGTGATAGAAGAAAACATCAAAAATGAAAGCAATCATAGAAAAAATTTTATGCCCTTAAGTTTTTCACTGAAAAAGTGTTGCTTTGTATTTTTGTCCAGTTGATCTACTGCACAGCATAATTCCATTGCATGTTCTGCGTGTTCCATTGCTCTGATATGGTAGAATGGCATGATATAAAATAAATGATATATTGACGTTATGCTAGAAAGGATATTTACTGTAAGCTTTTATCATTTTTTTTAGGAAACACTATTCACTGAAATAGATCTACAGGACTTCAGTGTAGCTGAATCAAGCATTCAAAACAACAACAACTGTTTTAAAGTTAGTGAAATTTTGAAATTTAATATATTTTGATTAATTGAATCAGTTAGATTGTTGGTTGTTGGCAAAAGTGGGAGCTATTCCCATGAATCCATAGGTTATATTCGTCTTAATCAAAAAATGAGAATAGCCCATAAATTAGCTTTGGGTTCCTAAAATGCAGTATTTTTCAAGAATGTGCTTTCAGATTATTCAAGTTTTCATTTTTAAAATCAAAAGTCATGTACTGAAACACTGATAAAATGAAAATGAAAGTATTGCTATTGAACCGAAAAGGTTAAAATTGAAACAGATTTATCACTTGTTGGCAAATTTCTAAGAAACAGTAAGAGTTATTTTTTTCCAAAATTCTGTAACAATTACACAATGTTATGTTAAAGTTTTTCCTACATGGTGTTCAGCGGTTTCATTTTCCTGCAGGTCATCACACCATTTCAAAGTATTAATCTTAGTGCTGATTCCAGAAAGGAAATGGAAGAATGGATAGGCTGTTTAAAGTCTGTTGGATCTCATACCTCTTCTGTAAGTATCTAAGTCAATTGATCTTTTCTTTAACAACACTGTGAATTACACTGAAGTCGTCTCCTCTTTTGAAGAAATCTTTTGTCATGGAAACAAAAGCGTCTAAACCCACAGTTATTAGTTATTGATCATGTTTGTAGAATAATTATACCTAAACAAAGCATCTATCTGTGCGGCTCCATTTCACCATTCCTTTTATACCAGTTTTCCCAATGAGTACTACAGTGTAGTTATTAGTTTGCAGCTGTAAACAGGCCATAAATGATCAACTGTAAGCATGTTTAAGTGTTGTGTTGGGAGGTGATCTTAACTGATACATTTATATTTTTTGGTATTTTGGTTTTTAATGAAATATAGAAGCTTGATGGTGATTAATAAATAGAGAAGCCTTGACTGTGCTCTGTTTTGTTGTAAAGCAGGCAGGAAGCTCCTTGTTTGTACCCTGATAGGGTATGCTTTTTCAACCAGTGATGCCAAGCTTGTATCCAAACTTTATTCTAAATCAATTTATGTTTTATTTTTTCAATCCACTGCACACAACACTATAATTTTTAATGTTGTGGTTTCAGGTTTCTTTACCTTGGTTCTTGTTGTAGTAATACTGACAATACTTTGAGACAGAGTACAAACTGACTTTTGTATTCCAACTGTGGCTTGATCTGTGTACCTTATCTGATGTTTACCTTCATTTTTTTTTTTTAATTACTACCTGTCTTGTTTGTTCTGGCCAATGATTTATTGCAGAAGTATCTTGTGCACTTTTTAATTATTAACTCACTTTAGCCAATTGGAGTTTGCCTACAGAATGCATCTTTAGTCAATGAGAAGTTTACTTCTCTTAGACAAAATTGAAAATTTTTTATTTCTTTAAATATTATGTCTATCTGGATTCCTTAATGAGGCTTCTGTATTTTTCTCTTATTGCAGCAATCAGATTTGTTGGACAGATTATCTGGGGCTCACAATTGGTATTCATGTTCTCATGCAAAAGCTACATTCTGTAATGTTTGTCGTGATGTATTGTCTGGTGTTACATCAAAGGGATTGTCATGTGAAGGTGTGTAACTTGAGATATAAAGTACTAGCACTGTCATTTTCATCTCCTGGGTGATAATGGCATCCACAAAGTACAAATGCAGGAGGAAGTTGTATTTTTATCTTGATTGTCTTTAACCCTTAAACTCTAAAGATCCAGTTGTTAATTCTCCCCTCTAGCTGCTAAACATTTTGTAGTAAATTGTTTGCAAGAATTTGTTTTAGATGAAGTTTAACAAGGTTGAGTATTTTCTTTACCTGTGTGCTGGATAATGAATGAATATTATAGGGAGGAAAAAGGTTAAATCACTTTTGGAAGTTAAATGGTTCTGGGTATTTGACGAGCCAGTGAGAAATCATTAACTTGTTAATGATAGTTGTTTGCCCCCTTAAGAGATACAGATAGGCAAGTAAAATTTTTCTTGTCAGTCATTAGGGAAATTAAGCAGAGAGAATTTACAATTATAGCAAGTGGAGGTTTTGAGTTTTTTTCTTCTGAAAAATGATAAGCATCATTGACATTATAAAAAGCAATAAGCACAGGAAGTACAGAGACCTATCCCATTTCCATTTTTATTAGCCTCTCAAAAATGTCTCTGCTTAACCCTTTGATTCCCTAAGAGTGACAAGCATCTAATCTTGCCTAATACCATATCTCCCCAAAATCTCAGGTTAAGGTCATGAGAATAAAGGAAATGATCACCAACTAGAGAAGCTCTTGATTGTGAAACAAATTCTCCTTCTCAGTACATTAGGAGATATATATAAGGCAGTTGGGAGAATGTGCATACTTATGTTAGTGTGTAAATGGTTGAGTATCCTAATCAATGACCTAAAGTGGAGGAGTTAGCTTTGACTTGTAAATGTGCAGTGATTAAAGTTAAATTTTTGGCTTTGAAATATTTCAATAAGGCATTCAAACTTGTCTGTATTTACATCCTTTGTAAAGATGTTCCATGTTGTTGTTAGATTTGGCATGGATAACTGGAAATAGGTCACTAAATCATTTTTCATTAATTTTTTTATTTCTTAGTTTGTAGATTCAAAGTTCATCGAAGATGTGCTGTACGAGCAAGAAATAACTGTAAATGGACAACCGTACAGTCACTTAGAGGAGAAGAATGTAAATTTGATGAATCTGACCCTGTAAGTTAAATTCAATGATAGGAAAAGCTAACCAAAGCATACAAAAGCAAATTGTCTTACAAAGGATTTTACGTAAGAGCAAGCTTACCAGTACAGCATCCAATTTTTCTTAAAAAAACATGAGTCATCTTTGAATTGATCTCTGTATGAGTATTTGATAAATAAATGTAACTACATGTAGGCTAAAACAGGGTATGATAATTTTTTTTAAAAAACTTGATTTTATGTAAAATTTCGTAGTCAATTGTAATGCATTATGTAACTACTGTATACAACACTGTATACTTCAGGAAATTGACCATTTTCATTTTTATCATCTATGGGTTTTTTGTATGTGCAGTTCTTTATGCCTTTTGGCAGGTGAATGAAATGTTATTTTTTTTTTGCCATATAATATTATCAGTGCTTTAATTTGATCATCTGTTTTATTGATGTGGGTCGGTTATTGTTTAAAAAATTGGTTCATTTTCTCATATATAGATAAAAACAAGTTGTAGTTGATTTGGACCTTAAATCTGTCATCTTTAACTTTTATTATTATTCCAGCTTTCAGTGCCTCATCAGTGGCTTGAAGGAAACCTTCCTCCCTCTGCTAAGTGTGGAGTGTGTGATGAAATATGTGGCAGTAAGAGAAGGCTTCAGGGATATAGATGCCTTTGGTGTAATTTAATGGTGGGCTGCTACACTTGCTTTTAATTAAATGCTTTGTATATCATTTAAAGGGGTAAGTTTCTGAGATACTGTGGTGCTGCGTCAGTGGAGGGTATTACAGGATAGCGTGGTTGTATCAACCAAGTTGATAAATTAATGTTAGGTGGCTATTGTAAAGAGTTTCTAAGGCTGATATTTTGAGTGTTGGTCCTTTGTCAGAACAAAGTGCCAATGCTTTGACAAAGGGCTAACACTTGAAACATCTGTATAGCCATAGAATTCTTACTGTGGCCAATTAGCAGCATCAGCTCAGTTGTATATCAAATGGGGAACAAATGGGATGGTTTGGAAACCAGTAAAGGGGCCCAAACAGTTTGCAGTGTCCCTACTATTGAATAATTAAGTCAGTAATGTTGGAAGGTAGGTGGCATAATGTTATCAACACGAGAGGACTTCAGTCTCCCCAGGAGCACACAGGTCACTATGGCAACTAATCCTCACTGCATACATCAAAGCATCTGTCTACACAAGATTGATGAATGGGTGTGTGGAATGAGTACTCACCTTGAGTGGGGAAAGGAAGAAGGAAATATGTAACTAATTTGAGCAAAAACACATTGCAACACACCTGTAGGCCTCCCTGTATACCCCTGTACTGTTAGTTTGCCATTGATGCCATTTCACTCCCAAGACCTCATCAGTAATTCTCCTTACTGTCTGCCAGCAATTTTTATGACGTTCAGAGAATTTGGTATTGGATCTACTAAAATTCCTAAGTGACACTTTGTTTTTCTCATGAAGTGCCTGCTTGATATTGTAAGGAGAAATTCTGTCTTGGTCACTCATGGTAGTTTAAGGGTTAAATGAACTTGAAAGTGATGGTTTTGCTTTTCAGGTTCACCAGTGCTGTCGATCTCAATCACCACAATGTTCTTTTGGTGAAAATGCTTTGTTCACCTTACCTCCTTCGTCTGTTCTAAGTTCATCTGGCTCCCTTGTATGGAATGTAAGTGAAATATTTACCTTCAGACTTCAATATTATTTTAGCTTACTTCTCACATTTATGTTTCCTTACTCAGTAATGGGATTATTTTTGTAGTATTATTTGATAAATTGGTTGATTACCATTAGCCTTGTGTGGGATAATGTTTTTATTGTGTAAAGGAATGTTTCATCTTAATTGCTTGACCATTAGTTAAAGAGATTCAAGAGTCCAAACTCTTTTCAAGCTACTTTGTACTCATAGCAGCATGTGGCAGTTCTTTTTTTTTTTTTTTCATGTCAAGGAAAAGATGACCCTCTTTCCTAATTTATTGTTTTTGTTGTCATTACTGTTATGCTCTCATCATTGTTAATGATAATCATCACCTTTGTTATTCTTTATGTCTTTGCCTTTATTACTATAATTTTCATTTTTTTTCACTGTTATAACTTTTATAAATTGCTACTTTTCATTTGAATTCCTAGTCTGTTAAACCTTCTGGGTGTCTTCCGATGCTTGTCTTTGTTAATTCAAAAAGTGGTGATAATCAGGTTCGTAATTGTTTTTACATTGGGCCATGCTATAAAATATCCACTTAATTTCGTATTTCCTGTTGTCTGATGTACATATTGATGACATTTAAGAATCTCCATTGGTTGCAGGCAGGTTGCTCCTGTAGGGAGTCTTACACTGTTTACTGTTGCACTGGCTTTTTCCACACCAGGGTCTATTATTATTATTATTGCAAATTATCAGTTATTTCTGTGGGTTGAAATGCAATATAGGACTCTCCCTCCTTATTTATGTCACTCTTCAATACAGATGTTCCTTTTTTACGCAAACTAATATACTCCGTCAACACCAATGTTGCTGTTTTCAGATGATAACAAATCCATCTTACAAGTAATAAAATCCCTTGCCTATTGATCTTAACCATATTCGTGTTTATTTATTAATTTTGATAATTTTTTTTTTCTTTTTAGGGTGTAAAGTTTATTAGAAGATTTAAACAGTTATTAAATCCACTTCAAGTGTTTGATCTTGCTCTTGGAGGCCCCTCCAAAGGGTAAGTGATACGTTCAATGAAGCAAAGTTTTAAATGTGTGTGAGAGAAGTCAAGTATGTGTGAGAGACAGCCATGTGGTTAGGGCATAGGACTTCAGATCGAAAAACTGTAAGTTCAAGCTCTGGTTGGTGTCACTGTGTAATTTTCTTGTACATGTGCAAGACACTTTTTATTCTCACAGGGGTGTCACTTTAACCAGGAGTGTGGCAAAGTGTTCGAGAAATTAGATTAATTGTTGACGGATAACCTACCGTGAGGTAGCATCCCGTTTCAGAGGAATCAAAATACTCCTTCTTGCGCCTGCTTCAAGCCAGGGCAAGTTGTATCAGTTACCTGCAAGGCGATTTTTTATGTAAAAGTTGTGTGAACAAAAATTTACACTTCCATGCAATTTCTTTATTGTCAGATTGAAGTTGTTCCAAAATTTTGACCATTTTCGAATACTGGTGTGCGGAGGTGACGGCTCTGTTGGGTGGGTGATGAATGAAGTCGACCGGATGAATCTCTCAACTCAGGTAGGAATTTTCTTTATTCTCGCCATCTCTTTTCTTGATAATGCGTCGACATTGTAAGGAGGCGTAGCGTATTTAATATCACCTCGGAAGGTTTGATGTCAAATCTAAAACCGGCCAATCATCAATACAAATTCTCTGCAATTGTCTAGATAGATGATTCGCATTTTAAATTTGTTTTCACTAAGAAAGCAAAGGATATCCTTTCATTGATGCATTCTCTCGTTCACAGTGTCAACTTGGTGTTTTACCGCTGGGTACTGGAAATGATTTGTCGAGGGTTCTTGGCTGGGGAACCTCGTTTGATGACGACACTGCGGTAACGCAGTTTCTGCGCCATTTGGAAAGGGCCAAAGCAGCAGTACTTGATAGGTGAGTGAAAAAAAAAATGTGCTTGATCTGTTGCCAGGGTTAATTAAATTTTTTAGCAGGACTGCCTCAAGTTTTACCAAAGGGACCCTCCTCCGTGGCTTACAGGAGGGATTTCCCTTGATTGTCGTAAAACTAAAACCAAGTCCAATCGGATAAAGGAAATACTGAATATCTTTAGGAATTCAACGAGAACCAGTGAATTTGCGTTAACTGCTGCAGTCACGGGAAATGCAAGTAACCAAGTCGCGATTGGTTTTACTTTTGCATTCGTTTGGTTGGGACATTTATGCATTTTTTCTCGAACAAAGCACGACCTCTACAATCCCAGATTGCTTTCTGATTCAACGCTGATTTGAAATTTTTTTGAAGCTTTCACTTAATAACCAGCAGCTGGTGAGTACAATTACTCGCATCAAAATGAAATGGATGTCTATACTTTTATCTTTACAGATGGAGTATAATGGTTGAAGAGAAACCCTTATCCGCGTCTAGAAGTTCATCGATAGAAACATTAGATATACCTGTAAGTCTTTGATTTAGTTTACAAAGCTGTATGCAAAGGGGAAGGCGTGTGTGATGCCATTTTGTTGAATCATAACTTTGGATGAGACAGCGACGAAATTTTACAGATTTAGTAATTCTCCCTAAAGCTTCGGTACATTTCCTGGCTTCTCACCTAAGATAATGTAGTGTTGTATTAAGATTATAGCCTGTAGCTGAAAAGTTTGTGTATTCTCATCACCCGCTTGCTGGATAATGTTTTATTTCATAAGGAGAAGTCACATGAAAACTATCACCTCCCAGAATGATAAATAGAGTGACAGTTTTCTTCTCTTCCGTTTTTTAGTACAAACATGATGTCGACATCATCGACACGTTCGAGAACAACGTGGCAACACACTTAACAAGAATACTACATTCCAGCGATCACTCTGTGGTCATCTCTTCTGCAAGGTAGAAATGTTTTGTGAACGTGTTAAGCTTCATGGTTGTACAATCTGTAATTTTCCCCCAAACCTTTGGAACAAATCCAAGAAAGTCAGTAAATAGCGACTAAAGCAAAAAGTGCTGTTCGTAAGCCGGTGTAAACTACTCTGCGTTGACTTCACCGAGGTGCACTTCAGGGTCTGATTAATTACCTGTGAAAAAAAGTAGTTAATTTTACTCTCTGGACTGCCTAGAAAACCTTTGGGAGTTCCTGGGTGGAATATAAATGGTTTAGGAATACAGATGGCAAGAGATCTGAAACTCAGGCTCTGGAGGTGCAAGCTAATAATTTTATTCTAAAATTACACGATATTTAAGTGTCTTGCCCAAGAACACGACCCATCGGCCCAAACAGGGCTAGAGCCGAGACTTCTTCAAATTCTCTATGAAAGTAAAGATAAATTACTCGAAAAAGAAGAATACGCAGTAAAATCTACATATCAGTCTTAGTTGATCACCATGATTGTTTCTGTATTAGAGTGCTGTGCGAGACGGTGAAGGATTTTGTGTCAAAAATTGGAACAGCGTCAGCAAATTCTGATCCCTCTGAAGCAGACGAGCCCAACTCATTGGCACAAAAGGTTGGTAATCTTGATTGACATCGCGGTCTTCACTTCAAGTCAGCGGTTCTTTGCTTTAGTTTAAAACAATATTTCATTATCATTCAAATATTTCATTCATGCTCTCTTCTGTGGAAGAGAGCATGATAGCACCCTATAGCACCCGTCACACTGAAGCCAGAAGCCCAGTGGAAGTAAAATGCAAAAACCCCTGAAACAAGATCATTTCCTTTTCCTTTTTCTAATGAGTTAAATAATTGATTCAGCATTTCGAATGTAAGGATAAATTAGATTGTGGTCACTCTTGTAGTTTTGAAAGGTCAAGGGACACTCTCAAGAGTGATAGTGTTGGGTGTTGAAAAGATTCTCTTTTCTCCATGTCTCAACTGGACAGTCAACATTGCTGAAGGCTTGTTGTCTTGAATTTAGAAGGACCACTGGCACTCATTTCCCGGCCGATTTATTTATTCTTTTTTCTATTTGCCTTTAAGTGCACGATACTCAATGAAAAGTTAAACCTTCTCCTCAACACACTGAGTATAGAGTCAGAGGCCCTACCCTCCTCCTCAAGGGAGGAATTGTCATCAGAGGGCGCAGGGATGGCTGGGAATGGAAACGGAAGACAGAAAGTATTCGTACCCAAGGAAGCTCTGATGTCGAGAGCGAACAGCTTAAAAAAAGCTCTCAAACAAATTATAGAGCACGCAGAACAAGGTATGAGTAAGTCACGATAACAGATAGCAGTGACATCCTTTCAATAGGACCATCACCACGCAATGAAAATGAAGTCGTAGTGTGGCCAGTTTTTCTCTGAAGTTTGAAATAAATGCGGGTTTACATTACTGTTAATATATTTTGGTCACCCTCCGATTGGTCTAAAATTGTCACGCAACCTCTTCCTCAAACTAATTGCATGCGAAGCTCATCGCAACTTAATTATCCTGGCTCTTCGGGCGTTCGTGGGCTCCCTGTGATTTTACTCTTCGTTCGTTGTGGATATTTGGTGGTTATTGTACGAAAGCCATTCGAGACGCGCGCTAACAGGGTGATAACATTAACAACGTTGCAAGCTAAGAAATAAGTGGACTTTTGAATCGTTCGGTGGACAAATATGTGGTTTGGCTCTTTTTCTTAAGATCTTTGCATTAAAACGATCATCATATTTCATCCTAGCTGTGGACGAGCAGAATGCACAGACCAGAGCGTCGACAAGCTCCCTAGCGGAGGCCATTGTAACTGTGGCCGCGTCGGCAGCCGGGGGAGTGGTGACCACTTCTACAGCTACCATGGAAGAAGGATCGGAACTTGTGCGAGGTTTGTTTAATAAAATGACGACAATAACAAAAAGGGGCCCCGCTTGAAATGAATTACAGATATGATAAAGTAGTCTACATAGTGACATGCAGTTGCGTTACGATGATTCAATACGCCAAACTCATGATCTCAAATCATCAATGCCATCCGGCACAGAGAAAGATACTTATTTCACCTTGCACAAACGGCTTAAAAACGTGGACTAAAAGAAAACTGCTCTAGTCTTTGGTAAATGGTTGTCTGATATTCTGCTTGTTGTCGTTTCAGATAACGAAGGGAACATCCTGGCCACCGGAGGAGATCCCTCGGGGGATGTATTTACCCGGGAGTCTGGTCCGAGTTCCCAGGACAATAGACTTATCGAAGCTGACCCCAGTCCTTCCACCTGGGTTTCCTCTGAGCAACGCAAGTCTCCGATATCTCGTTGCATCAGCCGGGGTAGCGCGCATCCGTTCAGTTTTGAGTCACCATTTGAAGAAAAGCTTTTCGCAGCAGGTGGCAAACCAACGGTCCACATTGGTGGTTGTATGATCTCCAGAGCATTCCTCAAGGAGAAACCCAGTGAAGGATTAATGGGAGCGATTGGTCGAGCATTGCTAGCCAATGCAGATGCACTGTGTGCCGCAGCCACGCCTATGATGAACAATGTGTTTGATGTGTAAGTTGACACTGTTGCCAGTTTGCATTTGTCGGGACTGGCCTGTCGCACTTTACTGTCCTATTCACAATTGGAACTGTCCTGCTCATAGACCTGACATAGCCGATAGCGGCGGAACTGACCTTGTTCTTCGAGTAGAATTGCACGGGTTTGTTTTCACACTTCCGCGTGGACAACAAGCAAAATGCGCAGGCGATAGAGAGGAGATTATCTTTCGTGCTCGCTCTGCTCCGTTGTAGTCTTGAATGTTCCATGCCTGACCGGAATTTGTTATGTTCGCTGGAGGCCTGTGTACCTCTTAGTCTGAATTTTAAACTTTTCAGGAGTAGATGAGTCAAAATCTCTAATAGTTATATTAAAAAATTATATAATATTTCAGTGTAAAAAGTGCTTATTTATTGGCTAATTCTTCGCTGCTTTATAGTGAGGGATATACGGAGAAATGTGTAATGAACAACTACTTTGGAATTGGACTGGACGCTAAGATTGCACTGGATTTTCACACCAGAAGAGAGGAGCATCCCGAAAAATTCAGGTTGGCAATCGCTCGGAGTTTTAACCTTGCTGGTCTTTCAACTCACGACAAGTTTGTGCTCAACTTAGAGAGGTGGTGACTCATTCTTTTTAGTGTCTATTTCAAATCTTTTTGTCTCATTTATTTTTCTGTCGTAGGCACCGAGCGTTAAATTTACTATACTATGGCTTGTTGGGGGGAAGAGAGCTCTTGCAGAGAACACACAAGAACTTAGATCAAAGGGTGAGACTTGAGGTAAGAAGAAAGCTTTTTCAATTCACGATGTGCAGCAATTTTATGTTGTCATATTCCCTCAGATTTTCTTGGTTGGTTGAGGAGTGATAAGTAAAGCAGTGCTCTGCTTTTTAATTTCCTGTGTGACACTGACTTAGCTGCCGTGCGATTTAAGAGCGATTTGAATTTGGAAATCGTATGAACAATGAAATTTTGAAGCTTTGATGATTAGGGCTCCCATAACAGTCCTTACTTAATGAAGATACCTCTTCCAACACTTTTCTTGTTAGAATTCGAGATCGCTTCTTCTTCTTCTCCTCCTGACCAGTATTCAGTGAGAGCAATTTTCAAATGAGTGTCGAAAGTAATCCGAGACAGCATTGGTTGTCCTTTTCTTTGCTCTGTGATTGGGTTAGGAAACTCGCGTCACACTCTCAACCAATCAGATGCAAAACTAAAACCAATCCCGATTTGGTCGCCCGCGTTTTCCCGCGCTTTAGGCTGATTGGTTGTTCGTACTTTGAGTTCTCATTGGGTCTTAGAGTTATTTTCCTTTCTTTTGATTGGCTGTTGCGATTTATTGGTTTTTTTATACGACACTCAATCGAAAAGCGTTCGTTACTGATGACCTGTTTTTTTACTTTTATACTCAGTGCGACGGACACAAAATCAATCTTCCAAGTCTTCAAGGAATTGTGGTGTTAAATATAACAAGGTACGGGTTCAGAACCTTTCATTCAACAAAAGCGAAAAGCTTGGTGAGATTTATCTTGATTCCAGTGGAGTTTAGAGGGAATGGAGAGTTGTTACCACAAAATACGTAACTCAAGTCAAAAACACTCCACAAGTAAGATTCTTGCGGTTAAAAGCCTCTTGCGAAAGGTACTCTAAATGATTTTTATCAAGCTCTTTCAAAATGGAAATATTTTTCTCGGCTATTTGTGCATTTATCTATCTAACCATGTAATTTGTTTTTCATTTCAATGATTCCAATTCTAAAATTTCAATCATTGTAGAATTACCATAAAGTTTTCAGTGTCCTAATTCCTTTAATTTCTTCTTGGTATCAGAATTAGATGCTTTGGAAGGAAAAATTCAACTCGAAATCAAGGCCTTTCGAATTTTTTTCTATGTGACATAAGGGAAATCCATTAATCCCTCCCCCCCCCTTCTCCTTCCGGCGGCAAATAACGACCGATTTCGTAGAATAACTTTTGCACTACTAGTTATTCAAGTTTAACCTGTTTTTCTTCTTTCTCTATAGTTACATGGGTGGTGCGAACTTCTGGGGAACAGGGAGAGATGATGTAAGTGCTTATTCTTTTCCTCATTGGATATTTGGACAAAATTCAACCTCTTTTCTTTTATACCTTAACACGAGTACTGCTGTTAAATGTTTCAGGGTTTTAACGAGCCTTCTGTTGACGACAACATCCTTGAAGTTGTGGCAGTTCTTGGTGCACACCAGATGGTATGGTTATACAGATACCTGATATCAGATTCGTTAGTCTATGTGGTTCTCTTAAGTGCTTACGCTCGATCAAGACAATTTTTGTACTCGTGTTTGACCATACTTAATGTCAATAGAGGTAATTTTCATTCTCTTTGTCGCAGGGAATGTGTAAAGTTTTTGGAGGTATGCCACATCACCGGATCGCACAGGTAAGTTTGTGTGAAAGGATGAGCAAGCTCCTAAAACCATGCAATTTTTTGTTGTCGCTATCAAAAATACATGGACTCGAGTTTCGAAATTCCACAGAGTAACCCCGCCGCAACCTTTCGAAAATTATCTTCAACTATGGAGGCCGGCATTTTGACTTGAGAATTCATGGCTTTACTCATGGACCCTGCTAAATTTCCCCTTCATTCCCTGAACTTCCTTCATTTGTAAACCCCCTTACTCTTAATGCTCGATTTGCTTCCAGTGTCGGACTGTAAAAATCTCCATATTTGGTGAATCAGTGCCAGTTCAGGTGGACGGCGAGGCCTGGATGCAACCTCCGGGATATATCAAAATCGTCCACAAAAACCGAGCACAGATGTTGGTCAGAGACAGAGTAAGATTTTTGGTTTCGTACTAAAGAGGTTATTTCACCGCATGTACAGCCGTAGGAGTAAAGCTTAAACCCTTTTCTCCCAGGATCTGATCGCTCATACTCCTCCCCATCCCCCTCTACACATTTCCTGGCAAATTAGTTACGAGAATTTGATTTTAATAAGCACGAGTAAATTTTTCAGCAAATTGCACGAGCCCGTAGGGCAAGTGCAATTCGTAGTCTTTGGTAAATTTTAGAAGTGCTTATTACACCAAATTGCGAAAGAAATCGTGTTATAACTTGTTAATAATATACATTAAAAAACATTACAGATAGTCAAGACAGACGAAATTTTTAAAGCGTGCTGGCGCTATTTGTAATTTGCACTCGCGTTACGTGGGAATGCTCTCGTTTTCAGCCAATCAGAAGTGTGTAATTTTTCATGTACATCATCAGATCAGGATAACTTCTACCTAATAAGTTTAATTACTCTCATTACACGAAAACGAGGCATGGGCAAGCTCACTTGCCCGTGCCTTGTTTTCACATTGAGGCGTGTTGCATAGATTAGTTTGTTTTATATTTTAAAAAGGCGTCTAAAAGAAAAATGCACTAAATTTCAATAAAACAGTTGTTTTTTTGAGGTTTCGTTCTCGAATGAAAGGATTGATTTGATGACATTTGAAACTGTGTGTTTCATTTTGCAGGAATTCGAGTTAACATTAAAAGAATGGACAGAACTCCAAGCGGAGAAGATTAGTCCCTGTGTAACGAATGCTCAGGCAGAAGTGCTGACCTCCCTCGTTCAGTGTCTCAGTATTTTTGTCAATTGGTAAGGACACGGACGTGATTTGATCTCTATGTTTCATTTACATCTCGCTTCGCATCCCAAGGATTTTCATAGCAAAGCCTATCGTACAATCTTTTCTTTGGTTGGAAAAAGATTGTCTTGATCTCTTTCAAAATACTTCCCCGTATCCGAAAGTCTCTCTGCTAAAAAAAGGAAACCAGTGGGCGCGCAAGGGAGCAATGGAATGCATTTGACAGAGAGGCTTTCTTGTTTCCATGATTCCCCGCCTCTCGCTCGTTATCAGTCCCCGAGTGGAGTGTCTTCGAGGCGTTTTTGGAGGACTTAAAATTTTTCAAAGTTCATTTTTGACTACCCGAAATGCTCCCTTCTCTTAATCCTTTTCTCTTTCCCGGTGGGATATCATTCTTGTCATATGCGACCTCCGTGCCAAGATAGTTCGTGTGACCTGAGAGGTTATTTATCTAACTCAGGAGCCTTTTGGGAAGAAAAACAAAAACAAAAAACAGGATTTGAGCCGTCCTTCGTTCCATTTTTTTTCTTTTTTTATGTCAGCGTGAAAACCATGTGTGAACCGCATGAAAAGGATCTTCGAGAGTTAATTACCTTGGCGGAATCTTGTGCTAGCTCCTTAGAAAAACTCGTGCTGGATGGCGGAAAAATTCCCGAGGTGAGTTTACGAATCTTTTTACGCAGAGCTTCGTAAGTGGTTGCAGTTGTTTTTAACAGACGCTGAGCTCTATGATATTATATCATATTTTACCCAAAACAGGTTTATTTGTTTTCCTTATAAAGTTAGCATTGTTTGCTGGCTCAAAAAACCTTAATTCCTAACGGTAAGACTGTGTGGCCGGGGTACAATTCAGGGTGTAATCGAATGAGTGATTTCAAATTGGCCGAGCGCGTAGCGTGAGGCAAGTTTGAAATTACGAGTTTGGACTTGAAACAGCCAATTAAGCCAAAAATAGGGGCTGTTAGGAATCACTTTAGTCGAGCATCCTGTTATTGACACAGTTCAAATGTTTAATTCGTTGCTTTTAAACCCAGGCCCCAAGTCGAGGTCGTATTACAGATCTTGTGACGACCGGGAGGGCATTGGTTCAATCGATAACTTATTTCCTCCAGTTCGAGTTTCCAGCTCTTGAACCAGTAAGTATTTCTTTTTTGATAAATATTTTAATATAATCCGGGTAGAGTTCTGTCTAGTAACCGGGAGGACCGTTATAAGGAGACAGTATTTGGCTGGAAATAAATGCTTTTTTGGCGCCAAAGCGGTAAAGTCGTGCGGTAAAACAAACCATTCTACATTTTGTTAATGACATTTGACCAGTTCTCTTGGATAGTCACACTCACCGATTTTATATTGGGACTGAGTTGGTAGAACCCAGTTATGAGTAACATCAACAATATCATACAGAAATCTATCTTTGAAGCTTTTTAAGTTTAAGGGTTTTCGTTCTCGCTCTTCTTGAAAGTTACGCTTTTTTAACCTTAAATTTGAAAAGGAAGGAAAGAGGCGAGAAATTTCCAGGAAATAAATGCTTTCCTGACTTACTTTGTGTGTATTTATTTCCTTTGTGGGAGACTGGGTGGGTTGGTCATGAACGCGCTAGACTCCTGAGCGAGAGGTTTAGGTTCGAGCCCTCGTTGGGTCATTATGTGGTGTGATCTTTGGCAAGGCTCTTGAGCGTTCACAGTGCCACACTGGATACAGGATATCGTTGGCTATTGTTGAACTTTGAGAGGACTCATTCTTGCGAGGCAGGGGGTGACCTGGTGAAGGGTGAGCGGGTGGGGGCTGGGGGCTGGGGGTGGGGGTGGCCGCGTGGACTGGTTAGGGTGACCGGACGGGGGGCCCGTGGGACCTAAGATCCCATCCAGGAAGAGCACTCATACTCCTTGTTACAGAAACGGAAGTAAATTGCGCTAGTTATAGGCCTTACGGCTTCACGAGAATTAACTTTACTTGTTTCGTACCAACTTGCAGGCAATGCCATCAGAAATTGAACGGAACTTGTTGTCTTCAATTCAAACGGTGAAACCTCTCATCAACAGGACAATTGAGGCGTATGGACTAACAAATATTGCTGACGACGAGGTTAGTGATTCATGTAATTTCCCGCAGTTTGATCGCGTTCCTTGAAGCCACAAAGTTGCATTGGTATTGTGACGTGTCAAATATTCAAGACATCAAATCGCCAAATTTGTTTATCCCAGTAACTCCGAGAGGTCATTTAGATGTAACCTCTCCCTATGATATCTCTGAACTCTCTAGCAAACAGGTATCGAGAATTTAGGTTTCGCCAAAGTTAACAAGAGCTCGTGCTCAAGAAGAAAACTTTGTTCTTTCCCTCTTAAGGTTTGTTCGAAAATGGCTCTATAATTAAATTTCAGGTTGATCGACAGTCGTCAAGCAGAGGGAGAAGCAAGTTTAGATTTTCTGGACTGCTGAAGTCAAAGAAGCCGGAAATGACTAAAGTCGGGTCAGCCCCATCAGGTGTGTAGCAGCGTAGAAGTCATTTTCTGTAAGGGACCGGTTATGAAGTAAAGCAGAGGGGGGGCGGGAGACAGGGAGATGGGCTGGGGGGAGAGGCAGGGAGATGGGCTGGTTAAAAGAGAGAAGGGTGGGCGGCCACCATTTTGTGCATGAGAAAAGGTAAGGTATAGAAAACAAGTCATGCAGTACAGAGGGGGTGAGTCATATGTAAAACATGCTTGAATCTGATCGTGCAAGAAGTGTATTATTGACAGTATGATATTTACAACTTTGAAGATGGACTTTTTTTGGTCAAGTTCCTGAAGGAATAGAAAACACTACCTGAACACATTACACCGAGAACTTTTTAAAGGGGGGGTTATAGCTTTTTTTTATGAGGATTCTTCGGTGGGCTTCGTTTAGTTATGCACTTACCAAGGGGTGGGCTACTGATAATAATTTTATTATCGATTTTTTCCCAGTCTGCCTTCCCCCCCCCTTCTGTACTTTATGACCAGTCCCCAAACGATATCTAAATCAGAGGGAAAGGTGATAATAACTACTAAATTTTATAGAGTAGTTTTTCTTGTACATTCAGGCGCGTTGACAAAGAGTGATCGCTGAGAATGGGCAGGGATAAAAGAGAGAATGATTATTTCGCTCTCTTTGATATAATCATAGTTGCTTTACCGCTGATTGTTTTCCAGGTCACATGATTTCATATTGGGGAGTTGAGGAGGTCGGGAACTGGTTGGAAAGCCTGGGACTGTCGGAATACAAGGAAAACTTTGAAAGTCATGACATCCGGGGCAATGAGCTGTTAAATTTAACCAGAGGGGATTTGAAGGTACTGGTACATCAAGCACATTACATGAAATGATTTTGTAATTGAGACCATATTTTCGCCATTGGCTGTGCGAGAAATTTCGATCTTGAGTTCTGGTTGGATTATTGTGTTGTGTTACCCCCAGTGACGAGAAACAATACTCCCTTTGTGTGCCTTTCTCCCTGTTGAACCGAAATGATTATCGCTTACGAATAGCGGGAAGACATAGAAAATACAAGGGAGGAGTGGGACGATTGATGAACTGGTTAGTGTCACATTTAAAGGAATAAGCCCCCAACAACATCTCGTGACAAGAATTGAGATAGGCACCAGATTTTGAATAGTAACAGATCTCCCAGTCTATTTCACGTTCGTTCTTTGAGATGGCACTGAACGGCGGAACGTTGCGCGATATCTCAAAGACTGCGAAGAAAACCACGGGTCTAGTTTATTTGGCAAAACTAATTATATTTCCTTCACCAGGAACTGGGTGTTACCAAAGTGGGGCACGTCAAGCGCATTCTACACAGTGTAAAGGCTCTATGCGGGGGGGTGTCTCCTAAGTCAGCGCAAAGGATTGAACGGACAGCGAAAGCCGAGGAGAGGGCTGGACGGGGGAAGAGGACAATTGAAAAGGAGGACAGCCATTGAAAGAGGGCGAGAAGAGACTGGGGTGGAAAGATACTTGAAAATTTGAGCCTCTGTGAAGTAAGGTAAAAGAGTTCTATTTATTTCAGCCATTTGACGAAGAAGCTCCATCTTACGTTGTGGCTAAGTAACATGAGAGATCTTTGAAACAAGGTATTTGTAAGAAGGCGTTAAGAGACTGCCTTTTTGGAGTGGAAAAATCCTTGAATATTTGAGCTATTGTGAAGTAAGGTGAAAGAGTTCTATTTATTTCAGACATTTTGCGAAGAAGTTCTGTCGTACGTCGTAGCTAAGTAACTTGAAAGGTCTTTGAAACAAGGTATTTGTAGAAAGTAATTGGCCTTACTAGACACACAGTCCTCCAGAAATGATCACTTGAAATCCTGTTTTAATAGTCTGGCGATGGAGGGAATCAAATCAAATGACATTATATTGCGTATATTATTCCTGTTAGGATAATAACTACAACCATAAGTTATCTATTGTAGCTGTATTGGAGAAGTGTCACTCTAAGAGGTAAACGATTCCATGAAGGACAACAATAATCTAGATCTCGTCCTACATTCGAATTAATCGATTGACATAAGTGAAACTGAAGCAAAGTAGTTGGGATTTATACTAACGGATAAGAGACGAATTGTTGATTCATAGATGCGAATACAAAGTTTTCTGTTAAAAGCTCCTTTTTACCGGTTGCCAAGAATATTTTGACCGCTTGTAAATTATCCCCCAATTCGAGAGTTCGAGTAATCTTGTATTTATATCTGAGAATGACTGAAAAATTCAACTAATTTTCTAGATTTGAATGAGTGAAGCAATAATTTTTTTATAGCGTGGTTACTTTTTAAATAGTGCTTTTAATACTTTTTAAAAGTATTTGTTTTTTCGTTTTCTTTATGGTGATGTTTTTTTTCTTTGTTTTTTTTTTTTAAACCATGAAGTATATCAGGGTTGAAATACTTAGAATTTCTCCGTAAGAAACAAAACGTAATTTCCCATTCTTGCAAAAAGAATGTTGGCAGAAGATATTTGATGATACGAAATATTGAATGCAAAATCTCAGAGAAGATGAATTTGCGCGGTTAAAATATCAGCGATTCGTGTTGCAATATCTGCATTACATTTTGAAATTGTATGGAAGTGAAATTCTGATAAATTTTCTGATCACGCTGTTGTTTATTGCATTTTCGAAAAATGTCCTTGCTTTTGTGTATTTTTCATTCGAGTGGATATTTATTTACAATTACCACAAGTTTAGGATAAAGAAAGTTGTTGTTTCGGGTAATGAGTCATTCCAAAAAAAAAAATTTTAAATGTAAATTAAAAATTACCTCTTTACCTTTGATATCGGTAAAATAACCGGCCCAGCCCCACAGTTTTTTCAGAAACCTACCCAGTTTGTTTCCCGTTAGCTGCCTTGTGGGAATATTGCTTAAGCCCATTGTGTTTGCAGAACAATTTATATTGTCATTTTCTGCTTGCAATACTTCCAGTGTTTTTCAAATTCTCTTGCGCCCTGCAACACTGAATCAAGGTAGACATGTTGTAGTTTCTAAAAGATAAACGTCTCACGTAGCTCACTAGAACAAAACGTTTGTCTTTGCGCACTCCTGTCAATCCAGAGAGAGAGATTGGTGACGAGCTTTGACCGGAAATGACGTTTCCGTGGAGGGTTTAGAAGTGTCGAGTTTTCTGATTGGCTTTTGACTGATCAGCAACAACCAATCAATGTCTCGTATGAGTAAGTGGGAGAGATCTGTGTTCGAGGTCTCCCCTATAAATTAAATTTAACGCGCGAAAGAAGGGGTTTGTTCACTTAGATAAAAAATCAAATAAAGCTTTAATAAATATTAAACTTCTTTGAGTGGTCAGGCAACCAGCTCAGCTGTTGTACAGTGAAGTATTAGAGACATGAGAGAAATTCAAATGTTATTAATTTTGTATAAAATGTAATCGAGAATAGAAAATGACCATACGAGTAAATTCTGTAAAACAGAGAAGAAGAGTATATTTATTATTACATCGTTGGAGTTCTTTGCGTTATAAATACGTGTAGTTTCAGTGAAAGGCTTACAGTGTGTAGTGTCATACCATGTTCACTTCTATCTCTGGTGGCCAACAGTTTGTTTCATGCCAATTTTGTTTTGTTTGAACGTGGTTTTGCCGAACAATATGCCTCGTGTTCTTTCAATTGCCTTGTGCACAAGAAGCTCAGTACACACTCTGTTAGCAAGTTCTACTTGTTAAGCGTCGAGAGATTGCTACTCGAAAACGAGAACTTGCTCGCAAGCCTTGTAGTTCGTAACCCTTAAACTCTCAGGAATGACTAAGACAGAATTTCTCCTTACAATATCAATACAATTCAAGCAGACAAGAGATGAGAATAGATAAAAATCTAAACTAGGGGATTACTAGTTGATCCAATTCCAAATTCTTCGAAGTAACATTATAAGAATGGAAAGGCAGATTGTAAGGAGAATTACTAACGAGATCTAGGGAGTTCAAGGGTTAATGTGGACCACATACATCTAGTTCGATGATTTGAAACTCGTGTACAAACCAATCAGAGTTGGCTTGCAAGAAACTGTTGGCTCTTCATCTGGTAGATGAGTAGAAAAATGGCTTTTTGAATAGGTTTTTTCATAAAGATATCTTTGGGTCAGTATCGCATGATCGCAAGGTAATTTCGCGATCCTTATGTACCTTAAATGGATACTTCGTTATAAAACCTTTCTTCAAGGAAAAGAAAACGAATTTTAGTTTAAATGAAGGAGCTGCCTCACGGTATTTTAATTCTTTTCTTTTGCGTTAAAAATTGCCTTTGAAAGAAAAGGAAAGAACTGGGCATCAGTTCAATTGAGTGTCAAAAGTAATCAGGGACCACTGAGGTTTTGCTTTGCTTCGTCCTGTGATTGGTGCGAAAAACTCGACTTATCTCCTCGACCAATCAGACGCAAGACTAAATCGGTTGCATCTCGAACGCTTGCGTTTTCCCGCGCTCGTTTTTAGTTCTGATTGGCTTCTTGTGATATTTTCCCGTTGTTCTGATTGGTTGTCGTAATTTCTTTGGTTTTGGTTTTTACGACACTCCATCGAAGTGCGTTCCATTCAAATAATCACTTACTAGTACAGAAAAAAAGAAAACAAAAGCAGAACAATGAGAATAAACGAAATAGAGTTACAAATAGGGAAAAAATAGAGAAGATCAACACAGATTGTAACTCTGAATTTTTCAAGATGCTCGCTAAGTCATGAAGTAGCTCCTTCCTTAACTGCAGCATTAATTATCCTCATTAGTTGTTTATATCTTAAGCTAAAAGCAACGTAAGCAAAGTATTAGACTGACCCTAACCCTTTATGTTGGCGAGCAACAAGATTGAAATTTTATTAGCTGTCTTGTTACCATTAACCATAAATAGTCTACAATAAAAATAAGCAAAAGATACTTGCATCGCACAGTTTCCCAGTCTTGATAAAATATATGAGATTAAGTCGTGGACATTCCATGAGGCGGTTCTTCTTGTCTACTGTTGCGAGGCCGAATTGGAATTGAAAATGTTGGTTTTTGTGGAGGAAAGGGAAAAAATCCTCCAACAACAAGCCCAAGCCCAACCCACATGTGACATCAGGTCCGGGAATTGAACCCAGACCAAAGTGGTAGGATGCGAGTCCTCTCAACACTGCGCCATCTCTGCTCCCCATATTATGCAAACACAGGTGCCCCCTGCGCCCCCCCCCCCCCTTCCCAGACTTCCATCGTTGATATTTTTAGGGGAGCTCCTCCAAGCTATACCGGTAATTATTTACTGTCAATTTCTATACCTGTCATACGAAAATGCAAAAGGTAATATGGTATGATTAAAAAGAGAAAAAGCCAAACAAGAGTTACTCAGCGCGTGGATTACATTTTATGATCCTGTGAGAAGGAAAAAATAATCTTACATACTAATTTGATTGAAGTTGATTTACGAACCTTTCCTTATCTGGTTTTTAGTTCTTTCCCTATCAAATGATAAATCTAATTAGCGATGTGAGGTTAACAGTCCTCTGAGGAAATCAGTTTTATGTTTGTCTATTTGCTGTATCTTTCTTTCTATTTTCTACGACTATGTTGTATTGCAATGAGATCTATCTCATCGCTATCTTCGCCACACCCAGAGAACCCTTCATGCCTCAATCGCTACAAATGGCTCAGCATCCACGCCTTTTAATGCGAACGCATAAAGCACCAGTCATGAGCGTTTAAACTAAATGTAGAGTGTGTACAAGATTTACGTTTGTTTATTTTCAGTTTTTAAAGCTACACTGAGAGTAAATAGCAGCTGAGGGAAGGCTGTACAGCATAATTTTGTGTTCTTCGGTTTTCTTCTTTTCCGTCGCAAAGGCTGAAACCCAGAGAGCCAAACTCTAAATTTCTAGAACCACCTCACATCTATCAATATTTAACACCAATTTAACAGTTTCAATAGGTTTATAAAAATCCTTCCCCCTGAAATATATGTTGTGGCGTTATTCACCAATAAACAATGAGCAGTCGTAGTGAGCAAGAACCTCACATCCCATGAAGAGAGAGAAGTGGTTGTCGGCTGCAGTGGTCGAAAGTGGTACAGCAATTTACTTTGCTTTATGACTAGTGGGTCCGTCGGTACCCCCCTAGGGGCAATTTTCAAGTCATTGCATCTGTTCAAATACCTCTCCCACACAGTCAAAGCGTGAAGGGTATAAAGTTCGAAGATCTCTTTATTACATCTTTTTTGAAATTGCAAAACTCACTGGCTCATATACACGTTTCTCATTGATAACAGTATTGAGCTGGTTCATAAAAAATTGTAAAGTTTTCTTTCCTTTTCTTGCAAATTGATAGATTTCTTCAAACCAGCCTTGAAATATGATTGGTTGTCGTGTTTTACTGAAGCTCTCTCATTTGCCGGAAAAAAAGATGCGATTTAGAGCATCTTTTTCGATTCGTGGATAAATCGCACCAATGAGAGCCAATCAATTTTTCACACCGTGTATGAGAGTGTGTTCGAGGAGGATACGCGTAATAGTAAACCTCCTACTAAAGTAGGTAAAAACTTTTAAAGTTTGTAATCAGTTTGCGCGAAGATCATACTCCGCAGAACAAATATCCGATTGTACTTTTATGAATGAAGCTGATATATTATCCTTCAGTGATTACCGATCGTGATAAAGAGTAGGGTGAGATGAATTCTGCACGAAATTTTTAGCATTATGCTATTGTGCGTCACCTCTGAAACCGTGGTATTATGCCGACTCTGATGCGCAAAAATTTGATTATTGAAAATAATAGCCTTTAAGAGCCTCTCAACCTCATCTCCAATTCCTAGCTTCAAAAGGTTAAACTTAGAAAAAAAAATGGCTTTCCGAAGTTCTGACCACAACATTTTTTTGGATCAAAATCCAAAAGTGTAAGAAAGAAGAGCAGGCCAACTGTTAATATTACACAGGTTACAGAATTTATCGCTTTTTCAACTGTAGCATGAAAGGAATTTTTAAAATGTTCTTATATAATACCAGTATTATATTAGCTCATCTCTAAGAGTCCTCTTTTCCTCCAGACGAAAGGAGCGAGGAAAACGATGCTGACTTATTAAAAGCAATATCCGTTTGCTTGTGTGGACAGTAATAGGTATCCTCGTATCAATTGATTTAGCAACTTTTAAGTTGCTAAATCAATTGATACGAGGATACATTTTTGACGAGTGGTCAAGTTTATTTAATTGTGTTCTTTTTTAAGAGGAAGCCGTTGCCCAATGTCAAACAAAAAGTCAGTTCCAATGGTTTTGAGCCCAATTTTTCTTCCTGATAAAAAAATGAAAGTTCATAAGTGTCACTTAACTCTGCCGAAAACCAAGCTTCATCGAGATTTGAATCTGTTAGAATCTTTTGCCTTCTAAAATTTTTTGCAGAAATTACACAAGGATCTTAAACAGCCAGAAAAAAAAAAAAAGTAAAAGTAGAGAAAAAAAAAACACCTCCGACGGGACTCGAACCCGCAATCTTCGGCTAACTAGTGCTCACCCGGCACATCCATATAGGAGGCCGACGCCTTATCCATTAGGCCACGGAGGCGAACATGTCTAGTGGGGCGGATATTTGGTTTTTAAGCCCTGATCTCACAATACCTGTTACAAAAAATATAGCGCGGCTGCTAAGCATGATGAAATCTCGTGATTTCTCTCAATTTCAAGCACAAGAAGATGGTGAGTTTGCAGAAAAAATTGCCTTCTATCATGCCGTTAGCAATTGTTAATGAAATTGTGATATGGATTAATTTGAGGAGGCTTGAAGGAAATAGCTTTCGGTGAACCAACCTGAAAGAAACCTGGATAGCCATTGCGCTCGAGAACGACAAGAACCTGCGTTGAAAACGATTTCGGGGCTGACAGAATCTAAACTCTACGCTATAAATGTATTTGGAAAACGTTATTTCAATGTTTTAAGACTTTTTTATGCCAACTTGTAGTTGCACTTGAAATTCGTGTTCTCGGACTATTCGAGAGACGGATATTTGGACCTGCCATTGTCTCTTTCATAAAAAATTGTTCCTCTTCCTTTCTGACTTTGAAGAGACTGCTTTAAATTCTCAAGACAAATACACCATTTTGGATTCTATTTGTCCTGGTTCGTCAGAAATATTACATAGGAGGACAAAGAAAGAGGAATATCAGAGAAAAACGGCCAAGAATATTTAAGACTCTACGAAAATTTATGAAGACCTGCATGTACATGTTTGTAGCCCAAGCTATGTCTTTCTTTAAAACTTTACAGAAATTGACATACATTCATTAGTTCAACACAAGTCTCTGAATACCTTTTGTCATCTTCTAACTGAAAACTGTGGTGGTAATGGTTGTTGCAGATTCAGATTAATTCATAGTTATGACACTGACATTTCTGTACTTGTCTCTTTGTGACTGAAGGCAATTCCTTTCCCACACGGCCTAGACAAAATACCTGATGTGCAGGGATACTTGGTAATTAATTCAGATGGAGCAGTACTTGCTGTAAGTATAATATTACATATCAACAAAGTAGTTGATTAAATAAGCATGCTCTGATTGGTCAAAAAGTGATTGTTTTGTGTTAGTGGTAAACTTGAAGAAAGCTGGAACAAACTGAAATGTATCATATTGTTCTTCCCTTTGGTTTACTGGGTATATAATCCACTCCGGATTTATTTACGAAAAAATAGGCTTGCATATCTATTGTCTTCCACTTTTAATTTCTTGATCTCTGTACTATTCTTTGACTCCTTGATTTAAGTGATAGACTGCACCCTGGGAGAACAAGAGAAAAGTTTGTAAAATACAAGCTGGAGGCGAGTGATCTACAAAATTTTTGTGACTGTTTTCCAAACATCCAAAATGGGAGATGTTACCGGTAAACCAATAGGAAGTGTGGTCTATTGCTTGTGTGAAGTAAACTTCAGTCTTCTAGGGGTTTACTGGCACAATAAACAATAGTCTTTTGACCAATCAGGGTACTTGTAACTTCTCAAATATTTTACAAAAAGCAATTAACTCTCTAGCTCCCAAGAGTGACCAAGACAGAATTTGTCCTTACAATATCAATACAATATCAACCAGATAAGTGATGAGAATAAGGAAAAATATCAATTTGGGGATAAAAAGTTAATCCAATACTAAATTCTCTGAACTAACATCATAAGAATTGTATTGTTGACCTAAAGGAGAAGTACAAATTTGATCTGGGAGTTAAAGGGTTGATGGATAAAAAAAGTTATCTATTGCATATTATTCAATAAACTTTATACTTTTCATGGAGTAATTGGTCATTAGATATGATCTTTCAGAGTACAGACACCTGGATTTATGTCATCATATAAAATTAATTTTCTTTTCTTTGAGCACAATGGCAGAGTTAACCCTTTAACTTGCAGAAGTGATTAGCAAGTAACTTCTCCCCATAATAAGCTTCAGTTATCTAGCAAACAGGTAAAGAGAAACCTGAGACTTATTGGGTAAATTTTTTTTATCTTTGCCTAACACCAAATTCTCATAAACAATTTACAAGGAAATGTATAGCAGCTAGAGGTAGAATTAAGAACCAGATCTTGGGAGTTTAATAGTTAACAGGATCATAGAGCCAGAACATTTGAGTGCTACAAGGTAATATGACCTGCATTTGCATCTTACAAAATCAAATGTCAAATGTGAGTTAAATTATTGTCTCCGCATAAAATATTATTTTCTTTTTAAGTCATCGGGTGACCTTGAGAATGAGGAAAATATTGCTGCAACCATAACTAGGATGCTTCAAACAGCAGCCAAAATAGCAATTTCAGGAGACAGAACTCAGACCATGAAGAGAATGTCAGGTAGGCCATCATAGGATGTCACTATCATGGCAGATCTGAAACTAAAAGATATATACTTTCAAAACTGGTGTCAAGAGTGAAGCTTTTAAGAGGCTAGATTGTAAAAAAATTCCATCAGTTTTTTTAGTTAATTGAAATTTGTTGTGAATCAGACAAGGGTCCATTAAATAAAGCAATTTTTAGGTGAGTGTTGAGAGTAATCCAGTTTTGCCATGATATTACTTCCCTTTGCTCTGTTATTGCTAATTAAAACTGATGTTACCTTAACCAATCTGATGTAAAACTAAGAACCATTCAAGGCTTTATTGCTCCATGTGTTTTGCTATGCTTACCTTCATTCTGATCGGCTATTGTGGTTGACATCATTCCCCATCCTATATTCAGAACTCTCAAGTCTTATTTTTTGAGTGTGAGACTTATGCAAATGAATTCAATCATAAGCTTTCACACTGAAATTAAAAAAATCCCAGGGAGGTGATGCCTGTAGCATCACAGTTAAAGGCTATGCTATCATAAATTGCATTCTTTGCTAGTAAATCAACTTGGGAGCTTGGTACACTGTATATTCTGAACATAAATATGGCAATCAAACTATAACCCAAACATTTTTGGAATTTTTGGTTTGGGTGAGGAGCAATTGAGTTGATTTCTCTATAATTATTACAGTGATTATAACTGGGAGAAATTAAATGTGAGCTCACTACCATTCATCACAAGGGGAGTTTTTCTTTCTTTTCAGTCAATTCTATTATTACAAATGTAGTCGTACATATATCACTTCTTAAATTTTTGTTCTTAAATGTTTTATCACTTGCAGTGTGCTATAGAGACTTCACATTGATGGCAACTGTATCAAATCAGAAAATATATGTTGTAAAGAGACCTCTGAAACAGGAAAGTGAATAGAGAATGAAATTAAATGGTACAAGTAAAAGACAAAGTCACAGCCATCTTCTGACATTGATCAAAGATTAAGTCACCAATGGACGTGAAATCATCAACAGAAATTGGATTTACCTGCTCAGGAAAAATGCTCAATCAAGAAACTTCTGGCTAGTTTAATGAACTGATAAATTTTCACACAATAATTCTTGTTTTCCTCTCTTTTTTTGGATTTTTTCTTTTTCCTCTTATCACATCCACTTACATCTGTAAGAGCAACTCAGCTTGTACATGTTGGCTTAAGTAAATCATTCTCCTTGTTTGACAATTGGTCCCTCGCTCATGTTACAGTTAGGGGGAAAATACAAAATTATGAAATATTTTCCTGTATGGACTGTTATTTAGAATAAACTAAAGGTTATTTAGCAATTTTGAAAATGAGTATTTGGGTGATTTTGAGTCACTTACTGACAGCTTTGACCCTTTCACATCTAAGACCTCCTTACTGTTTACCAAGAAATTCTTATGTTATCAGTGTGGAGAATTTGGTATTGGATCAGCCAATAATCCCCTAAGTGATATCGTTCTTTATTCTCATGACTTGTCAGCTGGATATTGTATTGATTTATGTAAGGAGAAACGCTGTCCTTGTCACTTATGGAAGTTAAAGGGTTAATTGGTGTTTTCAGGTCCTTGCTCCTTTTGTACACAACACACAAATCACAACACATGATTTCCAGTATAATGACATATGTAAAGTAATATGTATGGTGCCTGGCAGCCACAAGATATATTGTTGAAGCATACAATGTTTCAAAGATTGATTTTCCAATCTTTTCGATTCTTTATTTGGACTTTAAAAATATTCCTAATATTCATACATTTGTAGCATTTCCAATTGATTGTTACAATAATTGCAAATATTTATAAATATGAGACTTTCTCTCTTGTTGCATCACAGTTTTTTGACTTAATCCACTCCCTCATCATTAAATATAATTTTCCAAAAGTTCTCACAAACCAGTTGAGCAATTATTGATACAAAAAAAGTCCTCAGGTTGTTGATCTTACAATCCTATGTTTTTTCTCTAAATTTCTAGATTATACCCCTAAAATGAGTTATTTGGTAGCATGCATTTGTGGTATGATCAACAGAACTTACATACAAAAATTGAGGATTGTTTCCCATAACACGGGTTCTTTAAATGGCCAAATTATTATGCATTATTTCCAAACTTTGTATAGCATACTTATGTTCATAAGATGTAAGCCTTGATTCTTCACTATATTCAAGTAATGAAATAATTATGTCATTCTATAATTTAAGACTTTGCTCCTCGATGGAAACATATATTGTACATTCTAATATATACATAAAATCAGTGACCACATAGAAGCCAAACTGAAGACACTTTTTTAAAGTTAGAAGGGATTCTAGGCAAAACGAGCCATAACTGTAGGTTTTGGAAGCTAAGTATAAGAGCAGGGGCAGAAAGTGACAATTTTTAGTTTGAAGAAGGGTCAGTGATAAGCTTGATTTCGGCTACTCTGTTGTGTCGAATCTTTGCTCCTCCCTGAGAAAATAGGGAGAAGCATGGGGTCTTACAGTGGCTGGTAATCGAGCCTGAGTCAGTATCTATTTGGGGAACCAAGTAGCAGACTCCCAGACAAGACTTGCCCGCAAAATGCCAAAAGATACTCCTGTTCTGCAGGTAATTTATACCATTGTGTACCCTGCCAGTTTTCTGTGTTATGCAAACAAAGGCCTTTAACAGGTCACTTGGAAATCATGCTGACGCTTAATGAATGAATAGATGAATGTATGAAGCGTAATGACATGCATTATACAAAGTACATGTAGACACTCTGGTAGAAAAAGCAAATTCAGCATACAGACCTTGTTAATGACAACAAGTAACAATCAAATTCATATCCACATCTCTCTCAAATATATGTATATATTATGAATTATTAATTGATAAATAATTGACTTAATATACCTGTTAGAGCAGAGAATAAATCTGCATCTAACTTATGCCTGTTACAAAAATTTGACAAGAATGCGACACTGTTGTAAATCCTGATGGAGAAGTATTCTGTCTTTCAGATCTGCTTCCCGAGAAATCTTCTTGATCTGATTCACCATGCCACTTGCACTTCATAAATTTACCAACCTTAAGGAGAAAGAGTACAAATTGGTGAAAATAAATCATGTATCTCGCATAGAAAGGGTACTGGTGGTGGGAGTGATGATTTCTCAAAATTACACTATTATTTATCATTAATAGTAAATTGTACAAATGAAGTTAAATGTTTGCTATACCTTCCTTTTTGTAACAGACAGTACAATAATTTACTGAGTGTAAAGTAATTGCTGGTAGGGTTTTTAATATTCAATTTTAAGTCAAAATCATAATTATATTAACCTTTTAAGTCCCATGAGTGTCCAAGACAGAATTTCTCCTTACAACATTGATACAATATCAAGCAAACAAGTGATGAGAATTTAAAAAAAATATCAATTACAGGATTATAAATTGATCCAATACCAAATTCTCCAAACTAACATCATAAGAACTGTATGGCAGACAGAAAGGAGAATTACTCATGAGATCTTGGGAGTCAAAGGATGAATACACTGTAGATTGGTGTTATTATATTTAAAATTCATTTATGAAGGGCTTTTCACTGCAATTGGTTTTTCAAACTGTCACCTGAGTGTATGAAATTTGTCTTTGGCACCATGTATCTTCACGTCCATGAGATGTTGAAAAATCCAGTGTGTATTTAAAACTTACAGCAGGGTTTGTATCCTTTTTCAGAGGAATTTTTCAGGACCTAATTGATTTTTCTCAGACTTCAAATTAACATGAAACCCTTTCCTTCCCAAAATCTCATAAGCAATTCTCTTCTCAGTCTATCTGCATTTCTTATAACATAAATTCTGGTGACTTTATGGCTTGATCAAAGCAGATTTCCAGGCCTTTCCAGGACCTGTAGTCTTTTTTCAGGACTCACTAGTCCTGGAAAAAGTTAAAATAAAATTCCAGGGCTTTCCAGATTTTCCAGGATATGTACAAACCCTGTGACAAGTAAGGGAGAAATAACACTAACCCACTCCCTGCTCAAATCAGTACCAGTATTTAAGTTTCTGATCTCTTAACCCTTTAACTCCCATGGGTGGCCAAGACAGAATTTCTCCTTACAATATCAATACAATTTCAACCAGATAAGTGATGAAAGAAAAATATCAATTTGGGGATAATAATTGATCTAATACTAAATTCTCTGAACTAACATTGTAAGAATTGTATGGCTGACAGAAAGGAGAATTAAAAATTTGATCTGGGAGTTAGAGGGTTAAAGAACACAGACAGGTTTGCCTGGTTGTTCTTAGTGAATTCATACCTCATGCAATCCTTCCTGAACTGCTAAGAATTCCACATTCACTGTTAGTGATGACCCAGATGGACAGCACCTTTGAATGACAATACCATAATTATCAATGAAAGGAAACACCAACTAAAGTGTGGGAAGAGGAACCTAAAAAATTAGCCTTGCCTAACATACATGGAGTCAAGGCAAAAGACTTTTGAAAGAAGAAATTAACCCCCTAACCCCTTGGAGTGCCTAGCATCTACTTTCTCTTTACAATATCACCCCTAAATTACACATTAAGGTCATGAGATTAAAGGAAACAATCACCCACTGAAGAAACTCTTGACCGTGAAACAAATTCTCCTCATCAGCAACTTAGGAAATGTATAGAGAAGAGTTTGAAGAATATGCATACTGATAGGTGTGGAGGGTTTAAGAGAGTACTGCTGTGACTGCAGCTGTGTGCAGCAGAATCAGCTGAGGAGGAGTTGAAGGTACACCTCTCAAATTTTATGGAGGTGACTATGAAGGGAAGTACTTAGAACATGACTAGTTTATCAACAAAATCAGTTCTTTCATCACTGCAGAGAGAATTTAAACAGAATGGGAAGAAGGATTTCAAAAGTAACTGTTGTTGAGTAGAGACAATGCTTTGCCATAGAAGAATTAAGGTTTTAATGACCTGATTCCTAAATATACAACAAGTATGAGAGTGATATTAGAAAATCAATAAATAAGTAATATAAATGAATAAACACAAAAGACACATACTATTTAAACTTAATTCTGCAGATTCCAAGTTCACAGCATGTCACCACTAGAGTTATTTGCACAGAGTATTTTAATAACAGTATACAACAATAACATGAGGGAACTTTTCATTTTTATAACCACAAGTCTGAAATATTTATTGACCCAAGCAAGAAACTGCAATTCTTACCCAATTTTAACTTTTGGCTGTAGGCATACCAATGAATGCATTATGGGAGCATTTCTAAGTGTTTTCAGTGAGGCATTGTTCACTGGACTCCAGACAAGAGAAACATTTCCATCATCTCGTTCAGTGTTTGTAACTGTGTACTTCACCTGAAACCTACAAAGATGAATAAAAATGCGATATAAATTATTCATTTTTCTTAATCCTTTAACTCCCAAGATGCTACACATTTCCTTGTAAATAAGTTGTGAGAATTTGGTTTTAGATCAAGATATCAACTTCTACCTGATATATTTGAGTATTCTCATAACCTGTTTGCTGGATAGTGCATGGATATTGTTGGGAGAAGTTACTTGTTAATCACTTTTGGGAGTTAAAGGGTTAAAAAATTATTTTAGGTAAAAATAAGTACTACAGTAAGGTAAAAATCCTTGTATTGAACAACGTCAAACAATGTACCTTTTCCCTTTTCCCACACTTGATTGGCAACTTGCACGGACACTCACAGAAGACCTTCTCACAATGAACACAGGGAGACTGGTGAAACAAAAATTAAAAGCAAAAAATGAAAAAAGGCTCTCAGTTGAAAAAAAAACAAGCTTTGTAGTTCTGCCCAATAACTGTCTAAAAAAGCACACTGTGGCACTGAAAGTGACTAACTGACCTCCTCACATCATTCACCAGGTTTAATGAGCTACATTTTCAAATTTAGACAAGGGTTGCAGAGCATTTTATACCAAGGGGGGAGGGGATTGATTAATTGATTTGTGATAAATGCATATGCACTTGTTCAAAGAAATTTCCTACAACTTATTACCTCACCAAGCACAATCTTGATCAAATTGCATGTAAAAAGATCATGTGAATGAGTGCTGTGCCATGCAAATCACATGAGACACTTGCAATAATTTGTGATGAAATAAAGTGTGGGTTGAAGGGGGTACGCACATATTTAGGGACAGGGGAGACCAAAAGGAAGTGAAAATGGAAATCTTGAAAAATTTGGGCCACTTTGTTCAAGATGTACAAACTGAGATATGTTGAACACCACGAGTACCAAGTGCAACTGCTGCAGCTTCTACCTGTAGGAAGTGTTAATTGTTTGGAAGCATTCCTTTAATGTCTCAACATCCCACTTTATTGATCCCTTGAGTACCACTTCCAGTTGCTAAAATTAACAAACTCTGTCAATATTCCAATTCAAACATTTTAATCAATAATTAGCCCAATAATTGCTGGCATGTTTGTGTAGTCTATAATCCATCCTACATTCTCCTGGTATAAAGGATCTTATTTAACTCTTTCACCCCTTAGATCTGAAAGCTTGTTTTCCCAAATGAGAGCCAAAGATTTTTTTGATGGCTGTTACAGAGAATTTGTTGTTAAATAGAAACAATATCCCTTGGTTGACAATTCTCCTACTTCTCACCAACCTACTTCTAAACAGTGTATGAAATTAAGAGAAAAATGAAAAAAAATGGCAGCCAAACTTAATGGTGGTAACATCACAACTTGGAAAAATTACAGGACAATGTTTAGATTTTAGTTAACAACTTGACGTTATCAGTTTGCCATGTCTGTGATAGTGATTGATAAGTACCTTGTTCAAAGCCATCTGATTTTCATGATAGATGATTCTAAAGAGAAATGCATAGTGTTCCCAAGGTCTGAGAAGAACTGGGAAAGTACTTGCTTTGTTGCCACTTGTGGTGACTGGGAAAACATCTAAGCAAGAAAACCTGCAATAGTGAGAGAGAATACTTAGGAACAATATTGTTAAACCATAAAAAGTAGGGGGGCACTAGTGGTAGAAGGCCCCTTTGCAGGCAATGGTTCTGGGAGCAACAAGCATTTGGAATAGCCAAAGCTTTTTTCAGAGTAGATGGTGAAATGTGCAGGTTGCCTGCCTGTTTTGACAACCTTGTATAATTATTCTGAAATATTCAAGTGTGATGACAAGAATGCCCCAGTGAGAACTGAATACTAAGACCTGAGTACTTTTATCAGGCTTTACTCAATGCAATTCCTATCACAACTAACCTGCAAATGATAGGTCAATAATATTTCATTCATATTTTATTGACCAAAAAGGTTCATAGTAATTTGGTATTATCAATTGGGTTGATATCATAAATTGGCCACGCTTAAGATTTTCAAAGCTGGCACTTCAATTGTTAGCCCTTACTTAGGGCAAAAAAAGGTTCATACCTTGGCTTAAAATCCTGTTTTGAGTGACTGAAATGATGGATCATGTTCTTCCCATTTTCTATGTCCACATCATAACTAGTCCTCACATCAACTTCATTAAGAGTGACTGATTTACCCAAAATATTGATAACTAAAAGGAAATAAATAAACAAAAGAGAGCTTGTAAGAAAGCTAAGGAAAAGTTTCCATTTGTTGAGGTCAAGATGTGCCATGGTTTGAGAAATGCATGGTGACTCAATGGCTACATTTCTATGTCTCATGAGTTCACGCCATCTTTGGAGTCCACTTGCTGTGTTCTTGGGCAAGACACTTCCCTCTCATAAAGCCTCTCTTCATCTAAGAGTTCAAATAAGTTGCCATGTTGTAAACTTCCCACCTTTCCAGGTTCATACCAAAGTTTTTTCCAGATTTATCATCATTAAGAAAAGATGGGCACTTCTTACCTTCAATGCAAAGGAAATGCTTTCCAGCCACTTGAAAATATTTGCAGCGAAGTGTGGGAGGTGTTATGACAGGAAGGGTAGCATTGACTGCAAATCAGAGCACACTTTTATTGAATTGATTTAAATGTTAAATCGATTCACTGCTTGACAAGAAGAAGAGTTTCCATCATGACTGACTGAGACAGAATTTCTCCTTACAATATCAACACAATATAAAATAGACAAGTAGTGAGAATGTGGGAAATTAACCCTTTACACCCTAACATCAGTATTCATATTCTCCATACTGTTCTCTATACATTTACTGAGGTGCTGACAAGGAGAATTTGTCTAACAATCAAGAATTTCTTTAGTTAGTGATCATTGCCTTTATTCTCATGACATTAATGTGTGATTCAGTGGTGATATTGTAAGGAGAAATTAGATGCTAGTCACTCTTAGGAGTTGAAGAGTTCAGGGGTTATTAGTTGATTCGGTACAAAATGATCCAAACTAACATTATAAGAATTGTAGGACAGTAAGGAGAATTACTGATGAGATCATGGGAGTGAAAGGGCTGAGACACTAACAACCACTCAATGTTCAATCTTCCTGCATTTGCAAATATTATTACCCTTGTAGAAGAATTTAAGCAGGTATTTGCATTTTTACCTATACATCGCCATGCATTCTTTGATTCTTCAATTAGGTCATCAGGATCATGATCCACCAAGTAATGTCTAAAATCAATATCTGTCCTATTTTCTGTCTCATGAAAGAAATGCAATTCTGGTGTCCAGACATTCACTGACAGACGCATCCTCCTCGTCAGAGCTGGCAATGAGTTCAGTCTAACATCCAATGGATAAATGATGTCACCACGATGAGTAATTCTTGGTTCTATCTATCAGTAACAGAATGAAGGAACATACTTTAACCCCTTGGAGTGACAAGCATCTATTATCGGCTAATGAGATCACCACTGGATCAAGCACTAAGGTCATGAGAATATAGAGAATTACTGACAAATAAAGAAAGTCTTGACTGTGAAATAAATTCTCCACTTTAGTACCAATGAAAATATATAGAGAACCGTGCAGAAACAGGAGTCGGGATGCTTTGAAGATCGAGGCATAACACAATAGACGCTATTCTTATTCAATGACATGTAAATGAGTGGCCGGGTATTCTGCAGTTGCTCCATTGAAAATGTGCATTTCAATTTGAATATAATCTAGCCACAACATAAGTCAGTTTGTCTGCAGAGAATACTAGAATTATAGGAGATCTCGCACGAGCATGGCTATTTGAGCACTTAAATTAATTGGCACGTGAACTTAATCACCGTAACTGAAGAATGAATGAACTGTATAAGTGCGTTTCTGATACCAGTTCCCACATAAGAATAAAAACGCAAGTAAAATATTGGAATTAAATGGAAAAATAATGATAATTGGTGAATGATAAATTCTAAATTTACATCAATTTGCGCTTCCAACTGGATCGCTTACGTAACCCAATAAACTTGTGTTTTGGAAGATGGTTCTGGAATTCAAATTCTAAATAATAAACCTTTTTCCTCAAATCGACGTCTTCTCCCTCCATCTTTGAAGAACCAACAGGCCAACAAGTAATAAATCCGCCTGCATGTGCGTCATCTTTTCTGGTCATTAACTCAATGCTGCTTACACTAACAGATGTACACAAACGTAACAGGCGTTTCTGCCAATTTTCAAAATTTGCATCTTCTCGTTTGTTCCCTCGGAACTGGGCGATCAGAAAAAAGCATAAACGCTCTCCTGCGTAGCATGAATTCCTCGATCCGTGTTCTACATCTGCTACAGGGTCAGTGGTCAAAACTTTGGGCAGGAAGATGTAAAAGTTACTATCAAGTTCTTTGCCCGCCATGAAATCTGGTCGCCATGTTTTCTATTGTCGCAATTCGTTTGTCATATATGACAACAACTCTGTCTTCCTGAGTCTCCCGCTCAACTTGAAAGTCTTGCCCAGTCCCTTCGCATTTTTCACGGCAGCCCTAAGGATTGCCCGGAAAAAGTGACTGTTCATGTGATAAACTAACTGACAAATAATGGCATCCAAACTAACGTCCGTTTTGATTCGGTTTAGGCTTTTTGAATACTCTTCCGCCGAATCTGAGACTTCCTTATCCGAGAAAATGAAGGACGGAATATTATGTAAGGGTGCGCTGTTGATCAAGTAAAACAAACAAAGTAAAATAAAATGACTGTATTGTGTATTATGTTGCAGTAAAACAGTTCATTTTGAATTTGCTCCTGAAATCTTACACAAAATCATCTAGGGCGATAAAAAGTTATATTATTTTACGGTTAGATTCTATTTTTTCCTCAGTAATCAAAGCTTCGCAACAAAGTTTTGTAATTATGTTTAAAAATATACTCAGTCTCCGACTGTTGATGTTTCTATGCACCAGCGATCAGTGGGTGCATCGGAACACCAGCGGCTGTAGACTGAGCCTGCAATTTGGAAACACCCAATCAAATGTTTCTAAATCTGTACAAAATAGCATCCATATGAAAGTGCTTTAGTAAAAGACCACACTAGAACAAGAGCCAGCGTCATCAAAGACAAACTTGTGCTTTTTTGGTTGGCAAGAATTCGTGTGATTATAACTATTTAACAAGCCAATATTTGTGTCTGCAAGGGGACTTAGTTCGGAAAGCTCCTCATCGATGTCATCTTCGACAATTTCAAGCTCAACATCTTTTCTGATTTCCTCCAGTTGAGTTAATTCTCCGTAAAAGTTAACTCCTTGGAGAATATTATCGTGCGCCACAAAACGTTTCAACTCAGTTTCAAAGGGGGCTTGCATGCGAACGTTTCGATGCACGCGGAATTTTCTATGAGTCTTCTGGCAGCAGGTACAGAACTTGGCTACAAATACAACCAAGCAGAAAATAAACAATGCTCCAAATACTGAACCAATCAACACAAATATTATAAACACGATCCTTTTTCTTCCGTGTTTGGTGGAGGTCCCGGTTGGAACCGAAGGAGGCGTGGTGGGGTCTGTGACAGTTATGGACGATGGTGTTATGATTTGTCTCAAGTCAAATGCAACAAACTGCGTCCCATTGTAGGTAAACACAAATGATTCGTTTGCTATCATCGCCCACAGTTTTTCTGTTAAATTACTGTTGTGACCTTGCAACCCAAAAGTAACATCCACCGAACCGCACTTGACGTCATAGACTATAACATCATATCTTGAAATCGGTAAAAATTCGGTCAAAGCAGTTACAAAGGTATACTTGAATTCTTCCCTGTTGGAAATAAAACTACAGTTTCCCTGAAATTTCATCAGAAATGTGTCAGTGACGGCAGGTACAGTTGTGCTTGGTTTTGAAGGCGTCGCAATTAGCGTTTGAGGAATGCTAGCGAGAGTGAGTCCTGTTTTCGCGTGGGAGAAGTAAACGCCTTCTCCTTGCGAAGAATCGCGTTTTGAGGTTTCAGCATTAATAAAGGTTTTCTTTATAAAAGTATGTTTAGAATATGAAGATAAGGGCGAAGTCAAATCTAAGGAACGTTTCACATCGGATATCGATGACCATAGAACCACTAAATTTGTTGATAATAAAGTTTTCTTTGAAGTCGTCGTTGATGATCCTGTCGATTGTGCAGGCGGTGGTAATAGTTTTGTTCTTAGATGCTGTGATGATAAGAATGACGATGAAAATGTTGGTGATGAAGTTGGTGCTAATACTGAGTAGATTACTGATGACTTCATTAGAGGAGTTGTTGTTGTGGTTGATGATGACAACGATGATGATGACAACGATGATGATGACAATAATGACGACGATGACAAGAATGACGCTGAAAACGTTGGTGATGAAGTTGGTGCTGATACTGACTGGATTACTGATTGGATTACTGATGACTTCATTAGAGGAGCTGTTGCTGTGATTGATGATGATGATGATGATGACAATAATGATGATGATGACAAGAATGACGATGAAAATATTGGTGATGAAGTTGGTGCTAATACTGAGTAGATTACTGATGACTTCATTAGAGGAGTTGTTGTTGTGGTTGATGATGACAACGATGATGATGACAATAATGATGACGATGACAAGAATGACGCTGAAAACGTTGGTGATGAAGTTGGTGCTGATACTGACTGGATTACTGATTGGATTACTGATGACTTCATTAGAGGAGCTGTTGCTGTGATTGATGATGATGATGATGATGACAATAATGATGATGATGACAAGAATGACGATGAAAATATTGGTGATGAAGTTGGTGCTAATACTGAGTAGATTACTGATGACTTCATTAGAGGAGTTGTTGTTGTGGTTGATGATGACAACGATGATGATGACAATAATGATGACGATGACAAGAATGACGCTGAAAACGTTGGTGATGAAGTTGGTGCTGATACTGACTGGATTACTGATTGGATTACTGATGACTTCATTAGAGGAGCTGTTGCTGTGATTGATGATGATGATGATGATGATGACAATAATGATGATGATGACAAGAATGACGATGAAAATATTGGTGATGAAGTTGGTGCTGATACTGATTGGATTACTGATGATTTCATTAGAGGAGTTGTTGTTGTGATTGATGATGATGATGATGATGATGATGACAATAATGATGATAATGACAACGACACTGATAATGATGATAACGGAGAGAGAAATGTTGAAATAGAGGAAGAAGAGAAGGAGTAGGAGGAGGAGGAGGGGATGGGGTGAGAGGAAGAGAAGTAGAAAGCAGATGACGAAGAAAAGGGGTACGAGGAAAAGATAGAAGGGGAAGGAAAGAAGAGAGCGGTAGAGGACGATGAGGAGGAAGAGAGGGAGGAGAGAGAGGTGGGAGAGGAGAAGAAGGAAGCAGAAGAAGAGGAGGGGGAACAGCATAAAAATGTTGATGACGACGCCGTCGAATGCGATGATGAAGTCATTCTTAGATGTGACAAAGACGATGAATTTGAAGGCAAACGCGAAAATGACGACAGATGTGTTTCCAAACTTGGCAGTAACTGTGATGCTATAAACACAGATGACGCTGAAGATCGTGACAACATGAAGGGGGTTGAATGCAGGACTGATGAAGATGATAATGAAATTGAAGGTAATGGTGGCGGCACTGGAAAAGGCAGCGATGAATAATGTAGGAAAGAACTTTTCAGTTTAGGAGAAAAGCTGACATTCTGCACAGTGCTAATAGGTACTGGGAACGTCAAATGTGTGGATCCAACGGAACGCACTTCCTCAGAGTTAGCGCTTTGGTATGCTGACGATACAGCGCTCGATTTCTCAGATGTGTGCTTATTTGCCTCTCTTGTTGTGCGCCTCGGCGAAAGTGGCACTAAGTACGTCCTTGATGTAGAAAGCTCTCTCGCCGATGTGCCATTCCAGAAAGAGGCTGTCGTAGGGCTTTGAGATTCTTGGGCAGCATTCCTTGAAGAAAATCTGACAGTGGAGTTATGTGCCCTTGTAAATATTATGCTCTCTTTTGATACTACCTCTTTAGTTGTCATTAACGATGTCATGTTGACAGGTGTGAAAGGTGACAAGGACTGTGCATTAGACCCCACTATGGCGGGTGATGTCCATGAACCGCGGGGGGAGGGGGTGGGAAACGTCTGCAATACGGTTTCAGTTGAAACTCTGAAGGCGAACTCATAAACCTCCGCACTTCGGGAAATATCTGAAGAACCTGAATTGATCGCTGCCACTGAGTTAAGACTGGCTTTATATACAAGCGGCTCCAGCTTCAAACTGCCTACGCTTTGCGACGGTGTATTAGCGAAATCGTGAAGTCCAAGATAAGAAGTACCTTCGACTTTCAGCAGAGGTGTCGACAAAACTGACGCTTTCCCTGCGAAAAAAAAAAAAAGAATAAAACACACATACATACAATGTGTTACAAGAAAATCACTACGATATAACTTTGAAAATACTGCGACACATGTAGTAGCAATACCAAGGCCCAAGTATTTTGTCGTGCCAAGATCGAAAAGACGGCCAATTCTCGCAAATGAGCATTGATACTGATTGTTCACTACTATCCTCAGGATAAAAAAGGTACTTCAGTGCACTTATGAAATGGTTGATGTAAACCTCTTTTCGTTCCACATAACTCGACCAACACAAATAAAAAACTGTGTTGTGAATAGTCAAAAGACGGCAGACAGCCTTCCACATTAATACAGCCGGAAAAAAATATGTATTTCGCACTACTCATTATCCGCCATATTTTGGCACTCCGAGGCTGTCGTTTGATGCTATCAAAATCGCAATTTAGAAACGATTTATATAATTAATTCGCTTTTAATTAGGCTTTTGTCTTCAGATTTTACAAGTCATGTGGCAAATCAGTTTTATGACAAGTGACACATCAGGCATTTAGCGACGTAATTAAACTCTTCACCAAAATTTTTCTCGCTCAAAATCTGGAGTACCTCTTCTACGTTTGAAGCAAGTACTGTGCCATTTTGACGATTAAAAACAAAATATTTTTCCGTTTCGAAAGAGGCACATATCTTCAAAAAGCATTCAGCATTTTTAAAGATCCCTTTATTGCCCTAAGCAAAACGTTTTAATCCTCTCGAAGTGAAGATTAAAAACTTTTAAAAGGCAAGCAATAAAAAGATTTACACAGGAATTTTCGCACGTCTCTGAATTAACGGACATCGAATAAATGAAAGCTCTCGCCATCGTTCGACGGAATATTGTTAGAGCACAGATGATAAGTTGGCAAGCTAAGTGAAACCAAAGTACGATATTTTACGTATTTTTTCAAATATTGTGTTTCAGCTTGACCATTTTCAAAAATAACAATCGCAGATTCCATGTAAACCACAAAATTGCAAAGCTCTCGCAGTCGGAAGCGGATTTAATTTGTTTACGGAGAACGCTACCTGTTGTAAACAAAGCTTATGCAAAATTCAATGAAATTAATAGCGATATTTAAATGCTTTTACCTTGATAGCAAGCAGATGGACCACACATTGAAGTATGTTTGACACCAATATCCCTTTTCCTCCTCTCTGTCACCTCACATCCTCTAAAAATACGACCGATGACATTTTCACATTTTGTTTTAAAACTATCACACCATTCCGTCTGGCGAAGTTCATTAGTCAAGTATGCCGTACACTTACGCGTGTCAATTTCATTCAAAGTACATTTCTTCAAACGTGCTAGTTGTTTCTCGTCCAAACGATAAAATATCTCCACTAAAGCTCGTTGAACAGAACAGCACAACCCTGACATAAATGGAATTCTCCATTTCGCTTCTTCAAACGCTTGTTTGACGCTTGAAATAAACAAATCGTTCAATTGTTCCTCATTCAAACATGGTACTTCATTACAATCACAGCTACCGTTCCAAAGCGTCAAAGGACTGTACGATAACTCGCGAAAATTTGCTTTCACCGTTTCCAAAGCGTGTCTCGTCTCCTTGCTTTCCGTCAGTCGGAATTCAAATCCAATGTATTTAGTTTCGGATTTTTCGTGGAAAGAAAATGCACAGCGTTTCAGAACAAATTCGGACCCAAAACTATCGATGGAGAGATCGCACACTCGACAACTTATAGAAGTGTACACTCCGAACAGCACAAATACTGCCAAAATTCTTTCAGTTGGCTTCATGATTACTCCAGAAAAGCCATGACTCACAAATGAAACTGAAAGCAATTTGATCGCCTTGGGAAAGCGAAAAGACAAAATTTGCACATGGTGGAGTCGCGCTAAAAATTCAAATTGTTAAAATGTCATGTCAGCCTTGATGTCAGCTGAAGCGTGACTTAGCACCACCACTCGAGCATGTTGGGAAATTTATAAACTCTTCCGTAATATGCTTTAAATGGAATATCGGTGCAATCTACGATAACGAGACAAATCGTTTCTTAATAAGCCACATGGCTAGACATAAAAGCGGCGCTCGTTCTCGACTGCTCATAATAGCAGATACGCAGTTGATGTTTTTCTCATGAAGCCATAAACACGAATTTTTCTCTTGCCGCGCCCAGCGTGAACGTAGTACTCATTGGCGAGAATGTCTGTTGTATTGTTTATGCTTGATAAATTTATAATTGGATATAAAGGGAAGCGTCAGGGGGCATAATTGCTCAGTATTGCGTTAAATTCTTCTTCTAAATCGTCTGAAAACAAAGATTTGAAACAATGGACTTGTATCACCGAAGTTTCAACGTCGTTATATTTAATAGAAAATATCAATTTGTAAAGATTTTTAATTCTTTCGACCAGATATTTTTCTTAATTCTTATTTTCATAAGTTTCCGGCATGTTAGATAGTTCCCTCACTAATCGTATGATCGAGGTAAAAAAAATAAATAAAAATCATGGCCGGGACTTTGACGCTCTTTTTGGATGATATTAGGCTGTCTTCTTTGATTACCATAATATGATGTAACAGTTATTAAAATCCATTCGGGCTGGTACAGGTAATAAAAAGAGTCCCATTATTGCTATCTTGGTAATAGCAATGAAAAAAATCACTCATAACTGGAATTTCTATCGTTTTATTTTTGTAGAGCTAAGGGAACGAAAAAAATACTTGAAATGCCGGTTGTTTTTAAGCGGTATTTCCTTTTGGAATAACAACCAAGAACTGGTAGATATCCCATACTTTTGGTCTTATTGAGTTGAATTTTGCTCAAAGATAGAAACCTCTTTATTAACCTATATTTAGAAGAGACTAATTCGAAGTACGAAGTAGATGAATATTGAACATTTCCTCATCATATCCGAGAGGAGAGTTTTCTGAACGTCATAAAAAAAATAAAAAAAGTAAAGCGACCGTGAAAAGAAAGCTAAGGCGGAGACTAAGCCCGATCTGTTTGTTCCTGATGTATTCATGTTTTCAGTCTGAATCGCTACGTACGTGTACCACGTTTCAGATGGACGCTGTGACCGTGATCTAATCAGGAGATCAATATCAGTATCCTAGCAACTGCGCATCTACCCCTCCCCTAACTCAACAACGATAAACTACGAACGGGTTAGGGACAGAGATCCATGGTGTCTCTAAGAGAAGTAGCTTGATACAAAAAGTAGAAAATTACAATGAAAATAGCGTTGAAGAAGCAGATGATTATACCTTACGGTGTTCTCAGAAAATCTGCTCAACACAGATTTTATCTTTACCATCCTTTATGTATAGTGCGTCTATACATAGATAATGAACCCCGCTGATATTTAGTAAAAAAAAACAAGTCAGACGCGTTAATTTAAATATGGGAAGAGAAATTTAAGCAAACGTTTCACTTTTATCTTCGTTCAAATTGCCGGTGAGCCACTATACTACATTCGAACTTGAACTATACAAGTGTGTATCAGAACTGTACGGACTCTGATGCAAATGACAACGTTCACTGCCAAGTTTAGTTTCGCTCGAGTGCCATTTAATGCAATCACTGGGAATAAGTAACAAACAGAATATGTAATAAGAACAGTAAGGCTTTTCATCTCCTCTTCTGGCCGTACTCGTTCCCGTCTTCCAACAAAATTGAAGGTGTTATGTCGGGTTATGCGCCGGAAGAACTACCAAACAGCTAAATATATATATAGGAGTGTCAGGACTAATACTTGTACATGAACGCTCAATGCTCTCTTGAAGTAGGAAACATGGTAAAATTGTATACAAATAGTGGATTTATAGTGACAAACTGAGTTATTTGTGAGATTATTATTATACCATGGCCAGTGTTTTGTTTAAATCAGCATCCAGCTTTAATGATTTTGGAGATGTTCGTGCACCGAGTCTTGACTTGCCCACACCATCTAGAATCCTTAGCCTCATATTCTGCTCTATCCCAGTCTCTTTTCTCGATCGCAGCTTTAAACTTTTTGAACTGTTTAAAGTTTGTCCGGCCAAGATTATACGCCATGTCGACTATGGCATTCTGCACAGAACAACAAAGAGCGTGGAAAGTGCTTTTGCCGATCACAACTTCAGCGTCAACAATGGCCGTTTTCAAGCTGCTGTCCAGGAGCCTTTCGATGTATTCATCGTCGAGGCAAGGAACGCAGGAATATTTAGATGTTTCACCGTATATGGAGCAGCAAGGACATTCTTTATTCCATTTAGTTAAAGGGCTCTTTAAAAACGTGTTGAATACCTTGTCTGCTGTACCTTGGTGTTGCTCTCTCGGGTTTACTTTGATAAATTCTTCTCTTGCGCCATCCTTTTGCATGTTAAAGCCATAACCGATAGTTCTCTTTCCGCGTGTATCAAGATACACGCATCGCTTGTAGCCTTCATGCTGTTTGATCGATGGTTTTGGGTCACATTTTTCAGCTTGAACAAAACATTTGAGGAAGACGCACGAGAAAACAAGTAACAGAAGAATCTCTTTCCGCTCCATGCCTCGTGGTTGATATCTTGTTTAATGTTCTCTCATGCAAGCGCAGATGAACAAAATGTTTCAATGTCTACTCTGCACCAAGCTCTCAGTTCTACGCTAGCCCGCTCCTCCAACCATCCCCACCCACGAACTTTGTTTGTCTGGTTTTTAGGGAGAAGAGAAACTAATTTCCAATTTTAGTTCTTACCGGTTTCAAGCCTCTTTTAAAAAGGCCACTATGAGTTACAGAACTGTCATTAAAATTATATATATTTTCTAAAATCATAAAATTTATATTTTAGGGGGGTATAAAAGCAGTTTTTCACTATGTGGTAGCAAGTAAGCAAGAAGCGTTCGATAAATGGCCTCAGTGCGTGACATTCTCGGAAAAACAGGAAGGCGTCAACAATGCGTCACTAAATAGCCAGAAAGTCTGAACTTGTCTATTGTTTTCAAGGTCGCATGACAGTCGCATGATTTTTTCAACCAATAAGCTAGCTTGTGAATCAGTGATTAGTGGTTTAGCACTTCAAACTCTTTCTCATTTCAGCTGGAGTAATTGTATTTGTTGTGGTCATTCTTAGGAAGGTGGTGTTATGTCTGTTTATTCTCTCTGATGAGATCAATGAGTGTCTTAAAGGTTGCAAAAAATCCAAAGAACTTTATTGCGAATTACTTTTCCAGAAGATAGGGGGGTTTATAAATGGAGAGAATCTTCAATTTGGTAAGGATAATATTCGGGACGGTTTTAAACGAGAACTTCCAGTTCCACAAGGTATAGAAAATGGAACCTATGCACCTGGTGATCATGATTATGGCATCGTGGTTCTTGTGAAAGATGACAACATATGTGTCAGTGAGCTTAATCTCACCAAGTTGACCAGACTTTGTAAAAAAAAGGGAAATAAAATTTTTATTATTGTTATGGTGTAAAAAGTTAACAGGATCTCCTTGTGAGCTTTCAAAACACTCGTTTTGTCGACAAAAAAATGCATGCAATCAACAACATTCCTTGTCGTTCGTTCGTTCGTTCGATTAAAACGTTATTGTCACTTTGGTTTACTTTTCCTTGGATGAACGTAATAAATATTTACAAGCTAGATTTCGTCGTTCGACAAGGCTGTTTGATATCTTCTTTAACTGAGATTAAATTTGTGGCCTTCAGATCGTTACGCGCATTTGACTCATCTTCCGCCATCTTGAAAAACTGATGAGCCTTCAGCACGGTTCTGCGGTATTGCCCATGGCATTCTTATGGTGATGCTTGCGAGACTCAAGATCAAACTTGAGAGTCGCCTAAAGCTTTGAATTTATAATCAAATGAACTGTCGACCTTAGTGGCGAGTTTACTGGGGGCGACTTGGCGATGGCGAGATTGCCTTGGTGGCAAGTCTTCAGCTTCCTGATGGCGAGATAACTGTAAACCTGTATATCAAAGCTAGTACTTTGTTGTCTGACCATCACTGATCTCAAAGCTGATCACTGCTGGGCCAACCTTTCCTGTAGAGTCGTGGCTCGGTGATTTTAAAATGGTTTGGTTACTCGAGAGAACCCAGTTACGAAAGGAATGTAGGAAAAGGTTCCCTAAATTTTTTTAAGGCTGATTTAGGATGATCCAGATTTGACGTTCTCCTTATATACCACTGTCCACTGTTAAACGTTCAAGTTCTTTCCCTCTTGAACTGTCCTCCCATCCGTAATTATTTATCCAAGGGAGAGATTACAATGCTCTTTCTAGTCCCTTACTGGAGTACTCCTGCAAAATACCGAACCGGATGTGTATTGTTCATGATCAATGGCGGGGCTCGCGAATTGGGACTCCCTATTAAAAATTCCATTCACGAAAAAATAGACTAAAGTCCAAATTCCGTAGAAAATATGTATTCAACTTGTTATATGAACCACAACATTTGGCTGAAATAAAAACTCCGAAACTTCTTAAAATTCCAAACAAAAGACTGACAACTTTACGCGAACGAAAGCTCAAAAACAACAAATTAAAACTCCGTGAAAAAAACTAAAGTACGCGAAAAATGTCCACGTCAGTTTTCCAACGTCAAGGTCAGAGTTCTTTGACGTGATTGGCTAATTTGTGAAATCACGCGCACAGAGCGTGAATACAAAAAGAATACAAAGGGTGGAGAAGAAGCGAAAAATTGCTACATAAAATTTAAAAACGAAAGAGATTTTCTACATTCCTAATCTATAAACAAAGTGTTCAATTTATATCCTGAGTGAAGGGTTTGAAAAAAAAAAAAAAAAAAAAAAAAAAAACCAAATGTCATTAGTAATTTCAAGTTATGATTATTTGTCAAGAAGGAAAATACGTCGACGATCAAACAGTTACATGTTGTGTTTTGCCCCAGTTGCTATTGTAAGTTACCTTTAGCGTTAGAGCGCGTCATAAGTTAATGAATTTTTAAAACTAGATATTATTTTGTGGTAACTCAGGGGAAGGAGGTATGGAATTCAAACTGTGGGGCATGACCATACCCCATACCCACCCCTCAGAGCATGTACGAGAACCAACAGAATATTTAGTGTGCCTCTTGTCATGGTACGTGCTTTATGTAACAGCGGTAACGTGAGTCAAAATGTTTGGCGGTTTTTGTCTTCAAACAAAAGAAATTTTCTCAAATTTCTCAGGATCATGTTCAGAGAAGTTGATAACTAGCCTAAACTTGAATTGTGCCAGCAAGACATCTCTTAAACAATTGCCCCGTGGCGCCCAACCATTGAAAATCTTTGCGGTTGGTTGCTTTGGGTCTTGTTTCGTAATCAAAGTGACCCTATGGTGAACTCGTGGATATGCTGAGAAGAATGGCATTAGAATATACAGTGGATTGTATTAAAAATCTAATGATCCCTTCGTTCCAAGAAAAAGAATAAGCTGTCATTTTCACAAACCCTAATTGACACACCATATTTAACTGTCGGTCCGCCATCTTTTCGAATCTTTATTAAAATGTATACCCGTACGAACGCCACGAAATTTGCATATCAAATTCCCACATAGTTCGTCTCTAAGCTTTGCATATCCACGATTAAAAAGGCGAATATGATACGATACTTACTGTGCAAGTTAACAGATTTACAAAAATTACTGCGGCACTAAATTTCCCCGTTGGACTGGCCCTTTTTATTTCTTTCTTTTACGAAATGTTGCCCCAATACATCTCATAACGCAATACTAGCAGACTAACTGATTAACTATAAGCTATATCTCAAGGAATGGTTCTCTTCACGGTAGATCTTCAGTCAAAGCATAGGCATTTCAGTCGTTCAAGTCCTCGCATCCAAGAAATAAGATCTATGAAACAATTTACATAAACGCAATTAGCAGATAGCAAATTGTTGCTTGATATTTCGTTAAATTTAAGCGGATGGCTGAATGGATGGAAGAAACTTCTGCTCCTTGTAACCGTGTACAACCTAACATCGGTATGCATATTCTCCGCGCTGTTCTCTTTACATTTCCAAAAGTGCTGACATGGAGAATTTATTTAGCAATCAAGAGCCTCATTAGTTGGCGATCATTTCCTTTACAGTTTACCGTCACTCAGGGGTGATATTGTGAGGAAAATTAGATGTTAGTCACTCCTAGGATTCAAAGGGTTAAAAGCCACGCTCATGTGTGATAATCAAGATCACTTACTATTTGCCGAAGCCATTGTAACAGCAGATGCGTCCCTCACAGTCTGGCATGCCGTACATTTTATCTTCACCCGGGTCACAAACATATTTGCAGGTTCCAGACAGGCCGTATTCCAGGTAGCAACCCATGGATGGTTCGGCTGTCGAGATGTTAATTGTTTATAATGTTATGACAACTGATCAGCGCAGTCCATGGATTAGTCCTTTATCGTTTCATTGCTAAAGCGCTTTCAGTTGTGTGTCAAAATGAATCAAACAAAATGAATCAAAAAAGATTATAGAACAAATTTCTTAAAGTCAACGTAAATACCGTATAACCTTGCTAACTTAAACCCGGTGAACTTGAAACCTCTGCTATCTCAAACAACATCCGATTTCCCTCGGAATTGAGCCCATTTTTCCGAGTCATTTATTATCAAGTAACTCGAACTCGGTTGACTCGAACCCCCCTTTTCCCTCCCCCCTTCCCCCGGCGCTAACTCGAATAACAACCGGTTTCCCTTAGATTTGACCCCATTTTCCACTCACTTACCATCAAGAAACTGGAACTCGATCTCCGTTAACTCGAACTAATCTTACTTTCCCTTGGTTCACATTTACCCCGATAACTCGACCTTTAAGTAAAAACGCCAGTCCATAGACGTCGAAGCGTCCGAACTGATGACATGCCGCAATCTGTTATCGTGTTAAAAGCTCGTATAAAACAAAATCGATGTACGAAAATGACTGTTGATTTTGTAAGAATGGTAAAAACATGATTCCATATTAAGTATTACCAGGGTAATTGAAATTCAACACCAATCCCAATAGCTGGGACCCACCCACCTCACCCCCTCCTTTCGAACCAGTTTTCGTTTCCCTTAGCCGGTTTGAGTTGGCGGGGTTCTACTGTATCCCAAGGAACCAATGAGAACTCAGCTAAACGCACGTCAAATAAATAAATTACTCGGGAAGAAAGGATCCATTTTGATTTTTTTCTGATGGGCCAAATCAGAGTTCCAAACAAACCAGCCAGCGTTGGGATATAAACAAGTAAATAATAAGTTGTGAATATTTTCTATGGAATAAAAAGAAATCGGATCGAAATATAAGGAAGAACATGAGCGAGAGAATTCGAGCCAATTTTTGTCTTTGTCTTAAGGCAATCAGGTGTTTTTTAAGACTCCGATAGAGGGTGTCGAGAGTTTGCTAGACAAACTATAGAACAATGTGGCAAACTAAAACTGATGCAATCCTGGATTAATTTCAACAATCTATTTAGAATTTTTCCTAACAATAAACTCACATGGTTGTGTAAAGCACCACTTGGTGTTAGGCACAGTTGGATCCCAGCAACAGGACTTTCCCAGACATTCCTCCTTCCCAATACCGTAGTAACCACATTCCTGTCGCTCAGAAGGAGCAACGGGGCAAAGTCCATCCGGGAGATCTATAATAATTTAACAATGATGTCAAAATAATGCAATACAAAACTTCAGTTGCCCGTAATGAATACGCAGACTGTCAAGCACAGTCTCTCAAGTGATACTTCAGTAACACTTTTAGCTTTTGTATCCTTTATCATTGGAAAATGCTTCCACGAGTTATACGAAAAACTTAAGCTACAAACTTCTTTTTCTATCACCACTCATTATTTAAGCCAAATTGTTTAAAAAGTCAATTCTTACGTGTGCCAGGTTTAACATAGCACCACGGCTTGTTCGGATCACTGGGATCCCAGCAGCATCCTCGTGCCTCACATGTCTGCTGATCTATTCCCAGCCATCCGCACTCCCAGCGTTCTTTGGGATTCTGACAGCTGCCTGATTCAGTATTGAAAGGAAAAAAGAAAAAAAGTTCAGTTATTAAGAGGTACTTTTCCAGCCGTGTTATATGAATTACACAGGCTGACTTGAAATTTTGTCCTGATCATATACAATACCCACAGCACTAACTCCGCAAGTAAAATAAAAATACAAGAAAACGGGTCTTTCTCCATTAATAGTCTGCTATAAAGCTTAACACTCTTAACATACCATCTGCCATGACGGAGACTGCGCCAAAAATTAAGGACAGAACAAAGAATCTTCCTTCCATGCTTCAAGACTGCAAACGAAAAAATGTACAAAAAGTTTTCTTAATATACAACTCAACGTGAACACTATCACTTCAGAATTTTTGAAACGAGGGTGAATACTGCGGGCACCCAAACAATACTCGTTCTTTACTGTGATTGCCACGTCTCCTTCAACTGTTAAAAGGCTGACTTACTACTGATCGATAAAAACCTGTCTCTCCTTCTTCGTAGTTTAAGAAGAAAGCTTATCTGATTTTGATTTTCATATACAACGGTATATCACTGGAGCACCATTTATAACAGCCCAAACAGTTGAATAACATTTACTGAATGCAAGTTTTCGACTTTTTTCAGCTGTTATCACCTACCTCAATGCGGCTCAGTATCCAGATCACTTGATAAAAAGACTGCTCGCTAATCTGAGTGCAAGTTAGCTCCTTGAAGACTCGGTGAAGTGCGTCAAATCGAATTGCTGCTCTTCCTTTTAAATGCAATACATGATAATTTGGAAAGATAATTACTTATGACTAGTTAACCAATCAGCGAGCTCTCAAAACAATTAGAACAACATTCTTTCTGGGAAAAGAGCATGCGCTACCAACACAATGCTCGTCTTAAATAGATTTGCATGGAAATTTCATGCAAGGGAGATTTGCATCAGCACGACATTGTCAAAGTGAAAATTAAATAATATAGCTCTAATGGAATGTTCGTGTTCACATTGAATTTCACGACAAGCCTGTTTAACTTTATTTCCGTATTTTTAACGATCTGCCGGTAGCAGTGTATTGATATCGTGGGAAAAATAGTGAAGCGAAATTTCGTGCAGAAACATCTGTCGCCTTCCCTCAGGCTATGCTCATTTGTTTTCTTCAGCAAATGCAGTACCGTATTTGTATAATATGATGCAGAATTGAAAGAAAGCCTGCCGAGGAAAAGGATTATATAGGTTCTTCCGAACAGAATATCAGTATTTTTGACAGTCTTCACTAGAGACCAAACATTCACTATGCAGCGATTGTTTTGCCTGGAAACTGTTTTTGGCAGAGAAAATTTTAGGTCGGTGTTTTTTTCTCCCTCAGGGCAAAGATAAAATACCTTTTGATAATCATCAAGAAATGCGGAGCCGAGAATGTTATAAAGCAGGTCATTGAAAAAGTTGAATCATGCAACATTTTTAAAAGAAAAGAAAAAAACTGAGCAAAAGTTGACGGCTTTGAGATCAAATCACGCGAAGCGATCACAATTTGATCACAGTCGGAAAACTATCAGAACCATACAATTAATAAGTCCCTTTAAATTTGTTATAGTCAAATGACACGTTTTTTTTAGTTTTGTGTAGATACGTAACTCTAATCTTATAATATCTTTCATTCATATAGACTACTAAAATGAAACTCAGTGTGACAAAAAATGTTCCGTGTAAATATATTGATAATTTTCTATATAATTAAAAGAACTTGGAACAATAGCTAAAACACAAACTGGGGGAAAATTTTTCCGACAGTAATTTTTCCTCAACCGATTAACCAGTCGATTGTTACCGGAACTAACCTCTCAGAGGCTAACGGTTTGGAGAGTATTTGTAACTTTATTTACTCAATCCCCCAGTTGCTGCTGTTAGGGAGATTCCAACCTCTGTAAAAAATTTAGCTCGTTATTAGAGGTTGACAATAAACAAAGAACGTCAATTTAGCGAGAACCCCTAGTGAGTTGTTGTACGCAAGTGTCTACAATTGCGAATTGGTTAAGTGAACGATGCTTTTAGCTTGCGTGAAGGACAATTCAACATTGCTAAGTATTTGATATTTAGGAAAAACAAGCGAAAAAGTGGAAAGGAGCCATCTCAGTTGGCGTCCTAAGTTGAAATTATTCGTGTTTTATCTACTCTAGGTGTTAATTTTAACAGTAGCATTTTTCTTCTCGGACAAGTTGATATTTGAAACTGACGCGACAGGTGTTCATCTCTGATTAAATTACGTGACCATCGTACTTACTTCCCAGAAAGCTAAGTTTGTGCTATATTCTAACAATCTTTATTGAAGAAACCAACGTCACAATTAAGTGGTTTACAGAAGGGTCCTGACTCTTTTTTCCAAGTAGTTTACAAATGTATTTCAGTACCCATTCAGTTTGATCGTGCTTATATATGTTTGGGTACAAAAAGCTAAACAGTGGAAAAAAAGGTTGAATTAACGCCGGCAACATTTGATTACAGTGGCGGTTGAATACAAAAAAGTTTCCATCAGCACCGCAGTATTGTTTTATTTGTGTTAAATGTTATGTTACTTATTCTAACGAGCGCTACTAGCTATACGCTGAACAACTGAAAAGTCAACATGTTTAAAAATTTAGCTCACACGCATAATTATCGAATATTCCTTTAAACCTTGCGTTTTAAAAGCATGTAGAGTTGTCAGAACGTCTTATCAACTTCGAACAATCGAAAATCATAAACTAAGAATTGACATTTCTAACTACGGCTGGTTTTACTACCACTACACATTTTTGTGAGTTTTCACATACAAAAGACAATATTCTAAAACACACAGACAGACTTTCTCAACACACTTTTGCGATTCCATCTCCATGAATTACCCGTCGATAATTTTTGACCAGGTTATGGTTTACTATGAACAGGAGTGAAATAAGTACAGTTTTTAAATTTATCTGATCCATTGAAGAGCTTTCTACTGCTCGCAGCTATGCACTTGTAATAAGACTACCTCACTTAACCCATGGATCACTGATATGACGAGGACTACTACTTGTGTTCCTGCACGAAGGTGGCCGCGCATGCGTAGTAGTTAAGCGCCAAAAGCTGTTTCTAAGGAGTGCGAAGATGAATTCAAAAATGCTTGGAATTAAAAAAAAAAAAACAACAACAACTCGAGTGTTATAACTGAAAGATGCTGCTCCAGAGGCACTTATAATTAGTGTCATCCATCGCAACATCAATAACTTAGTACAGCGATCCTTATTTCGTTGAAGAATAGGAATAAAATTAGTTTTTTTTGTAATCGCTGAAACAAGTTTATTGCGATGTGTCTTCACATGGCTCTAAAAGATGGCAAAGGGAGAGATGCTACAAAGCGAGTTGACGTAAGATCATATCGGAACAAAACACAATGTTGGATTGCGATTCGCTTCCACCAAGGCTCGTAAATATACACATTTAGGAGGCGTGAAAGATAGGTTTTCGAGAGCAGATTGTAATCTCAGGGAAATATGTTTTTCGTCTTGACACGAGCGTGGGACAATAAACAAAATTCTGAGTCCCCATGAGGAATCGAACCTCAGACCTTCGGATTCCGCGCTCCGATGCACTACCACTCCTGTTGCAAATTAGCTCTGCTACCACCACGTTTAGGGATCCAAATAGCTAACAAGAGATCAAAAGTCTCACATACTTTATTTAATCTAAACATAAAATTACCGTGCTGTCTTTTTGCAGTACCGAACGGATTTCATGTCGGGTGAAGAAGTTAACCATGCATTTTGATCACAAGGAACTGTTCACTGTACATGTAATCACTCTGTTCACACGGGTCTGACGGAGCAGGCTGAATAAATTGTCATATAATTTGGTTTTATCAACTGAGTTGATAACGTAAATTTGCCACCGAAAAGAGTTTCTAAAGTCGACGTTTCGAGCGTTGGCCCCTCGTCAGAGCGACTGTCAGTGGTTTTACTGATTTCTCATATGCTGAATGCTTCTTTACTAAATTTAAACTGGCATGTCCATGCAACCACATCTCTATTTTGCTAAAAAGTAGACGATCCTGGTCCTGACACCTTACCGGTTAAATTCTTGACCCTACCACCTAAAAATTCGGCCTCGCTATTGGAGTTCTAGTTTTTGAACGGCTTTGGTACGGTTAGCTTGGGTAAATGTGAACACTAAACGCAGCCTCTCGTATCTTAAACCGGTAGGAAACTAGTCTGGTGTAAGCGCTCTCTTGAGCTTGGTTCAAACAAAGGCGCGAGAACAAGGGCGGAGTGAGTGCGTAGCCGTTTCGTTCGCGCTCTGGACGGTGAACTGGACCAAAGCCGTAAGAGCGTTCCTGTCCTTGCGTTCACATGGCAATAAATAACTCATCTCCCGTCGTCTTCAAAGCGTTAGGGGCCTAACTTCAAATGTTAACGCGTAGCTTCTACTAAGGTGGATTTCATCACCATGAGTGACACCAGACGTAAACGTGTCGCTTTAGAGGGTTGATACACATATAGGCAAAGGACTGATCGTGTGGCGTAAGTGAAGGATATACTTGCGAACCGTCTTCGTCCTGTAGTCCGACAGAAAACAGAAAGAGAAGATATAACGCGATCCACGTCGGAGGTGACAACTTTGTGAGACAATCGACCCAACACAAATAACTTCACGATGAAAAACCCCTACCTTTCTCACGATCTAATTTTGTTTTTCTCTCAGAACAGAACTCGAGCCACAATCTACAGCTTTCAATACCTGTCCATTAAGTTCAATAAAACATCATGAAATACCTGTGCGGAAACTTTCAGCACAACTGAGCCCACTTGAAGCTTTTTTGTGGTTGGGTCTTTGTGTACACTGCGAAAGGAGGCAAGGAGACAGAAAATTAATTGTGCACTAGCATCTGATTCCTCCTTACAATATCGCCCCTAAATTACACACTAAGGTCACGAGAATAATGGAAATGATCACCCCTTAAATAAGCTCTTGATTGTTAAACAAATTCTCCTTGTCAGCTTTAGGAAATGTTTAGAGAACAGTATGGAGAATATACATACTAACGTTGGGATCTAAAGGGTTCAACAAACATACCTCAAAGGTGAAACAAAAATAATTACTATTTTACAAAAGAAAAAAAGCATTGTTAGGAGATTTCAACCTGTTACTGGGGGTTTTCCAAACTTTTTAATCAAAGCCTGTCTGTTCAGATAACATCCTCTTCAAACTCCACGCATTACGCCGAACGTTTACCCACACGCATTAAAAATTGAACAATGATTCACCATTACCTTAAAAGATCTTTGTAAATTATCTTAGTCGTTTCAAGGTAAGGATTTATGTCATCCTCATACTAAAAGAAAGGCCATAAGACTCAAAGTTAATTTAATGTATGCAACAAAACCAGCATGTAGAAAAACATTCTACATGCAATAAAATTGCACTTCCCAGAGGGCTCACGGCCTGACCTTCCCGATTTTCGCCTTTATACATCTATTTTCAAAATCTAGTTATAAAGTGGTCATAAAGTAGAGGTCAACTTACTACAGAAAAAAATTGTAAATGAATTTGCGAAGTGAAAGGTGTAATTTGCTTTGAGTCTTTTTATGGTTGTTTTTGTTCTCTTTATGCTCAACAGTGTTAGAAAACTCAAAAGATTAAAAAATAGAAGGAACTGGTTTGGCAAATGATGCTGTTGAGAGCCTACTCCAGACCCTCAGTTATAAAGCAGAACGTGGTAAATGAGCTGGAAACAGAAAGAGAGGAGGAGCGAAGATAGAGAGGGTGGTTTGGGACCATAACATGACTGGACCCAAGCTTCTTCTTTTCAATACTCTGAGCTGTTACTAGGCCCTAACTGACTGCCTGAAATGGGCTAACAATTTCATTCACGACTAGTTTGCCTTCCATCCTAAAACATCAGGATTTTTCGTCATAGAGATACCTAAGTAGACTTACTTGACAAACTTGCCCACCAAGACAGAGATGCTTGAAAATCAGGAAAATGAATTCATTTCTATCGGCATCGCTAAATATTGGATATGTTTCAGCTTCTTCCAGAAGTAAAACCTGGTGAGTCAAAGCCAGCAAGTCTTTATTGTTATCTATTTCTTTATATCCAATCATTTATTCATTTATCTTTTTTTATGCATGTATCTCATTTGCAACAAAGAAAAATTACAAGAGTGATACAAAAATTAAAATTAAGTGTTAAACAAAGGAAAAAATGACGGGGAGACAGAAAAGGGGTCACACATGAGCTACAAAGTTACAAAGTGTTTCATCCTTGCCAACAGAGAAAAGTTGCCTAAAAGTACTTATTAGTTAGTTCTCTGTCATGATACAGGTGGACAACGAGCAGTCCCTCCTTTTTGGCATAGTCTGTTGTGCATATCAAAGAAAAATTCAGTGAAAAACAAAATTGATGGAAACGCTCCCGCAGAACTCTAGGAGTAAGGTACAAGAAAATTAGATGTTTATAGTGTATGTTACAGGTGCTGATAGCTTCCATGTACAATGGCAAATTATTTGAAACCAGGATAAAGTGTTCCATTCAGCGCCAAGTAACATGTAGGAGTCATGGTGAAAAGTACTATCAGTGACTGCAACTGCAGCCTGTATGGTTCCAGCCTCTTGATCAATGGAAACGAGCTTACAAGCATGTGTTTTGTTCCACCCACTCTTTTGCTAATGTTCAGTAACCAGAGTGGAATAGAAGATACTACAACTGATTTTTTTTAATATTCTGACCGGACAATGTCAGCTCAGCTTGGACCTGCGATAGCCAGCGAAGGTCAATTCTCCTCAAACTACACAGTCACATGTACTTGGCTTGGAAGAAGTTTACTGGGCATATACTTCTTACCTTTCTAAGTTCATCAGAAATAACATAGTCTTCGAAATACTCATCAAAACATTTTTTGATGTTTCCTGATTCTCTCACAATACCTTTTGAATTAAAATAATGCTCACTCTTAGTTTCAAAGTAATCAAACAAAACCTAATGCATGTAGAGTGTACTCTATAAAAATACCTTTTTCACAATTGTACTTCTGAGATATAAATATCAATTTTCTGCACTTTCCTCTATTTGTTTCTTATAATTTTGGCTGATTTTAGTGCTTAAATAAACAGTATTCCATATTTCATATTTTCATCTTTTTTCTCATCAACCCTTGATTTCGTAAGGAGAAATTCCTTTTTGATTACTTGAAAAAAAAAAGACCTTCACCTTGTTCTTGTAGCCTGTCAAAGAAGTCCATTGATGTGACTGCACAAGAGACAATTTCTGCTGTGACAGATGATGGTCTGATACCTGCAGCAAGAAAAAAAAGACTGCTGGTCATAACATAAACTTAGAGATGGCTAATCTTTATGCTGAGTTTTCATCCATTTTTTTCCCCCAGTAATATACACAAACATTTACATCCAAAGTTTTCTCCTTTGTTTTTAAAGCATGTAACTAGAAGTGTAAAACAAAGAGGAGAAAAATAAAACAGAAAATCAAATGAGACAAACCACAGTGAGACTTCTCTTATCATCACTGTTGCTAGAACTGTTTAAGACTGATGTTGAGTCAAGTGGAACACATATTCTCTTAAAGTACATTAAGCCTTTAACTCCCAAGTTCTGATTGTAAATTCTCCCCACTACCTGCTACACATTCCCTTGTATCATACGACTAGAATTTGGTGTGTAATCAAGAATCAAGATAACAACTTCTCCCTGATAAGAATGAAAATCCTCACTACCTGTTTGCTGGATGATGTATAGATACTTTAAGGGGTATCCAGTTACCTCACCACCAAGCAGACTCGCCACCAAGGAACGATCTCGCCACCAACGTACTCGCCACCAAGCGAAGTCTTCTCGCCACCAACCACCAATAAAGAGATTAGTCGAGGAGAGTAGGATGTTCGGCTGATAAGTTTGTTCGCTTGTCTGTACTCAAACTTTATAAACGTATGTTGTCGAAAGCACGTTCGAAACCGATAAGTTTGTTTGCTTGTCTGTACTCAAACTTTATAAATGTATGTTGTCCATAGCACGTTCGAAACCGAAGTAAGTTTTTATTCCTCGCATCGAGTTTTGCAATTTCTCCTTGCTTACGTGCAAAAGACAAACACGATACGTTTTGATGTCAATGAGTTAGGAACGGAACACATCTAACACGTCGCTGAAGGTCATAATTTAAATACAGACAAGTGCACAAACGTATCGGCCGATTTGAATTGTGCTCGTTCGAACATCCTACTCTCCTCGACTACTTTATTCTAGTTTATCTCTTTATTGGTGGTTGGTGGCGAGAAGACTTCGCTTGGTGGCGAGTACGTTGGTGGCAAGATCGTTCCTTGGTGGCAAGTTCGCTGGTGGCAAGTCTCCCTGGTGGCGAGGTAACTGGTAACCCTTTAAGGAGAAGTTACATGTTTGTCACCTTCAGCAGTTAAAGGGTTAATTATAAAGCAAGAAAAGTTTATATAAACCACATAATATTTAGGAAAGCATTTCTGTTTGTTTCATGGTGAAATGATCTGTGTTAAAGCTACTGCTCACCAAGAGGTCCCCATGAATTGGAGGAGGAAACAACCTAAATGGTAACAAGTAATAAATTTAAATTAAACCATTATGCAAAAAGGAAAAACAGATAAAAAACATATAAATAACTACATCTACAAGAAAAAAAATTAATCAGGTTACTACATTTAAATACAAGTAATTCATGAGGATTTTTATGCAAAACATTACTGTAAAATGTTTAAAACAACGTTTTTTTTAGATTGTAGAGATAAAATTTGACCGTAGGTATTGGATGTTTCTTTTTATTTTCTGACTAACCACAAAAGATTCACACATAATCAAAGACAAAATTCTTGATAATTAGCTGTTAAACATATGACAGCTTCACTTCTCAAAAAGTTTCTGCCCAACATGAAAAAATTACTTCTCCCCTTTCCTAGTCAATGTGACCGGGTCTTTTAGAGTTGTGACAAAGTGACTAACCTGTAGACTTGATACAACTGCAGGATCTTGAAAAAAGTCCTATTGAAGTTTTGGAACATTTTCAAGCTTTTAATTATAATATTTGAAACAACAACTAGACAAATAAAAACCATAAATAAATGAAAGTGGTATCTCAATGTCCTTTCTAACCCTTTTTCCCCAAGAGTGGCTAGCATTTAATTTCTCTTTACAATATCCCCTCTGAAACAGACATTAAGGTCACGAGAATAACAGAAATGATCACCAACTAATGAATCTCTTGATTGTTATATAAATCTCATTGCCAGCACCTAAGAAAATGTATAGAGAACAGTATGGAGAATATACAGACTGACATTAGGATGCTGAGAGTTAATAGAGAGTTTTAGATACACATTTAGTGTGTTTGCCTCTAACGTGAAACTGTGGTCAGTAGTTTGTGGTTAGAAGTTAGAAGTTTGGAGACTTTCAGCTTTTTAGATCTATGTTACCTTTCACCTGAAAAAAGTCAACATGTGCGCTGCCATCTTGAATTATACAAAGAATGAAAGTCCTTCATTTCAAACACAAAATGTGGTTAAAAGACTGGTTTCCTAGCATTCTGATAGGGCTGGTTATAAAGAAAAGACTTCACCTCACATATATTTATAGGACATACATGAGAATCTTCGAACAGGAAGAAAAGAAGCATTGAGGGAGTTGAAGTACCTGACACTGCCTCGCCTGAAGTTCAATGAAGAAATGTAAAATGGTTTCCGTGTCTACATAGCCTGATGTAAACACGCAGCAGGTTGGGAGAACACGAGATAAGCGTAGGAAACCATGACGCAAAGTGTTTACATCAGGCTATGTAAACACGGAAACCATTTTACATTTCTTTTATACAATAACTAATAAGGGGAACGAAAACCGTGTTTACATATGCTCATATAAAATGGTTTTTTATGGCCAATCAGAGAGCACGTACTATTTGAATTATTTTATAAATGTGGACAGCACACAGTGAGCATGACTGCTGGAGTCTAGACATTTGCATTCACACGTATTCAGTAACAAACATGGATCTAAAACTCCCTGATAAATTTTTTGTACACCAATAACCAATAGAGTGTCAAGCCACACTATTACCAGTCAAGCTTTTCTTTTTGTAATGGTAATGTATAAATAATGGAATTCGAAGGCCTCTGCATACGTTTCTTATTGTCGAATTGCAGTGGAATATTACGATACAAATTTTGGCGCAATTATGATTTAGATGGTGAAAATTTTAGCATGTAGACTTCAATTGATACTAACGGTGCAAATGCCTTACTAGTACTGAGACAAATTCTCACCAGCGCAACTCACCAACACAAATTTGTCTTTCTGGTAAGCTTGGAATAACTGATCATAGGAAAACATTTGAACTGTAGTTCTCAATATCATTCCCCTGAAAAACGAGATAGATGAAATTATGAATGGTCTTAAAAAAACGAATTTCTCTGACGCCATTATTTTGTGACAAATAAACAATACAAAAGAATCTTTATATCGTGCACCAGCATTTTTACCATTTCAAGAAGTGTTCTTTAACGTCAGAGGACTCAAAACCTGGAAAAGTTTTGTTTGGGACAAACTGGAAGGTGAACCGTTCTTCTTCGTCCGCCATTTTGGTTGTTTACTCGTGCATGACAGCGCAACCTCTTTCCCAGGGTCTCTCGACCTTTAACCGGCCCCCCCCCCCCAAGAAGTTACTCAGAGGGCATTGCAAGCTGACATCTCTTCAGTCAAGGAAGGACATTCAAAAACCTGTTCCTACTATTCCTACCCAAATTGTTCTCTTTCTTGAATATGATCAAGACAAGCAACTCTCTAGAATAACGAATTACAGTGAGTGCTTCACATGGGGAGATTTCTTTCAAACAAACCAAATCAAGTCAACACTCAAAGAAAATCCTTTCATTACGATACCTTGTTCAAGCATCAAGAATGTGGGATAGCGACCTTGTCGAGCCATGTGAAGCATATATAGAAGTCTGCACATATAGTTCATGCCTTGTAGACTTTTCGGTCTCGAAATATTAGGGGGGAGTACTTAGGTCAATTTTTGCTGGATATGTGCCGTTAGCCTCTCAGCACCCCTAATCATCATGGTACATTCTGTGGCCAATTACAGACCCAATCTTAATCACATTTGGTAATACAGTACCCACCCTATAACCGAGAATTTTAAATCCCTACTTACTAGAAGCAACACCAGCAGCACATCTACACTAGCCTATTACTATAAGGGAGTACCTCTCCCCTGTAAAGATACTCTCTGTTCCAGACGCGAAGCAGTCAAATTCTATCTGATCTGATCTGTAGATTCCTTAAAAAATAAAAGCAGACGTAAAACTCTGGGCAAAAAATGTGTTTCCGTCTGAACTCAGCAAGCTCACCTCTTTACTAAACCATCTTCTTATTGTCCTTAGCTTCACCACTTGTCATTCCGTGCAGCTTAGCCTTCTTTACCCAGGGGTTGCTGTGGTATCTTCCTTCCGGCTCAGAAAACAGTTACATTTTCGTAAGTACTTTGTTTTTCTCCATGAAAAAAGCTAAAAAAACTGACCTACTTAAAGTTTTGAATGTATAATTATGAATATCGAGACTTTGAAGATCTTATAATGAACATGTTTAGCGGGCTCTTCGTTCCGAAAAGATACTCCCGAAAGAGACGTTTATTTTTACAGGCTACATCAAAAAAGGAATCTGATCTTCAGCTGGTTTGAGCTCCACGTTTCAAGTTGCATGGCAAAGGATTTGTGTTCCATTGCCTGAGAAATTTTGGCAGAAGACATCAGTTTTAGGTGTTTGCTAAGACATACAGATCATGCAACATTTTATACCATCATGGTATCAGGTCTATGTTTAACAGAAAGCACACATCTCCGGTCTTAATTTGTTCTAGGTAAACCAAAACTGGCGTCATATTTACCATCTCCGCTGAGATTGTTGGCCGGAAAAAAGCCTTTTTTTTCTTATTTTTTTCAATATAAGAAAAAAATCCTATAACAACTGAAGGATCGTAGCCCCATGTCGAAGTATTTTCTCAATTGAGTTGATACCGTAAAGAATTTGAAAGCTAACGTTTCGAGCGTTAATCCTTCGTCAGAGCGATAGACGAGGGGCTAACGTTCGAACTATGAACGTTAGCTTTTAAACTCTTTACGGTTGTTAAAAAAAATTTAGGAAGATATGAGAAAAATTAAGTAGTTTAAAATTTCATTCGATCCTCTTAGAGTTTCTTCATAGCTACCTATAGCTAAAATTTCTTTCGCGTTGCGTAGTCTAAACTAATAAAACGCATAAACTTTAAACTGTATTATGATCATTTTTTAAATTCCTTCAGTATGAGATCATCGCATTTTATCAAGATTCTTCGAAAAGTTACGAGAATTTTTACAAAAATTTTTGTCAGACGTCCAAATTAGGTGAATTGTACGCGTCTTTTCCCAGATAAAGTAATAAATAGTACGTCAGTAACATGACAAAACGTGCGATTACTGAATAATTTAATGGTCTCCTGACACGCTCGCGTGATATTTCAAGTGCTTAAATGACGAAACGTGCAGACACTCATGCGTAAACTTAAGATAACAGTAGAGTGATTTTAATGAAATACTTCCCGTGTTGCACAATCGGACGTAATGCCGATCATATCATTCAGTCACGTGAAGAAACTTATGTTTTTCAGCCGATTATGGCCAGCATGAGATTTTGAGAAAAAAATTGAACTCCTGCGTCCAAGTTAAGTTAAGTCCAAGTTCTTAAAATGGGCAACCTTTCCATTTAAAAGATTTGGAATAGAACTCAGAATAGAAGTCGGCCAGAAAGGGTAGCAAACTTTTGCCAAGTTCATGAAAAATACTATAACGAAGTTTCCAATGCTTATTCGGGGTTAGGGATTGCAATTAAGGGTCTCGAGGTGATGGCTTTTACGGTTAGCGGTTAAAATTTTGGGCAATTTACCGCTAACAGCTAATATCTTACCATTGTGGCCACAAGAACAATTTTTACGGTTAATTTTTTTTATTATTAACGGTTAAAATTTGTCAATTTTTTCGCGTAAAGGCTAAATGTTAACCCAATTGTGATCTTCTAGTTTGAATCACGGGTGTTTGCGTGTGTTTGCGAGTGTATATTTTAGAACTCAGTGGTGTTAATGTTTGCGGGGACAAGAGCTGTGTAATTACCCCCTCCCGATCCCTAAACAAGCCTCCTTTCGATGGTATCAAAGGTCAAAATAATTCAATAATTTGGTTTATGTTTCCTGTAGGTTATCAAAATACAAGACAAAACCGCTATCCGGACTATTTTTTTCTCGATCAAAAGGCCAGCTGTTGTCAAAATCTGTTCGGATACATATTCGCCTTCATTTGTTTTATAGTTCAGCTTTGTATTTTAACGGAACGGTGCGATTAAAGTTTTCAGATTTCTTAAATCAAGAGTCTTACTCGAGCAATCAACCGATGTTCCTAAGTTGTAAATTAATTCTGGACTTAGGTTTTTCTTCGTTGGGGTGTGACCTATTAAAATGGTTAGGCTTTCAAAAAAAAATGTTTTATAATCAGCAAGGTGCCTACAACAGCTCATTACCGAAGAATCATAACAGTGGGCTTTTTCGATACGAATGGGCCTTGATTGCCAAAGGAATTGAAAGATTGAAAAAACCTGGGATTAAAAGTGACTATTTTCCTGTCTTTCCATCAAACTGGATTTATTTAGTCGGTCGGAAAAACTGACTTTTTCATTGTACACCCGCAACTTAAAAACCCGCCAGAACAAATCTCTTGAAAGAGTTGAACACCGACTGTGCACTCTTAACTTCTTCATGGGTCATATCATATGAGAAGGTTCGCACTTTTCAAGATTAAAGCCTTGCCTCGTTTGATAACAGGTCATGATGTTCTGCAAATGAGAGATTCTGTGCTGCTTTTACAGGAAGAGTAAAAGATTTTTACGGAAAGTCGAAAATAAAAGGATTCACACTAGTCACAATACATTGGAAACATGTTTTGAGAATCGTTTTTTCCTGAATTGCTGCAGGGCAGCGAAAAAGTTGTGAGCTGTTTTTTTTTTTTCCTTTTCCGTTCCGTAAATAACGCCTGGTCTCATGTCTTATTTGTTTATGGAAACATTCGTTACATAATTTCAGAACTGGTATCTTCACTGAGCTGAGGAAACATTTTTCGGTGTAAAAACGTGCTATACAGATGCTATACTGATTTGAAACGAGTTCTCAGCACCTGGAGAATGAGCTTGCACGTGAAATGAAGATTTCGAAATTCACTTTACTTCGAATGTAACAGCCGTACATGATTCAATATTTTCCCGGCCAAAAATAACAATATTTCTTTTTTTGTTAGATGAGGACTTAGAATCGGTGAAGAGGCCTGTTTGGTTGGGTAGTAAGCAGGTTTGTCTGGATCCGTATATCAGATGTGATATAAGTTTTCTTTGAGAAGTGCTTATCACGCGTTTGCTCTCAACAAAATACTGTAAGCTGCCAGGGACGTTAACACAGCTTGTTTTTTTAAGCTCCTTGCTTTGCGTAATCAATCAGTTTTCGTAACAGAAAGGAAACGAATGGAAGAAAGTTGGTTCTCGTTGACTCATTTAACTTTTTCTCCTCAGTGTTGCTGTCCGTGTGGGATTCCAAATGCTTTCCTTTGTGTACTAATGTTATGAGGGACCTTTAACCTTGCCATATTGAGTTTGCCAACGCAATATTTGTTTACAACGACGCATTTAGACTCGGCGAGATCATTAACTTGAAGTTTGGCCAGATACCAAAAACTGATAATTGAACACAATTCCCTGCCAAGATGCCTCTCCCGATCTTTGATTCTTACCCGGCATCAAAAACCGACACTTGACAGACGAGACATATTATAGATAATCAACTCCTGTCGAAACAAAGCAGGTTTGTCGATAAGAAGAAATGAATAGCTAAGAAATCACAGAAACTGAAAATTTGACGACCACACTTGCGAAATTTGAAGTCTCAAGCGGAAAACGAATGCTGGTGATGTCTGTTTGATGAGTCCTCAAATATTAGGTTATATAATCTATTACAACCTCCAAGACATTTAGAAGTATAGAAGCCTGCCTTTGTTCCTACAGCTCCTGTTCGTGACAGTTGGACAATTACTGTTGGTTCATGAGTATTGTTAAAAGATTTAAGGTTTTCGCGGGATCGTGGGAATATAATAAGGTTGCTATAACAACACTTGCAAGCCATCTCGGCTCTATCGAACGAAAGGAGAGCTTCACAATTATCCCCTTCTCAGTGTGCAAAGAAACTAGGATTCCAGATCTAAATATGTTCCCACTTCTTTCAGTAAAGACTGAATAAAATTGTTGACTTCTTAGCTAAGTTTTAGCTGGCAGAGTTGACAGAAACAGAAGCCTGACAGAAATAGCCAGATTTTCACGCTTCGATTGGCGTTTTGTTAGTATCTTTTTATCTGTCGAACAACCTCGATCGTCTTTTCCGTTGATGAGTTCCAGCTACTGATTTCTTCGCGTCTGGAAAAAAAAGGAACGTTCTCATATACTGATTTATTAGAAAACTGTTTAATTGTTCGATTTTGAGTGAGCAATCAATCAAACTATGCGTATTGCACCTTTTGTACAAGAACAGTTCAATTTCCTGAAATTGACTAATCACTATGACATAGAAGAGAAGGGCTCCGTCAAACAAAGTCTTATAGTTGATGAAAGTAATACTCTCAAGGCCTTCTTTGCATCATTGCGTAAAAAATTTATGGGTCATAAATTTGCCCTCAGGAAATCCTTGAAACACATGAGAGAAACCTATCAATTTAGATGTTGTCGCAGATGTCAAATCATTGCTGCAAACTGGCTTACACACTGTTCTTTCATGCGTAAGCTACATAACTGCACATTTATTTGAAACAGTAGGGGTTTGTGCATTATATCTCCTCCTTACGTGGAAAACAACAAGGATTTCAATTGGCGGCTCTGCGTGCAAAATTAGCAATAATCGCGGATGTGGAAAAAGGATTAGAGGTAAATTGACTCACTGGAGAATAAATTCGCGGAGCGGTCAGGCGACTGAAGCTTCCTTCAAGATCGCGTGATGTCGCTTGTTAGGGCGCACTGTCGCGAGCAAATTTGCGTGTTTTTCCAAAGGCACATTGTTCCACAATAAATTGACACGACGCTCGACCACCCACTTGTCTATCGCAAGAAATGAGAGTTGAGTTACAAAAAGATCTGCTTCGTAGTGAACGTGTGCCTGCTCTGGCAGATTTGCTACGATTTTTTTAATATGCCCACAAGGCGTTTAACATCTCAGAAGAAGCAATCAGGCGGGTAAATCGACGGCGAGATATTAAGGTTGTTGTTATCAAGATCGTAGTAGCCTGCGGCTGGAAAAAAGAAACTTCGACCCTCTGAACTCGGGGTTATCGCCAAAATCTCCATCCCGTTATCAACAAATGTCTTATCAAGCGGTCAGTGTTATGAGAAATTGAAAGAAACCATCGAGCCAATAAAACTTTAGCCAAAATCTTTTGAGCTGTGTAATCACAGTTTCGGGTTTCAAACGCAGACGGCCCTCCTATGTTTTTGTTAAGAAACAATGCGACTTCCGGTGCGCTGAGCTGTCAGTAACAAAGCTGAGTGTCACTTATTGTAAACCTGAGACGAGTGGCGTCTTCTCTCACAGGGGGAGGGAGTATTCAATACTCGTGGGTAAAGAAGTGATCTCTGGAGATGCAAAAACGAAAAATAACCAACAAAGAAGGAAACATTGACAACGGAAGATGTTGGAGACGGATTTAAAAGGCTGAATTTCTGATAAATCAGCAAGAATGGAGAAAGCAAGACAAAAAATGTGATAGCCGTTAGCACACCATCACCCCCCCAGAATTTCAGTGCTACGTGATGTCCCAGTCAGCAGAAACAGGGATGGAAGAAGTACACGGAAACCCCACATAACACGAAACTATCCGTCACCATTACCGCACAGACTGGCCAAATTTCCGTCCCTTTTCTCTCTTCTGTCCCAAACTTTGCCACATTGCAAAACAGACTTACACAAACATACAGCTCGATATTTATCACACAGCTGCATATCAAGTAAGTCTTGTTTACATGTAATTGTCATTGTATCGTGTATTTTGGTCCCCGCGGAGTATTCACGTTTCAAAGGTCTCTCGAAGCTTTTGCCGGCATTTTCAGCTGCGTACCGTGCGCGTGACCACAGTATTACTATTCCGTCATAAACTCATTTCTGGAAAGCCCCAGAAAACTCGATGATTTTGCACCATAGAGAAAACCCACGCTTTAAATCTCGCTTCCTAACGACAACTGTTACGTAGCTCGCAAAAATAGAACTCCACAATGGCGCCTTTCATCAATGAACTATTGTTTGTCCAAATACGCCAACTGATTGGTTTGTTCATACAGTTGGTATGACGACCAAATCTCGGGGCTAATCATTACGTCACGTCCCACCCGAAAACCAGGCCCCCCGCGATGAGTGGAAATAATAGCCCGTAATATATGTGTATATATTTCCCGATACTGACCTTAGAGAGCTTCATAACAGTTCTGAGTTGTTACGGCGCTAGCCCATCACTATTTGATGTGTCAAAGGCATTCTGTACTGAGCACACCACGTTAGGCAATCAACAACACTGGCAATGGAAAGAAAGAATAATAATTGTGTGGTGCACGTGAGGCAAGATTCTGATAACGACCTAGAGGCGCTTTTCCATGTCATCAGCAAGAACTCAGTGGCGAAGACGCATCCTGAGCCAGCATCTTCACAATCATTACCAATGCGATTAAGAAAGCTTCCTCCGTCGTTTTTTAAGCAACCTCCAATCGACGGTAGCTTATCACCAGATCAGGACGTCCCAAAAAGGCTTCCAATCTCTCATTCGCACTCGCGTTCATCGCCAGCGTCGCTCACAGTTCCTACGACTCTGAAAGGCCCGCCAAACCACTCCTTGAGTCCTGGCGTTCACCATCAAAGATCAACCTCTTTCGATAACACAGCGTTGCTTGAGGAGCCTACTCCTATGCCGCCTGGGTGGGAAATGAGAACGACGGCGAGTGGCCAAAGATACTTCATGAAGTAAGACGAAAATGTGTTAGCATCCCTTAATGCCAGTGGTTTAATGAATTGTAAATGTCTTAACACAACTTCAGTTAAATTACGACATTTAAATATTAAAACGCACGCACGCCACACAAAGTCAAGAATAGTAAATTCCGTACAATAATTTTACTACGCTGGAAGTGTTAACGGTCTCATGAAGACATAATGATTCTCTAGCATAAAATTTCATTGAATTCGGGTTTTTATTGTGTTTCTTAAAACCATTAACTAAACCTGTTTCCTTATATATGTACGTGTCTTTGGTGCTCAATATGGCGGGTAGCCAAAATCGGATGTAACACAGTAAATACGCTGTTTCAACTATAGTGAAACTAATCACGCTTTTGTTCTCTCTCGCAGTCACTTCGAACAGCTAACAACATGGCAAGACCCAAGAAAAACACAGTCAACTTCAAATCTGAACAGCGTACAGCCTGTCGGCAATTTGCCCGATGGATGGGAACAGGCGATAACACCAGAAGGTGATATTTACTATATCAACCACATCGAAAGGACAACCAGCTGGATCGACCCGCGACTCGCGATGCACTGTAGAAATCAGGAGAATATGCGCGGTTCGACCTTGCCTCCGGATTTTAATCGCCAAGGCCATCGAACCCTTCAGCTTCATCGTCTCCAAAGAGAGCGTGAGCAACTTTTGAAACGGCAGCAGGAACTCTTGAAGCAAGAGATCAAATTGAAACGTGATATTCTAGAGGAAGGTGGGAAACCGTCGCTGCTCGGAAACTTGACGCGAGAATTTAGCGCGCAAGATCCCCCTGTAACGAACGGAGGACATATCAGAGACGAATCATTTGATTCTGGGCTCGGAATGGGAGGTGGTAATTACCAGTTCCACGACGTCGATATGAACGATTCGCAACCGATGTTTGACGCGAATTACAACTCGAAGGACACTTCTTTTCGCGCCGATCCTAGGATACCCGAGATCCTCGATAGCTTGCCTGGCACTAATGTCGACTTAGGTGTGATGGAAGGAACAGATAATTCCACCAACATGGAAACTGAAGATCTTGGGGTTGGACTGGAGTTCAATTCGGAGATCTTAAACGATATGGAATCCGTGCTAATATCGCCGACCTTGACTTGGCTTTGAGCTTGTTAAGATTTCATTAAAGCGCAACGTAATAGTTTTTATAGAAAGGATTTTTCAATGACATTAGAATATTCTCAACGGAGTGAAAAGTAAGTACAAGGCGCTCGTTAGCGATCAAACCACTTCCCTTTTTTACATCTTCATACGCGTAAATATTAAGATTAAGATTGTAACTTACTTCTATAAGAGAACTTGTTTCGCAACGAAACTACAAAGTTCGGCTTTAGAGTCGAAATAGGAAGGCTTTATCGTATTGTTCTAGAGGAAAACACAATTGAAAGTCGGTATAATTTTTTGCGGTGAGAGTATAATAGTTTTTTGATTTAATTGCTTGTAAATAAGAGTTAGAGATTAATACGGGTTTTCATAATAGCGTCAAATGTTTGCGTCTCCGCAAAATTGCTTTTTTCAGCTTTCAATAGTTAGCTGTCGTTACTCATTTGGCGTTTTGATTTTGCGTCGTATCCGAGTATCGTGTGAAAAAATTGGATACGTTTCCAACTCCACCCACGAGATCGACTTTTGTTCTTAGAGAATGACAAAACATCAACCCTGATTAATCGTGAGCGAGTCCTGAACTCTATCATTTTATCCGCATAAAAATCAGCACTTGGTAGGCATTAGGCACGCTAGGTGTAATCTTAGCTAGTCTCTCCACAACTCGGGCGAGATTCAAGATCGGTTTACACATCAATGCTGGCTTTCTGTGTTTCGCAAAATTGTTATGGTTCATTAAGCAGCATACGGCATAATTTTGGTAATTAGGGTAGCTTTCTTGACTCTGTATCCAAAAACTTGATTATTTTTGCTACGAAAGGATCTAATTTTTTAGATACAGTATTTAATGCGGTTTCATTGCATAGCTTTATACGGCTTTCCACGCGCGTTTGTGAAATTGTTTGTATTTTTTTTAGTACAACGCAAAAGACCTTAGATTAATAAGCGTAGCAACACATTTTGACTTCACTTTAGTGTAAATATCAGTTTTCATTTTGATAGTTAAGCTATATTTTAGATATATATATATATATATATATATATATAAAAACAAACCGAAAGGGGAATTCATGTCTAAGGAATAACGCTCCGTTTCGATACGCGACTAGAGCAGTAAATTGCTCAGGAAGGGGCCATACGAAGTGTAGATCAGAAAGACTTCTATAAAAGTGTTTTTGTTTGCATTTCCTTCTTGGTGTTAAGCCACACGCACTCTCCGTCTGTGGTGAGTAAATTTGAAGATTAAAATTGAGCGGCGCGATGGCAAGAATGTTTACTTTTCTGTGTTTTACGCCGCCAGAATTATTCATTTGATTTGCAGCTGATGTAGGCGTGAAGACCCCTTTGCAACCAGTAAACAAATTACCTTTATTTTTGTTCTCTAAATCAGAGCAGTGATATTTCATAATATTCTTACCGATGTGTTTCCTGGTGAAACGTCACACAATAAAGTATTTTATTAACAAATAGTAGAATGGTGTTTGTCTTTGATATTTCGACGACGGTAGGCTTCAATAACTTCTAGTAAGCGGCGAGAACTCATTGGCAACTGATCAACACGCCGTCACATTTTGCATAAGAAAAGAAAAGCTGATTGAAGAGGGTAAAAATAGTCTGCTTGTTAAGTCCTTGTTATAGTCCATCCCGCTGAAATGTCTAGACAAACAAATGGGGTTTTCGTCCTTCGTAACCAGATCCAGCTCTTGTTTTGTATAATGCATGAAAACCTAAGCTCTTGCTGTGAACTTTATGTGTATCAGTGAGGTCCTTCTGTAACCCTCAAATTATCTTTCCATAACCAAATTATGAGTCTTACAGAAAACTGTGATCCCGGGGTTTAACTCATTGTAGTTGTTCTTAAAACTATGGGGCGTTTTCTTTGAAGTTTCGGCGTAGAGGCAGTGATACAATTATTGTTAGACACAATTAAAGAATTATTAAGCTCCAGCCTCTACACAAATTGACTTCCGCCGGCTTGCTAAATCGTCAGTGTACTTTCATTTGCGAAATCGTGTAAATATTCGTAACACAAGAGGTACACATAAAACGACCTTGGCAGAAAAACTGGAAATGAATTCATCAAGATGCATTCATTGTGGAAAACATTTTTTGCAGCTCCCCCAAATGACAAAATTTCGATATCATCCCTAGGGGAATCGTAAAGGCAATTAAGAACGTTTGATTCTCTTGCGAAACATGATTTTGGACCCCGTTTACGTATCACAGCAATGCAGTACATGGGGAACACTGGAAAGTCACATTCACTTATACTCGCACGCTAAGACAAATCGTTTGGCAGACAATTGAGAGAGAATAAAAATTTTGAGCAAACGAACGGAAAGGCCGGTTTTTAATCAGTATCTACACTTATGGTACCATTGGATGCTTATTATGAGCTTGCCAAGAGCTGATTTTTTTCATGTTGTTAATACTCGTAACACTCATTTTTTCCCAACACGATTTATCAGGGTTTTCTCTTTTGAAATCTTCAGTCTGTCATCAGCTGCGATTGCCTATCTCTTATTAAAAGTGACCTGGTGAACCGCACGAGTAAGGATTTGTCAAATCAGTTGTTCCAGTGCATTCGAAAATTAATACTTCTCAGTTGCACCTACAGACAACACATGAGAACCTTGCCAAAAGCGACGCTTACCTCATCATAATTCAATCTTTGACCGTGAGAAAATCCAGACACAACATGAAAAAAACGTGATAATAAAAGTCACACTAAACTGCTAATTTACTTATGAAAACTTTTCGCTACACAAATGCACCGCTTTGATTTGCCGGATTTCTCAGGTGACAGAAACGCGCCCGCTATTGCACGTTTTCCCTCCCGTGCTAAAGGACCTAAACGCGGTGTGTTTCTACTTTGAACGGACCATTAACACTTTTAATCCTTCAAAGAAACGTTTTCCGTCTTGTTTGACAAAAGAGGAGCAATTCATTGGCGCCACACCTCCCCTTTAGCGCTTCCGGTGTGTACGGATGAGTAAAATTTCCGCGTAGGCAGGGGGCGATGATGAATGTGACCGAACATGCAACCTACAGAACGTAATCAAGACATCACGATAGTTCCAGCTGATAAACTGTGTTATTAAAAAAGACATAGATAAAACTAACAGTTCTAATCGTTTATATTTTCATAAGAACCTTTATGAACATAGCTTTTCTCTGTCATCGCTGCGTGGTTACATTTACTTTCAATGTCACCCCTGGCTGGACATTTGTATAAATTTTGGCTGTTTGCACAATCACGATACTTACTAATTAAAAGATTTTCAAAGTGTGACGGCTTACATAAACTTTCGTTTCCTTGCGATGTCAGTTTATTTAGAGAGTGATGAACGTTCTAATTTAACCCTTTCCGCTACAAATTATTGACAAGGTACAGTGTCTTCGTCAGAGAAATAGTTATTACTTTTCAATAACAAAAATTTTCTTTATCAGCCTCATAACCTAAGCCAAACTCTCAAGTTTATTGGTAAAAACAGTTTAATTTTTTGGATTAACTCTGAAAAAGCTATACAGTAAGGCACTTTCTTATCCCCTGAAAAGCTGGTTTATTTCTCTAAAAGAAGCTTTTCGCTGGGAGGTCGATGATGTAGGGTTTTAAAACTGGTTAAGGAAGTGATTAGGGCGGGCTCACTGACTCCAACGTCCTTCCGTGATGCGAGGTTTCGAAACAAATTTAGCCACAGACGGTCAGTCTACTAGCTAATAGTGGCTATGAAGTTCCAGTACAGATGTAGCCGTTGCTCTGAAATTCCTGAGCAGACATTCTTCTCAAGATCAAGAGACGATAAATATGGCTCACTGAGAGTGCGATTTGTCCTCAGGAAAACGAGTATATACAGTTACTATGTCTTAAAAATAGGCCCGAATCATTGGCGCAAGTCTTGCTCGGTACTAGCAATCAGTGCTCTCGCATTTTGGCGAGAGAGCGCTCTGCTTTTCTTCCTGAAAAGTTTCTCCCCTCGCTCTTTTGAGCTGGACGAACGCTCTTCAGGTTTAACTTGAAAAAGTGGTATTTTTATACCTCTCAAAAGTTAAGGACTCCATAGATAGTTTGTTTTATTGATACCATAGTCATAATGAGACATTTTGATCATAGTATAGAACGTGAAAGCCTAGAGACAAGAGGCTATTTCAACGACCAGAAATATTGCTGTTGTGGGAAAGAAGTATGCAAAACTTAAGAACATGTAGATTTTTCACGTTCTATTGCGATATAAAAGCTTAATTATTAAGAGAGAATTTTTGTGCATGTGCATATGTAATTATTGCCTTTTTTGGAAGTTTTAGGTCTCTTAATATTAATGGTTGACAAACGGTAGTTAAAAAGTTCGAGTTATGTTATGTCGATAAACTTGAACAAATTAGAGTATGAATTCCGGAGTTTATACCCGGAACTTACGCATATTCCTGATTTCGCAATTTCAAAGAAAAGATTGAAAGGATAACACGTTTTGCGTGGGTTATGTGGAAAGTTTCCTGGGTTGAAAAAAAATAAGCCACCTGATGTTTCACAGTCACGTTTCCAAATGGATCTCGAATGATTTTGAAAAAATTTTCTTTACTTAAGATCACTTGATAAATATTCGCTATGGGATTCTAGCGGTTCCTCGTTTTTAGAGTGCTCGGGAAGTCAATCAGATTATATTAAGAGAGGATGGATAACCGAATCCAGCGTGTTCATTAAAATTTTGTCACGTCTCGGTAGCGGTCTAAGGTTCATAACGGATTCAAACAGATCGATTTCTCGTTGTAAGAAATGAGCAAGTAATGAACACCTTCAGCGAGTATTTCCATCTCCTGCCTAAATGGCTAAATTACAGTTTTCAACAATTTTGCGTGTTCGAACTCTGATCATGATCACATTTTTTTTTTAATGTCAAATAATCGGGCCTAAGTGAAAAAAACAGAAGCATGCTGTTCTTATCTATCTCAGTTTTCCGCTCTTACTTTTCAGCACTCTTGAGTCAACTTACACCTACTATAACCCTCGCCCTTTTTAATCTGTCTCCGGAGTGATATTCTTACGGCGTTACGATATCAAATGATAGAGCCTTCGTTGAAATTGGGCGGTGAATCAACTAAAAATTACGTGGGAAAAGCAAAGGCCTATTTTAAGCTTATATAATTCCTTTTTCCAGTTTCGTTATTTCGATGACCCTTAGAGTTTAGTAGGACTATTACTACTGATATTGTCACAGTTTGAAAAAAAAATTTTGCGTCACTGTCGGTTCAAGAAGAAATTATTCATAAATTTTATGACTAAAGTAATCAACAGATAATTAGTAGACTACTGAACTTCATCTTGTCGCCCGTGCGTAACTGATTAGAAGTACAATGTTCATTTAACAAAACTTACAAACATGTCAATTCGATTTTGCAATTTTATTGAATAGAGAACAATGATCCCGTTCATATTTTTTCCTTAGCGGGCTGTAAGCACGACTTGACTGATTTAATCATTGCAAAAATACAAGATAAACAACTCCCTTTATCCATTTGTCGAAGCAATTGGATTGCGAAAGACCCCTTGATAACCATCTGAAAAAATGGCTAAATCTCGTAGAAGCGAAATTTTTAGAGAGCAGAATCGAATGTTTGAATTAAATGGTTTAGTGTGTGGCTTATGCTTTGAGACCGAACACCTGTTGTTTTCAGTCACAAGCCGATAAATGCTTGGTCCAAAAATAAGACGCAACAAAAAAGGTTAAAAATGGAAATGATTTTATTAAGACCAACAAAGCAAAGCAAATCTTGTGTTATTTAAACCTCTTTTCAGCAAATACTTTAAATTAAAGTAAAGTTGTCTGAAGCAGCTTCACCGAAGCTTCTTCAGAGAACTTTCTGGCCAAAACGTGATGCGAAGCAGTTCTTTGATCTCGTAAACAGCCGACCATGGAGTGTTGATTTATTTACTATTTTTACAAAGCCTCGGGCAATTAAAAAGATTGTTTTGGTTTTCATTTCATTGAAACGTTATATTTTTGGGCGTAAGGCCAAGATTTTAATGAAAATCTTTCATCCCATAGTCTCCTGTAATACTAGAAACGTTGAAATAGCTAATGAGTTAAATTGATTTGCGTACTGATTAACAATTTTCAATTAAATCAGTATTTTCTTTAACAGTTTACCGAATAAAAGAAAACAGAATCAACCACAAACTTTTCAATGTAACGTGTGGCCTAAACAGAGAGCATAGTTTTTTTACAGGCTTTAACGTTCAGCGGAGTCTAACATTTCTTAAAACAGGGAATCTTCATGGATATACAACAAAAGATTTTCATTAACCGAGATATATTACTTGCTACTGTTTGTTTCGATTCACTCTAAACTTGACTAGAAATTTCTTTTAATTGAGATCAATTAAATTTCAAAACGCGCAGCTAACCGTGGTCAAGATGTTTTTCTTTTCCTCACTCAGTGCTTGTTAAAGGCTACCAAATAAACAGACCAAACAAAAGAATATTTGTTCTCACCGACGCTTAACACCGAGTCACGGAAACACGAAAACATAAAAAAAAAAAAAACACTTCAGAAACTTTGACCTAAATCTGATCTCTTACCTCCAAACTAGCTGTGGGTACTTTTGAAATACGATATACGTCAACAGCATGCTGGGTGTGCGCAATAAACGAGGTAAAAAACGGTTGAAATCAAAATTAGGAATCGTACTGAAAGACGAAAACGGTACACCATCAGTCAATAGCTTGACAAGAGCAGAAGTGACTAAACTCCTTGCATTACTAAGTTAACATAAATTCGGAAAGTTGTGATATTAAAGTTTACTTGATAAAAAATGTTCTGTGGTCGTAAAAACGTGCCGGAAATGGAAATGCAGATCAAAACATTGATCACATCATCGACTCATTCTTTAGATAGTCTTAAATGTTTATTTGTGTTCTTTTCTTGAGTGTTTGGCTCATTTTTTGAAATTTCTGTTGATAATTTCTCCGAGTCAGGTGTCGGCATATCGTATATTAAACAAAGTCAATGTTTGTGAAAATATTGATTAACCAAACACTTAATTTGTCAACAACTGACTGGGAGACTTACACCTTGTATGTACGAACGCAGACAGGGTCTTTGAGTTTGTTTATTTGCAGAAGACTGCTGTGGCATTTAGTTCAACCAGGCTAGCATATGGCTTCAACCGCTACAAAGATTTCAAACCACAAGGTTTGAGTCGCTGTTTTGTTGATGAGTTGTTGATGAGACGATTAAGGAGAAATCATCGTACAAGCATGCAGGGGAAAATTGTGGTTTTTCCCCCGCAACCTGTGCAGAACAGGAGATCTCCTAAATATAAGGTGTCCGTGCAATAAGTGCACATCGTGGGTTTATGAGTGTTGATATCATGCTGTTGCTTATAACTGCGTGGACACGTGCGCCAGAGCTGATGATGCAGGGATTGCACGTTGCGGGTAAACTTACACGTGCCTGTATCCAGAGTGATAACAGGATAATTGAGTAATATCAACGGAGTTGATAACGTAAATTGGCCACCATGAAGAGTTTAAAAGCAGTGACGTTTCGAGCGTTAGCCCTTCGTCAGAGCGAAAAAAGGAAGGGCCCTCGCTTTGAAGAAGGGCTAACGCTCGAAACTTCAGTTTTCAAAATCTTTATGGTGGTCAATTTACGTTATCAACTCAATTGATATAACTAAACTATCCTGTTATACTCTCTCACCTACGCAGCACCAAAGTTTTTTCAGAAACTTACCCCCTTTACTCATGTTTCCAGTGTGAACTGCAAGGATTTGATTTCAATCCACGAATTGCAAAACAACAGAAAACAAACAATTATGCTTGGTGTTAGGGTGGTTTCTCCGAAGTTCTGCTTATTGTTTATTATATCTGTCGCCAAAGAAAGAGGGCGTAGATAACTATTTATAGTCTCACAGCCCTTCCCACTCCTTTCCCTTTCGTTCTGACGAATGGCTACCGCTTGAAACTTCAGCTTTAGAAACTTTTTACTGTGGTCAATTTACATTACCAACTCAGTTTATAAAACCAAATCATCTTGTAGTACTCTTCCCGCTCCTGTCTAGAACGGGGGTAAACTGGATACTAGTGACAAAGCTAACAACATTGCGGAGTGGGAACAGCGCTGGTGATGAGAAGGAAACAACTAACATTTTAGATGAATTTCGTGCTCGCCACAGATGCAACTTCCAGCAAGTTGGGAGTAGAGAGAGAGAGGCAACACATATTTTATCTTTTTCACCACTGGACAAAATCTCGGCTCTTCGTTCTGTTAGACATAAAGTAAATATGTCTTCTTTAGTGTACCGCTGACTGGCACTTTTCGTTCGACGTCTTTACGACTCAAACTTCCAAATTTGGAAATCATCTATTCAACGGTTGTACAACCGCCATTTTTGAAACTAAATATTTCTTAAGATTTCGGACGGGCTGATCGTTTGCAGAAAATCGTATCGTTTTCTTTTTTATTTCGAATTAGTCGTTTGGAGTTACACGTAAAAGAGTATTTTGCGCGTACAGCGTCTTGTTGGTGAGATGGATGCTGATAATTCAGGCAATCTGGACGCCTCTGATCATCAGAATTCTTCGCGTGGAGGTGAGCTTTAAGATCTAGATCTGTCGCATTGTGAAAGGTTATGTCTATGTTTACCGTTGATCATGTGTACAAGTTTTGTTTTCATCAAGGAAGTTTCATTATGAACTCATGATGAGGGTAATACAGTTCAAAGTCTTATCACATACAGTTAGCAAATTCCTTTTTATCACAATTGCAACTGTCTTGATTTACACACATTTGACTCAAGAATTATAAATATTGTGTTGCCTTCTTTTGAGTCAGAATTACCACAGTTATTTATCAAATTAAAACTCGTACTTTTTTTCTCCTTTTGACAAAACTATGAAATTAGCAGCTAAATCCATCGTTTTTAAGGTACGCCGAAGAGATGAAAAATTTCGTCCCAAACTTTGATCGTGAGTAAGTTTCATAATATCTGATCACCTACCCAACCGTTAGTTTTTGGTCAGCACATGAAAAATTTATGGTTAACTATCAATTTTTAGAAAGCAATAGTTCCAGCTCCGCCATGGAAACACGACTCTGTGTGGTGGGGAAGGAAAATGGAGATAATCAAGAGCTAATGCAAGCAATCGAGGTGAACATGATTGTAGATTAGTCTACTATTTCTTTCTAGTCTCTCCCTTGCACTTGAATTTGGTATGCATGTGAGAAGCACACATACATGTACATTCTAGAATCAATAATTTTTGTTTGATACCTAACTACTATAAACACTGTAGATATGTTCACATGCAGTGTACATGTTCTAGGGGTTTTCGGTCAATCTGCCACCACTGAGAGTCAAATCACCACTGGTGGCAACTTGACCCAGACGTTATTTGTAGCCTGTCATGAAACTTACATCAAATGAAAGCTAAGATGTAGTGGTATATTGCAACATGAAAAGTGCATACAAATACAGTGAAGTTTTCTTTTTCATAAACACAATTTCTAATCAAGTCTAATGAAACTAATATCATATGAAAGCCTAGATCTTGAGGTTTTGTAATTTTCTGGTTGTGATGTGAAATTAAGAGTGGGCACATACACAGCAAAATCTTGCAAAAAGCAAGTTGGTGTCCTCCAGGAGTCCCTGAGGGGCAAATATATCAAACTTTGAATAAATTAGAATAATAAGTAACATGCCAACAATGTTCCCTCCAAGGGCTTGTGTTGGTCAAATTTTTAGATCAATATGGTTACAAATTGAAGTATTATTGATTAAAGCTCTTTCTCTGAATTTCTAGTACACCCCTAAAGGTGTTTCCCAAAACAATGAACAGAATTCAAAATTTTCCCTATTTTGTGGTGATGATCAATGAGTAAACAAGTGCTCAAATTGCCTGAAATACGCTTTGAATTCGCTTCAAAATACTTTCTTTAGTAACTTGATTGTCCTATAAAAACTTTGTGCAGCAGAGCACAGAAATCTAGAATTCACAATTGAGACACTACACTTAAAGTTTAGTTGCTTTCACTGTTTTTGCTTGCACTTATTATTTGCTATGCTTAGCTTTCATTTGATGTTAAATTCATACTAGAGTTTAAACATAACACCTGAGTCAAATTATCACCAGTGATAATTTGACTCTCAGTAGTGATGAGTTTGGTGGTGGCAAGTCTGTTGTTGTGGCAAACTGACCATATACTGTACTGTACTGTTGTGGACATCCTTTGTGAGCATTCTCTGAGGTATTGCTGGATCATCAAAGATTAAAATTAAAAGTTAAAAATTATTCCAGTGTGATACTTTTTCTTTTCTGTAAATCCTGAAATTTTGCAATGTTGACTTCAATAAACATTTCCTATGATACCTTTGACTAACCACAAGTGAAGATAACAGTGCTAAATTTAAATTCTACAGTAATACAACTTTTTCCTGTTGGTTAAATTTAAAAATACTAGAATTTAGACTAAATCATGGTCATACTATCCAAATCTACAAAGCTTTCAAACTTTTTTCTTTATTTTTCTTCCAGGTTCTTAAAATTCCAGTAACAGTATCAGAAGATGTGAAAGAAGTAATGCAAACAGCTAGTGATAACATTGAAATAGTCTATGTTTGCGAGCCTTTTGAGGGAGAACACTTTGAACTTTTACGCAAAGAAGAACAGCGGATCATTGGACCACCCATAATTCATTCTTGTGCTAAACAGGAACAGCCTTTGCCGTACAATTCAAGACCCCTTTATTGTACAGTCATGAGTAATCTGATCATCTGCTTTACTGGATTTAGAAAAAAGGAAGAACTTGGAAGATTATGTAACCTTGTACATCATATGGGCGGCAGTATACGGAGAGAATTTAGCGGGAGAGTTACCCATCTTGTTGCAAACTCAATACATGGACAGAAATACAGGGTAGGTACATATATCAGGACTTCAAGCTGCAACCATTTTGGTGGGCATAACGAGTTAAAAAAAAAAAAAATTGGCAACTAAATATGTAGCTAAAGATGCCAATTTGGCAACCTTTGTTTGACCATTTTGTGGACTATAGTGAGTAGAAAAAAATTTTTGGCAACAAAGTAAGCAGTGGAAGTGACTAATTTGGTGACTTGTGTTCAGCAATTACATATGAAGTAAGGTGTAACATCTACAATTATCAGCTCAGGAAAAGTTTGATGACAGGATTTGTACCATAGAATCAGTGTTGTTTTTGGCAACAAAATTAGTATTAGAAATGGCCAATTTGGTGACTTGCGTTCAGCAATTACATCTACTTCAATTGTCAACTCAGAAAAAGTTTGGCGATGGGATTTGCACCAGAAAATCTCAGTGTTGTCATAGGCAACCTTGCTCGTTTCCAATGGTGACCAAATCTCAAGAGCTGTGCATAACTATCTGTTAAACTTGAAAGCTTGTAAAAGAGGTTGAACAACATGTTGCCACTGAAAACGTTGTCACTAACGCAGGTCAACTTGATTTTGAATTTAAAACAGGATCCCCCAATCCTGATCATGAGAAACAAGCAGGGATTCTATCTTTTTAATTCTTTGTCCTCTTTTGCCTCCTTTGATCCTAACCACTGATTGTCCCAATTGTGCTGAATTGGATTGTTTGTTTTCTTTGCTGTGATGAGTTTATTTTGCTTAAGTGACCTCTTTAAGAGTGTCCCTATAAAACATTGTCCTATCAAGCTACTCTCTGTTACAGAAAACAAAGTCAAGTAAGAAACTTAGTTCAAAAAGAAAAATTTATGTAGCTGAAGAAGTTTCTTTCCCCTCCCTCTAAACCTTTTTATCGATAATTTATCTGTAATATTGCATGAACCTAGTTCCTGCAGTTAGCAGGAAAGACCATTGTCTTTACTAATCCAAAAATGACCACTTGAATGTTGGTTATGCTCTGATTAGCCCTTTGGGGTATATGTTTATTTATTGGGGAAATATTTCAGCCAAGTAAGAGGCCCAAGACGCAAAGTACTTGTAAATTTTAATTTTCTGCCTCAACTATTTTGATAGCCTTTTTTCAAAAATGGTAGCAACTGATATATGTATGTTTCCATAGGCTGCCGTGAGTCTTGGTACTACTATAATGACTGTAGAGTGGGTAAACACATGCTGGGAGAGAAGGCATGAGCTGTAAGTGAACATTGATATTGTATTGGAGAGGCAGTCATTAACTGGTTATTATCTTAATTGATAGACCGTTGGAATTGCTAATGACTCTGTTATAGTGAAGCATCACATGCTGTCAATGTGTACTGGATTATTCTGAAAAAATAAAATGTATAAATGTGTTTTCTTTGTAGGTGTGCAAGTGCAGTGGATCCTTTAATGGTGAGTTCCTTTAAGTCATGTTTCAAAGCTAATGAGTTCACCCTTTGTTCCAGCCAGACTTTTTTGTTTTCAGCTCCCAGTGGTCTACTTTCAATTTTTTTCTGTCTACCTTGACATGTAAAATCAATGTTATACTTGGTGAGAAAAAGCCTATATTGCTATTCAAAGACAGCCATTGTATCATTGTCAATCAAAGTTCAATGCACCAGTTACCTTGCCAAAGTTCCAGCAATTTGGTTAATTTCTTCCTAGGCTTATGTGCCAAGATACTGTAATTTAATGATACTGCCATTCATTTTACTGAAGGAAAAATACAAGATGATGCCTTTTCATGGATGCTATCTCAGTTTTCATGGATTTTCTGATGATGAGAAGAAACACATGGAAGAATCAACTGAGCAGCAAGGTCAGTGATGAACAGTGAATTATTAAATTAGTATATTATCTCAAATTTTAAATTTCTGCTTTAACACATCAGCAAATGAGCTATTTGAACTTTTCAAATAGTAAAGCATGCCTTTCATGTGTGGTTTTTCAAATCTGCTGGTATATCAGCTTTCAGATGAATTAGTGACTAAGCTTTAATGTGATACATCGTATTTGTGGTTTCTAAGAAATGTTCATATTCACTCAGTCTCTATAAGTTTTTTCTTTTTTGCTAAAAATTGTGAATGTTATTTTCAGGCGGGGTACCTGTGGAGGCAAGTGATAGTCGCTGCACTCATCTTGTCATTGAAGACAGTGTCACAGAGTTACCAGGGGGTTTGGTTGAGCAATCGCGATGCCAAGTTGTCAGACAAGAGGTTTGCACTTTTGTTGATTAAAATCTGAGCTACACATACTGTAATACTCACCATAATCAGTCTGGATAAGGCTGCCCAACTGATACTCTCTTCTCTGATGCAAAATTAGATCATTAATAATTGAACATCTTGGGGTTTTTTTTTTTAATTCTTTTATGTATTCATTGTTATTTTATTCTTATAACAAGTTTCCCTTGGTTTTGGCATTGATAAATTTTATTTCATTCTTTCGTCTTCAATTATTTTGGTTCTCTGGGCTCTTTGGCTTTTGGCTTTTGTATTTTACATGTCAGAGGACTCCAAGACAATGTGCTTGGTGTTTTTCTATTTTGTAGTGGTTCTGGGCTAGTATTCACATGGATGCCTGTGCCGATGAGTCTTTGTATCACTTCACAGCAACAGTGAGTTAAAATTTATGTCATTAGCTTACTTTCCTTAGTTACTGTGCATTAAATTGATTTTATTGTTTGTTTTGCCCAATAAGCATTTTGTTATACACTTTAAACTCAACATTGTACTTTGTATAAATCAGAACTGAAGATGACAGAAGAACTGTTGAAACATGTTTTTAAAAAATGTCATATTTTCTTAAATTTGTGACATATCTGCTGCTATCCAGACCTTTTAGTGTGTTATTTTCATGATGTTTTGACATGAATGATGGAGTATTTATATAGCATATGATACCATTAGCAGGATCCTTCTGTGCCTTGTCCACAGCAGCAGAATACACCTGTTGGTAATCGAAAGAGGAAACGTCGCAAGCTGAAGGATTCAGATCTCAGTGATTTGCTGTCACCAGATTCTCCCCTTTTCCGTGCAAAGCGCAAGAGTGGTGACTTATTATCTGTCTCTGGGTCTCTTCTGGAGAACTCTCTAGTATCACCAGCCACACCAAAAGGTAAGGAGGGGTTTCAGGAAGTTTTTTGTTTGAAAGCACCATTACTATGCTAGTTAGGGAGAAAACACAAGGTTTAGTACAAGTTATCTCAAATGTGTAGGTATATCTTAAGAGAGAACCCTGGGTAAGACTGCTTTGATAAACAAGCCCGGCCAACTTGGAACTATGAAGAGTCATGTGCCTTGTGATCTATTTTTTTTGTAGACACACCCAGTGGAACCATCTCACCTCTGAGTACACCCATTCCTGGTCCCCCCAAACCTCTGACATCACGGCAGCAAGTGGCCATGGAGCTGTTGCAGACAGAAAAGAACTATGTTGAGATACTCACCAATATCTTCAAGGTATCAACAAGTTATCCCTCTCACTTCCAAGATCTCATTTGTAATTCTCCTTACTGTCTGCCGTACACTTCTTATTATATAAGTTTGGAGAATTTGGTATTGAATCAGCTAACAGTCTGCTAATTGATATTTTTCTTTAATTCTAAAAACTTGATTGCTTAATATTATATTGTTATTGTAAGGAGAAATTCTGACCTGGTCATTTATGGGAATTGAAAGGTTAAACTTATCAACAACAGATGAGTGTCTGAGAGGTTGCATGAACCAAGAACTGCATCTTGGTGCAGAGAGTAACATCCACTGTCATTGTGCTAACTAGTAGAGGCAAAAGTTGTTATGTGATTGAATAGAGGTAAAAATTTAGGCAGATGACAGTTGAAATGCCTGGTCAAACGTCTTCAATAGGGTTACACCTTTGATCCCTAAGAGTGATAAGCATCTAATTTCTTCTTACAATATCACCCTGATGCACACATTAACCCTTTAACTCCCAGAGGTGATCAACATGAAATTTCTCCCTTTAGTATCCTTATATCCAGCAAACAGGTAATGAGAAAATTCCAACATATCAGGTAGAAGTTGTTATCTTGATCTAACACCAAATTCTGGTCACTAATTTACAAGGAAACGTGTAGCAGCAAGAGGGGAGAATTTACAATCAAATCTTAGGAGTTAAAGGGTTAAGGTCACAAAAATAAAGGAAATGATCATCAAATAAAGAAACCCTTGATTATTAAACAAATTCTCCTTGTCAGCACCTCAGAAATGTAAAGGTAACAGTATAGAGAATATGTATACTGATGTTAAGGTGTTGGGGGGTAAACTTAACTCATTCACTTGTTGAAATTTGTTATTTTTTAGGTTTTTAAAGAACCACTTGAGAAAGACCCACGTGGTGGATCGATTATCTCCGCTGAGGACATCAAAACAATATTTGGTCGTTTACCTGGAATCTTGGAGGTTCATAATAAGATCATGGTGAGTTATGCTGTTTATCACCAGTTAAACGTTTTTTTATTGCACTTTCCAGGTCAATTAATTTGTTGAAATTACCTAAGAACACATGACAAGATATTTGTTCGATGAATTACCGGTAAACCTTTGGTGTTTATTTATTCCAAGTGGGGAACTCGTTTTTCACTAGGTATCATTGACTGAGGAATGAATGTTAACCCTTTAACCCTTAGGAGTGACTGGCTTCTAATTTCTCCCGCAATATCACCCCTGAATCGATCATTTAGGTCAGGAAAATAAAGAAAATGATCAGCAAACTGAGGAAGGTCTTGATTGATAGACAAATTCTCCTTGTTAGCACTCAGGGAAATGTATTGAGAACAGAATGGAGAATATGCTTACTGATGTTTGGGTGCGAAGGTTGATTCACGTCAGTCGACAAAAACTGTTAGATTTGCTGGATACAGTTTTTGACAACGAGAGCACCGATCCATCAACATGAATTTGATTTTGTGATGCTTTTTAAAAATTTGTTGTCTTTCGTAGAATGAACTAGAAGTGTTGGTGAATGATTGGAGAGAAGACAAATGTATTGGGAACATCATTATCAACCATGTAAGTACAGCAAACTCTGTACCAAGTAACTGAATCTCTCCTAGTCTTTTTTGTTCTTTCCTTGTTGCAAAATTTTCTTGGTGTTGCGTGTGCTTTCAAATAATAATTACTGTCAGTTTTTAGCGTTACCAATCTTCTGTCTGTTTAATTTGATTTTTCCAGGCTGAAGAAATGGTCAAAGTCTATCCACCTTTTGTGAACTACTTTGAGATGACCAAAGAGACTGTAGTGAGATGTGATCGAGATATACCAAGATTTCACGCCTTTTTAAAGGTAATTGGATTGGCTTTCGGGTTATGTACTCAAATTGTAATCTTTTCCTCTCTTGTTTCATCATGAGGACACTTTAATCTTTGTGCAACTCTACTGCAACTGCTCGTCATTCGATAAATACGCGAAACGATGCGTCGTACGTGTGTACTTTTGAGCGGTACATATGCGCAGTTAACGTATATGTAAGCGGTATTGTTTCTGGGAACATTATTATCAACCGAACTGATTGTTTTTCCAGGCGTGTCTCAGCAGACCGGAATGCGGAAGACAAACGTTGGCTGAACTTCTGATTAGACCAGTGCAAAGACTTCCGAGCATGAATTTGCTTCTGTCAGGTATACTAACGATACCATTGTTCCTTAACCCTTTACACCCCAACATCAGTATGTATATTCTCCATACTGTTTCCTATTCATTTCTTAAGTTGCTAACAAGGAGAATTTGTTTAAAGATCAAGAGTTTCTTTAGTTGGTGATCATTTTCTTTATTCTCATGACCTTAATGTGTGATTCAGAGGTGATATTGTTGGGAGAAATTAGATGCTGGCCACTCTTAGGGGTTAAAGGGTTACGTGGACTCCTGATGCCACAGGTGACCAACCTTTCTCTTTGGTGACTTGAAAACTTTTAAGAGGTGGGCGCTTCAGATTTCTGAGTCCACATCCTTAAAGAATCAGTTGGTGAATGATCCTTTGAAGTTCAAGAAACTCACCTGTGTTTATTTCCTCTCTAGATCTGCTGAAACATACAGACAAGAAAAATCCCGATCACGCAGCTCTGGGCAAGGCAGTGGACTCGCTAAAGAACGTTATGACGTAAGGCTGAGGAAGATTTTCGTGCTGTTGTGTAGTTAGCCCGCGAGCTGGCCGTGATAAGTAGTGCTTCGACACGAGCTTGTCTTCTCCCGTTGGAAGGAATGAGCAACACGAGCCAGCGAGAGGTGCACAAGGGATCTAGCACTGATAACGAGTGCCAGACCCACGGAAAATCTCTCCTGACTGGTCTAAATATTCCCGCGGGCGAAGAAATGCGCGTCCTTCTCTGCTCATAATGAAGGCTTGTTGGTATGCTTTTGTGTACTTTTATAACTGCCTATCGGGGACTAGTTGCAAGGACAAGTCACCGCGACTATTCGCCCCTTTATGACATGGAGAATCTTTGTGAAGGTCGTTACCTCTGCGACTGAATTTTCTAGCAACGAACCGTCGCTCGTTGCAATTTATTCGAATGATCAAACACAGTTCATTTTTACTAACGCCAGCTGTGCAGACAATTGATAGCATTAATGATAGCGATAACAGTAGTCATACAGTCATAAGAGGAACTATCGAAATCTCTTTGTACGTTTTTAAAAACACCGAGCCTTTTTTTTTTGTTGCTTTAGCCACATCAACGAGGATAAGAGGAAAACAGAAGGCCAGGTGCAGATGTTTGAGATTCTTAGAGACGTTGATGGATGTCCAGTAAGTCCTTGGTAAAATTCTCTAATAATGTGTGGGAGCGAAATTGACTCGAGGTGGATCCTGTAAGAATGATAGTTGTGCTATATGACAAGAGAGAACGTGCTTGTATGGGCACAAAGTTATGCAGTGCACTGCATTTGTTGGAAAAGTCTTCAAAATATATAGCCTGTTTTCATACCAGGGACTTCACCGCGGTTTTAAAGCAAATTTGAATTCAGTGTCGAAAATAAACCGTGACTGCTTGGGTTTTACCAAACTTTAACCTGTGATTGGTCCAAAAAACTCGCGCCATCCTCTCATCCAATCGGTTGCAAAACTAAAACGAACTGACGACTTGGTCACTCGCGTTTCTCCTCGCTTGTTTTCAATTTGAGTTCTCATTGGCTAATGATAATGTAAAACCTTTGTTTTGATTGGTCTCTGGGATTATTTTGGTTGTGGTTTTTGCCAGTCTATTGAAAATTGATTAGGTTCTTTCTATTTAGTGTTGCATGTAGTTGGGTATTGCTTTAACTTTTCTGTGCTTCGCTCGCCGCCTTATCATCCAATCGGACGCAAAATCAAAACCACCTGCAACATAATAATTCGCTTTTTTCCCCCTCGTGCAGTTTTTTTTGTCTTTGTTCTGAGTTTCTTGTCATATTTTCCATCTGATTGATCGTTCTGACTTCTCTGGTTTTGATTTGACGACATACAGTTTAAAACCGGTCCTACAGAAATAAGTGGTTTTCACGTCTAATTTCCTAGGCTTACGTACTTTCTTCACACCGTGTCTACGTGTCTAAAGTGGACACCTTCGAGCTGAGTGACACCCTTTGCGGCAAAGGAGAAGCAGTGACTATTTTCCTTTTCAATGATAGTCTGGAGGTATGATAACCAAACACGTGCATGAAGTTGTCTATTCCTTCATCATTTTTTGTCCCTTTTCCAAATAGGTTAGGCCGCGCAATTTCGCCTACTGTTCGGCATTAACCCTTTAACTCCCAAAAGTGATTAACATGTAGCTTCTCCTTGTAATTTCCATACATTATCCAGCAAACAGGTAGTGAGAAAACTTAAACTTATCAGTTAGAGGTCATTAATGTATAAGGAAATGTTTAGCAGCCGGAGGGGGGAATTGGTAATCAGATCTTGGGAGTGAAATGGTTAACCACCTCAAAAAAAGCTGAAAGGAAAACGTCAAAAGGGGCATAGATGGGCAAAAGGTGACAACCGGGCTGGTCTCCGACGTCGGTGTCCGAAATCATGTGGGAATAGTCCAGTTGCCGAAATCTTGGTAATAGGGGCTAGAAAATGTCCCCTCTTAGCACTCCAGCCCAGAAACCGGCTTCAAACTTTAATGGTGATCCGTTTTCAGCTCGGTAACCAGACCAAAATGTTCCCTATAGGTTCATTATAAAGCCAGTTTATATATCAGCTGTGACCCAGCCTCTTTCATTTTGTTCCTGGCTGTGAGGAAATGACTTTTTCCCTTGTAGGTAACGAAACGACGAGGTTTAAAAATGATGAATAACGTTCCTTTACCAATGAAAAGCCCGGCGGGACGTACGCCACAGAAGGCTTACAAACACGTGAAATTTATGCCCCTGGCACATGTCAGGCGCGTGGTGGACATCCGTGATAACGAAGGTAAGCAATGTTTTGTTGGTTTTCCAATGTTCTCGGCCAATAGGGGAGCGATAAGCCGCATTTGTGTGTTGTCTGCGATTGGTGTTCCCGCCGCTTACAAGACATCTCTGCCTCCTCTGTTTTAAACTTGCAATGTGAAGAATCACCAGGACCATGGACGTGTTTTTAAACCTCACCAACGAACTACAGGGCACCAATATTGAAGGCTAGCAAACTGACCTTTCAGAAAACTAAAAACCGATTGTTAGGTCTAAGTATGGAAAGAGAGTGAAACTGAGATGCTTTTCAAGAAAACCTGGGATTAGTTTCTGTTAATGAGAAACAATAAAGCACGGACACAGCTCACTTAAATGTTAATTGCTGTTTAATCATTTTAAAACTTTAAGTTTTAGCAGGTGTATTTATTGGATTCCAGGTGAAAAGTTCATTCACGGGTTGTTTTGTTGCTTATTAGTGTATTTATATATATATATATATTTTTTTTTTTTTTTTTTGCCATTCATTTACAGATTGTCAGAATTTGTTTGGTGTTATTTATCGCTGCCCTAAGGAGATGAAAGAGACATTGTTGATGTTCAGACTTGTAGGAGATGACATAAACAAGCCGGAATGGCTCCAGAAGCTCACCACGGCACTGGCTAATACAGCGTGCATGGCAGATTCGGTAAGAAATCTGTGAAATGCCGCAACAGTAGAGAACAAAAAACACTTCTACGTTTGGCAACCCCTGAAATTCTTCGTAAATCTTTCGGGGAATCATCGGCAATGTTCGGATGTCGTCTGATTATCTCGGGTAATGTAAGGGGTTATGTGAATTGAAAAATCCACTGATTCGAGTCAGTTTGGCAGCTTGGTGTCCAATGCGAATTCGAGGATATGACCTACCTTTTAATAAACAGATGCCTTTAAGTTATCGTCATTTAAACCTTGTCGACCGAGCTAACTCGGTTTGTGAAATGTATGGAATTGGTAAAACTTTCGATATATTCAAGTTATTCAAATTCCCTCACCTCCTGGGCCAGCCAAGTGTCTAAGAGCAGATATATTTTTGTGTTTTTCAGGAAAACTTTTTGACCACAGTTGACCCGCAGGAACTGATGTTGTCAAAAAGCGACATGTCGAACGGAACGCTAAGTCGAGCGGTCAGGTAAACTGTTTGGGGAAACTCTGAAAGGTTTAGTTTATGCGTTCACTGGCGTCATTTGAACCACTTCCAGTTAGCTTTCAGTGACTCACGCCTTTTGGACCGGCGACTGGTGTCTTTCTAAAGGAGAAATACGTTGTAAAAGTAAATGATTAAATAACTCAGACGGCAAGGTCCGACTGCATGGGATGTTTTTTAGAGGGGTCCATCTGAGGTGTCTGTTTGTCTTATAAAGGTTATAGAAGACAGAATTCAGACAAAATTCGGACGGGAAGGTCCGAACACAAGTGTTATATTTTTAGAGGCGTCTGTCGTAAAGATGTTTTCATGAAGGCACGTTTGACTCTTTTCTCTGTAATTTGGTCTGTCTCGAGCAAAGAAAGGTAGGAGACTCGATCAAAATGTCGAAATGTTATTACTTCCGTTGCTGTCAACGCAGGGTTGCTAAACGGACGACAAGAAAGGTCAGCAGAGCATTTTCGATGAACAAGACGCCAAAACGAGTTGGAACTCTGAGACGATCGGCTTCCAAGTGAGTATGTTAAATAAAATTTCACGCGCGCGTAGAACCAGAGAGATGTATCAACCGCGCCTGTTTCTCGCGTTTCTGCGCCGCGCGCCTGCTACACTGGCTAATATCCACCTCTTTCTGCATTTCAGTGTTTCGCCAGTGCGGCGATTTTCTAGCAGTAGTCCTCTGTCACTGTCCACTCGAGAAAACCAAGCTTCCTTCCAAGGAAAAAGGGTGAGAGCAACCAGCGTGGGAGTTGAGCCCATGAGCCCATAGTAAACAAATCAGCGTACTCCATGTCGGATTATTTCCGGAGACAATGAGCCTTTTTGGCAACAGGCTGTAAAATTTTAGAAAGAGCTTGTGCCTTTCTAAAGGTTTTCTTATAGCGTCAGATGTTACTATAAAAAAATATGATGAAATTCATTCTACCGCTAAGACTTACTCAGTATTATTTTTTGAGTATTAAGAATGAAAACTTAGCTGAGGATGAGCCGATGAAAAACGTTCATACCGATGATTTCACTCCAGATAACTTGTTCCCTTTTCGAAAAATGAGTTTAAATAACCTCTGCTTCTATTTTGCGTGCTAAAGGAGACCAATGATACTTGTAAAACAGAGAAATTAAGTAGTATGAAATGCCGTTGTGGTCCATCATATCAACCTGTTTTTAACAGCAAAGTCTGGGTTGTGAAGCTATATTGCCCATTTTTGGAGGGATTCTCATATAAGCAGCCAGCTTACAGTCCCTCTACTGAAACTGAGGCCACCCAGGAAATAATAATCAATCAAAGGAAAGAACTGAAACAATAGACTCCATTATGTTCAAATCCAGCCCTGGCAATCTGAAAATCTGAAATCATCTGAAAATCTGTGCGTGTCGCTCAGTTTATTTTAGCAAGGTTACGAAGGGTTTGAATTGTGGCTTACTTAAGACCAGCTCCTCATTTGCTGTTTTGTGTGGGTGGATTCAGTCTTAGTAGGCGCACAGTAACAAAAGCAGTTGGAAACACGGAAGATGATTTGCCGTTGTTACCGCGAGACTCAAAAAGCCGTGAACACGTTGATTTGATTCTGACAGGTCGATTGTGTACATTCTTAAGTTTGGGAAACGCAAGCAAACCTCAAACCCAGAAAACTAATTACCATTACTATTTGCGGTTTAGTTTTTTTACGCCTCGTTCGCTATCTCCTTGGAACACAACAACCTTTCATTAAAATTTCTTGTGTTCACGGTTTTCTGAGTTCCACTGTGCGCGAGGTTGTTATAACAGTTAGAGATTACCGAAAGGGGTAGGTTTACTTTTTAATACGACTTGTGAACGATAATTAAGATTTTTATGGAGGTAAAATGAATCATCCTAGATGTGAAAGTAAACTGAAAGATATCTTCATTTCCCGACCTCTCATTCTCTTCACTGGACAGTGTATAAGTAAATTATATACCGCTTTTTGTGAAAATTTGTTCCCTCGTCAAATAGTATGCTACGATCAATGCGATTCCTCTGTGTCTGGTTGACAATGTATTTTTTGCTATGGAGAAAATGAAAGGACTCTGTTTTGCGCATGGACGCCAGGGGTAAAATACTTGATATTTTGTCAGTGTAAGGCTCAAAGTGCTTTATGGCAAACGCTTAAAGATATCATCCGGTTTGTTACTGAAAAGGTTTGATGGCTTTGATTTTCTAAGGACCTCTGGTGAGCTTTATTATCTTTTGTTTCGTGCTCGTTGGAATTCAGTGATACGATAAGGCAGAATCGCCATACTTGACCGGTCTAGTGACAAAATTTTCGTAGTTCTATAGACAACGAAAGTTCCATCTTATGTCAACAGTGTACGATTTACCTCTGAAGGACTTTGAGGCTTGTGGAACAAGTTTGCAATTTTTCTGAAGATTTGTCATTAATTGAAGTATTTACTTGATTATAGAGACTATCCATGCATTCAAGTGCATATAGTTTAAGCATAGAATTTGCTTGTAAATATGTTATTAAATGGCGTAATTATGTTAAATAAATCAAGTCTTGTGCTTAAACATTGATATTGCTTCCAATTTCGTTTGTTTTTTGCTCTTCATGCGAACAAGTTTTCTTTCTTCTAAGATGACAACGACTCTTAGAACTAGGGACCAGGGGCTTACCAGGGGGGGCTGGGCAAGGATACACTTAAACTCCCCCTCCTTCCTCGAAGAATCTTTATGGGATAACTGAATCTTTTCCGGCGTTCGATACTCCATTTGGAAGAGTATCTCGCCATATGAATACGAGCCTGTCGGTACAAAAGATGGAGCAGCGGCATGATACAATTCACGTAACGCGCGCGAAATTCGTAATCGTTCCCCTCCCCTTTGAAGAATTACACCTTCTCCCTTTGGGGGTGAGTTGGGTTGTTTTCAACTCCAGCAGCTACCGGAGACTCGAGGACATATATTGCTCAAAATTCTGCAAATCTTTTCTCATCGTGACGCTCTCTTCGCCCGAAATATTAGTAATAATGACATATTGGCATTGAGAATAATGGTCGGAGCCAATTAAGAGAGGCGCGTTTCTCAATTTATATATATTTAGTATAGTTACCAAATTGTGCAAAAAAATTTCTTTGGAGCAAAATTATTTGCAGCCGACTCAGTTTTTTTCCAATAGTTTTTATTTCAGATTTGCAAAGAATAAGCCTACAGTTCCACAATACCTAGCGGTTTTTCTTCCTCGATGGGTGAAAAACTCACAGAACAGAACATTTTAACACCTGTAAACTTTAGCGACTGTGCAATACTTGACTAAAAAAGATCATGGTGAGACAAATCCTTGAGCGACGGGCTTTCCTTTGATCATGTGCCCATCATGTGCTCTATAACACTCTCCATCCTTGCACACTGGGTAATCCATTGGGCAGCAATAAGTAGGCACCGCGGGCGGAGCAGGGCAACAGACCGAGTTTTCTGAACAGCATTGGTCGTGCTCACAGCAAGTCGCTTTGGGCAGAGGGCAACACAACTGTTCATCAAATGTTTTGCTTTTAAAAGTCAAGGTGCCTGAAAGAGAACGCTGTAGCTTTTTAAAGTTATCAATAAGATAGATCGGTTACTTACAATAAAATGTAAAAAAAAAGTCTGTCAGTGGCTTAATAATGCATGAGGAAGAATAAATTTGGCGTTAAAATGTCATTGTGAGGTATTCATTTCAAAATTGATTTAATGAATTGTTTAAAATTGACTGCTAGGGCCTGAAACTCGCGCAGAATGGCAACTAGAGAGAAAACGAATATGGTTTCGGTTTCCATGACACGCCTTAAGAGTGAACTGACTCGGAAGTCTGCTCAAAAATGGCACCTTGTCCAAAAACTAACATGATCTTAGTTAACTTAAAGAAGCACGAGAATGAGCAGCTCTTCCTTACACAAACGGCATTTTTTAAATCAAGGCAAGAAGTCGTCATAATCCACATTCATAATCGAGTTTTCTACGATAAATAACAGTAGAGAAGCGTGGACCCGGAAGTGAAATGTTCTTGTCACTGATGCGAATTAACAGCTCTTCTTGCAACGTGTGACCTGAAATACTAAGAAAATGGCTTTCCAACACATTAGTGGATTATAAAGGATACAAACAGCTGTAGCAGTTACACACGTTGTCCTCGAAAACGCCTGCGTCTCATCCTTCTGAGGTCAGTGGCCGCGGCTATTCCTCTAAAGGATGTAAACCGAAACTCACTTGGCATCCAATTTTTGACTTAAACTCACCTTTACAGCAGGTCTGTTGGGTGGCACTGGCACAACAGGCTGACCCTTGAGAGTCGCAAGACTGTGGATATGGCTGGGAGCAACCGCATCCACTTCTGACAATGTTGGCGTCTTCCATACACCGTGCTGCAGCTTGCGTACACCAAAGCGAAACTGTTAAATCATCACCGGCGGCCTTCCAGAATTGACGTACAACAAGCTTTGAAAATGTTGTGAACTGAGCAAATCTCGGTCCGCCAAAAGTGAACGACATGTCGACCATCACATTCTGCACGGGACAGCAAAGACTCGCAAACGTTGGAATCACTTTCTGAGCGTCAGCAATAGCCGTCTTCAAGCTTATATCCAACAGCTCTTCTATCTGCCCTTCAGTGAGACAAGGGACTGTAGAGCAATTACAAGGAGCACTCCATTTGGTCACAGGGCTGCTGATAAACTTGTTATAATCGGCTCCGATCGATGCAAACACCGCTGGTGCTTCCTTGTTCTGCATGTTGAAGCCGACACCGATGGTTTTGATGCCCTTCGTGTCAAGATACACGCACTCTTTCTTGCCTTCATGTCGTATTATCATAGGCTTTGGATCGCATGTCTCTCCTCGAAAGCCTTGAAATAAGGCGAAGGAATAAAGGAGCAGTAGGACTACATTTTTAAAATTCATGTTTCCGCGTTCGAAGTGTTGTCGGACAAGCGTTCGTTCCTAACGAGTGAATTTCCTGAGCCAACCTTTTCGTTTCGCTGACTTAGTAACATGTGGTGTCACGCAAATCTCGTGTTTTGGCAATGGGAGGTCTGAGTACGAGACAAACGTCATGTACCGACATAGATTAGAACCCACGAATATTTCAAGAAACGTTTAGGCGACGTGAATAATTTTAGGAAAGAACATTGCAGCAATGGGGAAACTCAGTAGTGACTAAGTGAGTGATTATATCGTAAGGACTTTTTGAAAATTATATTTCAAATCACAAGCACTATTTTAATCAAACTAATTCGACGTACAACAATGAAAATTCTTTTGTAGTTTATTTGTCACTGTGTAGTTGGACTACTTAATGTCTAGAAATGCTACATTGCTTATTGAGTTCTTATCGCCCTAATTGTGATTCTTGATGGAAAAGTGTGGCGCAATGTCGTGAAAAAAAAAAACAGCTGAAAGCATGAACGAAGTGAAACAGTTGGCCTGGAAACAAGACGCGGGACCCAGCATATTGTGGTGGTAACAAACTGAAACCTATGATTAACACAGTAAGTACAGTAAGGCATGAAGGTGTTGGAAACAGAACGAAAACATGCGCGCATTACATCACAGCGTGAGAAAAGGCTTGCATAACGGATCACGAGCTTTCTAGCTTTCGAAGGTTGTGATCCAACCAGTCCGTTTTCATCTTAGCGCCTTTGGCATGATACATACTTGAACTGGTGAACAAAGATTTATTACGCCGTCGACCAAACTGTCCTTGGCGCTTTTCGTATGCTTTATACCCCGCGTCTCTTCATCTGTGGAGCTATCTTCACGTGAACATAGTTTCAGCACACTTTCTTCATCCACGTCAGGTGTGTATTTGAGAACCAAGGACACTTCTACCAAACCAGGTTCTGAAACGATAAAATAGAGCAGAGTAAAGACATAGTCACGAATATGCCGGTGGGGTACTCAGCGTAGTATATAAAATATAAATAACGTAAAATTTCGTAAAGGCCCTTCTATAGATCTGCTCTTCGTTTCTTGCTTTCCTGATCCTAACTGTAATTTAGAATTCAGGTTTTTATGGAGGGAAGAAAAATGCAGAAACTGTAGATAAACCCTCGGGGTATGGACGAGAGCCACTAACCGACTCATCCCACATTTTACGTCATCCCCAGAAATCGAACCCAGTCAATCGAGATGACGGGGAGCGTTCTTAGTTCCAGCCATGGTCAGGTTTTCGCAGGCGCGCGAAAAATGGCCAGAATCGGGGCTGACAAAAGCGCCACGACCGTCATTTACCGTTCGCCCACTATTTCACTCACCTACACTTACTATAGGACTAGTACAGGCTATCCCCCTTGGTTCAAATTACAACAAGGTGACGACAGTTTACCTGACCATCCCCTGTGCGACAAGATGACAGTCGTGGCAAGTCGCTGCTTCGTTGGAGAAAGCACATGGATATCGTCCCGTTTGGGAATAAACCAGTGACACCTCAGATCAGGAAACACAACCTGTAAACTCACAGATACTGGTCAGCATTAATTTTTTTTTATCTGAAAATGCTACTGCAATGTGTGATCTGTATGTCATAAGAGTACAGAGGATGATTTATAAGGTATAAAGTCATGTTTTAACCCTTCACACCCTAACATCTGTATGCATATTCTCCATTCTTTTCTCTACACATCACATGCTGACAAGGAGAATTTGTTTAACAATCAAGAGCTTCTTTAGTTGGTGATCATTTCCTTTATTCTCATGACCTTCATGTGATTCAGTTGTGATATTGTACGGAGAAATTAGACACTCGTCACTCTTAGGGGTCAAAAGAGAAATAATGCTTTTCCTCACGTGGTCCGTCGTCATACTGCTTTCACTCAGAACATCAGATGTCTCGGAAAACAGACTACTGTTCGTGATACGATCAACCCAATCGTGACCAGAGCAAAATCATCTCCGAATATTTTCTATTTTTACCAAAATTCTGATATTTGACTGCAGAGTGACACCCACCTGCACTTTAACTTTGGTCGCATCAGGGACGTTCTCCAATATAGCTTCAACATTGACACCAAGTGTAAGGCCAGCAGAAAAGCAAAGTGGATTATCCGAACCTCCGCGGGGTTCGTTTAGTACTGCAGATGCCTGGCTCAGACTGGAGTGCAATTCCAAGCAAGGGACTTCATGAGAAAGCATAATGGATTGAACATAATCCACAACTCCGGCTGGATTTGTTATGTTAGACTCAAAGAAACCGGGAAACGAAACTACCTCTGCGCAGAAAGCATCCGTGTTGATGTTCTCTGTGTTGATGAAGTTGGAGAAGGTTTTTATTCTATTCAAAAACGATTCCCAAACTTGTAGCATGGAATTTAAGTTTCTCTCGTTAGTCCGGCTAGATCGCTGCGTGACTAAGATCTGCAATGCATGCGCAATGAGTCTCAGTTGTCGAAGAAGGAAGATTTGCTGAGAATCCAAACCAGTGAAGGTATGTTCAACGCGATACGATGTTGACAGGATGTTTTCAACCAGGGATTTAAGACCGGAGCTTTGGTGAGTACATAATGCCGCTGGAACAGTCCACATCTTGTCTTGCTGAGCCTGAACGATCATCAGTTTGCATTGGAGATAAAGGCAAAGACATTCTGCATCGGCGCTGAGTAGTGAATCGATGCTCTTCACGTGCTTAAGGTCTTGAATGGCTGTTTTCAATGTTTGTTGTTTGCTTACTGGGTTGAGTGATGTGACGTGTCGAAGTCGCAGTTGCACGCTTTCAAAGAAGTCCTTGGCAGTTTGTGATCCTAGATCGGAATGAAGAGAACAAGGAATAAATCAAAGAGTTTGCACACGTAGCAAGTGGTGGTCGAGTCTTAAAAGCCACGTCGCCTACAATGATAAATGTTCATCCTCTGTTTCATCAGCAAGAAGCGACAAAGAGTACGCGTCCCCTCCCTCGATAAAAGGGAGTCTCTCGCAATAACATCTCCACCATAGAGATTTATCCAGTGGATAGCACTATCCATATTTCGAGCAACCAGGGCCTGATAAGTGTTAACAAGACATACTGCGCTATTTACCAGACAGATTTATCCAGTGGATAGCGTTATCCCGGCACCCTTCGAAACACGGCCTGATAAGTGTTAACAAAACGTATAGCGTTATCCACCTGATAGAGATTTACCCAGTGGATAGCGTTATCCGACCTTTGCACAACTGGGGCCAGGTGGTTGTGTTTATTATTTCATGAAAAAAGGACAAGGAAAAAGGCGGCATCTGCGATAATGATTCGAACCCAGGCCAACCGTGCGTGAGTCGAATGCTTTAACCGTGTGGCAATATGACCAACACATGATGTTTTCTAAGTGGAGGAATACGTTCTAAAAAAAAAGAAAAAGAAAACAGGGAAATTATATTAAAGCTGAGTTCAAAGTGAATTTTTCTTACCTCCATCTTCAAACCTTTTACTATCCAAATCTGAAACGCTCTTCTCGTTAACAAGTTGCGGGACGAGGTCGGGTTGACTGTCCCGCAAGTAAGCGTAATGTCGATTGGTGTGATCCGGGAACATAGCTAACATTGTGGGACTTTTGGCTGTTGCGTTGAACACGAGGATAAGAATTGCGACGTATGCCGGGTCATCGATGGACGGCTCTGGGGTGGCAAAAAACGGATGCGTAGAAAGAAGTTCAGGCACAAGCGAGGAAGCGATATGTTGATGCTTTTCACCCAAAAATTTTGAACACCTGATTAAAAAAGCAATAAAATGAAATATAATAAAAATTACTGGAAAAGAATCTTCAATTCACCCTTTGAAGTAAACCTGATACTCCGTGAAAATAACCGTTATCGATGAATGCTGTGACATGTACAAAGCGGACCTCAGTTGTTTATCAAAGGTTATTATTTTTGTGCGCGGCGTCTATTTTCACCCTCCCCCCCTCCCTCATTGTCGTTCCCGCAAACTAACAGCACTAGTGTGAGGAGAACTGTTTGCCTGTTTGCCATGCTTTATTTGTCAATCAGATCATAAGCTCGAGATTTCTTTTGCGTGATAGTCGGTGAGGACGAATCTACCAGTCATTCAAACTTAACGACAAGACAGCCCCAAGTTTTCATTTCATTTCATTTGCAACCGCTTACTTTCTGTTAGGCTACTCAATTTCCCTCTTTAATTATTTAACCCTTTAACCCCTGAGAGTGACTAGCATCCTGTTTCTCCCAACAGTGTAACCCCTGCATCACAAAGTAAGGACATGAGAATAAATGAAATGATCACCAACTAAATATTCTCTTGATTGATAAATTGATTTTCAGCACCTCAGGAAATGTATAGAAAACAGTATGGAGAATACGCACATTGATGCTAGGGAGTGGAGGGTTAAGAAAGATAGATTCCATGTTGCCGTGTGTCTGTTCAGTGATAGATCACAGATGACGTCAAAATGTGGTAGGAACAAAAAAGGTGGCACACAAGGCACAGCTGAGAGTGTCACCGATGTTTTTACCACATTTTGACGTCCTCTGTGATTTACTACTGCACAGAGCCATAGCAACATGGTATACATTTGTTTTATAAAAAGAAGCTGAAAACTGTTGATGGCGAAGTAATCTAGGTGTCTGTCCTCCAAGAGATCATTATAAAGAAACAATCAAATTCATCAGTTGGTAGCGCAGCCAATCAGGTTGCAGCATTTGCGGTAACACGCTAGTAGATTTAGACGAATATACAAATGAAAGACACTTCTCACTGTACCTCCATATGGACGATTTATCCTGAGGATATTTTGACAGGTTTCCGAGCAACGCGTGAATGGCAGCATGAAGACACGCCCTTGTGGCGAACACACAATGACACAACAACTCACGGACAGCCTCTCGGGTGTCCCCTGAGAAATCCTCCAGAACACCGAGCAGCGTCTCCAACTGATCCTCGCGCAGTTGAATGTGCTGGCTGATTTTGCTCAAACTGTTGATGGCGCTGAGCCGGACGCTTTCTATCTCGTCATTCATCATGTCAGCCAAGAAGTCTAAGGACTGCACAGCGAAAGATGAGTTGCGATAGGCCAGCTCACAAAGTGAATCCACAGCCGCGGAACGTACCTCCATGAATTCGTCTTCTAAACCGTGCACAAACGCGCCACACGCTCCGCTACTCATTAGACTCACGTCCTCCGGGTCAATTTCGGGTTCAGGTGCCTTGTCGCCCCACGTGCGTCCCGTGCTCCACGCACCACTATCTGCTCCGCCTGAGGCGTGAATCTCTCTTCGCTTTTCGTGTTCCGTTTTCTTTCTCTGAATTTCGAAGACAAAAATATCATACATTTTGAGAAAATCTTACAGCGGAAGGAACCGAAGGAAAACCGTTCTTTCGATTTTTATATTACATCCGAAATTTGACGCAACGTTTCTGCGATTTCAAGAAGTTTACTTCCTTTTACTCTGAGTTCTTATTGTTTACTGATGATGATAATCCTCGTTTTGAGAGGTAGTTGTAATTTTTTCGGTTTTGGTTTACCGAAGCTCAATTGAAAATTCTCTAAATAGGTAAAATGCGTTCATTCATCACTGTGACTTGCCTTAAGATGAGACATGAGCTTCTTATCCAATGTCTGTTCCAGAAACTTTTGACTGACGAGATGGAGAGAGCCAAGCAAACCAGCGGCCTCTCTTCGGACAGTCATGGAGAGATCATTCACCATGTGACAGATCTTTATAAAAGCATCGTCCACCAGGCGAACCTCATCAGATGACGGTAATTTTACAGTCCTATTGCGAGACGATGTCAGAAAATTATCAACACAAATACTTTTTTACCATAAAGCAAAATTTTTCACGGTGATAAATTTAATATACACTGCATTTCCCATCAACTTCTATTTCCTTTGATGTTGGTTGCGATTCGTTTAAAAAGTAGATATTAAGTAAAAGATAAACTAATAAATTTCGAACTTCTATTTCCTTTGATGTTGGTTGCGATTCGTTTAAAAAGTAGATATTAAGTAAAAGATAAACTAATAAATCGATCGATAAAGTTACAAATAATTTCTCTTCGGGGTCGTTTATTCACATACTCAAGGCTATGCAGAACTTCCTTCTACAGTATGTAAAACACTCAGCAAATAACTTTGAAGGATGTAAATTATATCTAAAGAAGACAAACCTTTCAGGATCAGCCTGACTGAAAACCCAAACTAACTTAATTGCTGCCATTCGTACATCCTCATAGTCATCATTCAAAGCCAGCGATGCCTGATCATAAACTGCAATGTCCAGTTTCTGTCCTCTGTCATGCAGTGTTAGCTAAAAAGAAGATCAACCCATGCAGTTTTCACTTTTCACTCTCCATGTGGATCATGTTATGATCTTTATCTTTTCACTCTCAAAATCTAAATTTCAACTCTCTGCACTGTTTGCCATATTTTCCTTTAAAAGTTAACCTTTTGACCCCCAAGAGTGACGAGCATCTAATTTCTCCTTACAATATCACCCCTGAATCAAACATTGAGATCATGAGAATAAAGGAAATGATTGCCTACTTGTTAAACAAATTATCCTTGTCAGTAACAGGGCGTAAAGAGAGAGGCTCTGACAATTGAGTATTAAGTTATTTCTTGGTCGATATTTCTTTTTCTTCTCATTACCTTTGAACTTGAGAATGTATTGATATTGAAAGAAGACATTAATTTTGTCATTCCTAACCCTTAAACTCCCATGAGTGATCAAGACAGAATTTCTCCTTACAATATCAATACAATATCAACCAGATAAGTGATGAGAATAAAGAAAAATATCAATTTGGGGATAATTAGTTGATCCAATACTAAATTCTCTGTACTAACATTGTT